ATTTAAATAGACTATAGGTATAATCATAGGTTTATATGGGTTGTTTTAGCTATATATAGATATATAATAAAATAATGTTTTGATTTTATAAAAGTTTTAGTAAACCGATAGATAGATAGAAGATAAGAGAAGACTGACGGACATGGACGACTCTATTTTTCGTGTTCCTCTTTCCGTTTCATTCCATCGCCAACTTCAATACAATTTGTTCTTGTTTCTTCCTAGATCATCCCTCGAACTCCTTGCTATTCCACAAACAATTTTTCGTTTTCCTCTTCTCGCCTCATTCCGTGGCTAACTGTTCTTTCTTCCTCGATCATCCTTGAACACTTGCACTGGAATTCATTCTTTGTAACTTCGTTTTGCAATTTAAAGTTTAGTTCGCAGTGGATTTGGAAATCCGAATTTTTTTCTCTCAGTGCACAGAAAAGCGTCACTAAATATGTGGTCTTTTTTTTGTATTCGTGTTAATAAATGCTCCGCTCTAAGAACAATTTGAGGACCCTTGCTTTATAGGGTTGGAAACGCTTTATTCTACTTGGTACATATTTTCAACGAACACAATATACCATTTTACTCTATAAGTAACGGGTATAAGAATACTTACCATTCCAATAAGAGCAGCCATTAGTACCATAGTATAGTACAGAAAAGTCCAGAGGTTTGCCCACCCCAATGTAGACAGAGCACTGGCATTGGTCTTCAACTCCCAATCGGACACAATAAATGCGAAACCCTCGCCGTTGAGCTCTGTAATCAAGAATTGAATATTCTGTAAAGGACATCAAAACTAATTATTGTAATTACCGTAGTGGTGGTATTTAATCATAAAAGAAACCATTCCAAACATGAGGAATATGAAGATCTGGCCGACAGAACTGATCCAACTGTACGACATTATATTGGTTTTGAACCCATTGAAACTGGACAGAGCTATTACACTGCCCCAACCAGCCCCAAATGCATTTATAACCAATATTAATGTTGAGCCGATTGCCCTTGTCATTTCTTGTACGTTGGGATACATATTATTATATGTGGTTAGACCGTTGAATGCTCCTGGAAGAAATGAAAAGCGGACAAAGCACACCAAAAGAACGGACAGTGTTCCAATAACCATATATCGTATGAATTTTCCAAACTTTGCGGTCTCATAAAACTTGTAAAATATAACTGCAATCATAGCCCAAACTAGAACGAAGAGGCCGACAAAATGCCAGGATAGGTTTATGGCATCTCTTCTTTCTCGATCGATCGTATCTCCCAAACTGTAAAAATGGTTACTGAAAATACAGCAATAAAGTTGTTTAAGCCATATACATCAAAAACAGCACCATTTGGTTAACAAGATCTCAGCAGACTTACTTAAAGTACAGCGCGGAGGGTATATGATGCCCTGGATGATCCTCAACTGAGTAAAAATCCTGATTTACTGTTATGTTGCAAGTCTTAAAGTAGACAGAAGTGTGTGTTATTTATAATTACATTACTAACCCCGACTTTCTTACTGTGAATTCTGCAGTATCATTTTTGTGCCAAGACTTGTATCCTTCACAACTCCAAGGCAAAGTGGGTCGAAGCGAGTTCACCACGAATAAAAGCGAATAAGCAGCAAAAATGCTGTAGTAAATCACTACGGAGATGGTCAGAAACAAGGTCACATAGCCCATGCCTAAAGTTTAAATAGAAATTATAATACAACTACCTGCTTTCTTTTAAAAAACACTTACCTTTAAATAAAGGAGAAAGACGAAAGGCGGATATAAAGCCACTGCTGGAAAACTGCCCCACGAAGGAGTGAATGAGCAGGATTGGAACCAAACAGATCACCATATATACAAAGTAAGGAAATATTCCAAAAACTAAAACAATTGAGGTAGAAATGAATTTTTATCTTTGTTAGACTAAAAATGTTTCAAAACACATTACTATTAAATGTTTAACTTCAAAGCCTTCTGATACCAATGCATAATAGTCATTAGTCAGAAAAAGATTGCTCCGACAATAGAGCTTATCTGCTATATAATAAGGATTTCTCATATCAATTACTTACTGCCTATATTGGAGGACCACCAAAAGAAGACCGCAAAGACATCAGGCCTTAAAGCTAAGCCAAAGCAAGCAAATATATAGTCAGTGGGTTTTTCCCACTTTCCTCGACTTAAATCGGGAGAAGCATAAACCATTTTGAGGCTGCAGTATTAAGTTATATTTCGTTATATTAAATTTTAAGAAGGTCTTTTGTTTATCCGAAATACGATATTGCACGCCAGAAGAAGAATGATCCGCGAGTGTTTTACTTTGATTTGTCGGACTAACTAGTAGAGACGATGCCAGCAAACTGAATCCGATTCCGCTGCTGAGTTGCTGGTAAACTCATTTCTCTGGACCAGCTGCTCATGCCCTATCACAGAAAGTTCTTACTAAGTCTTCAATTATAAAAGGAATTACATGGAACTGGAAGAGGAATGGGAAAATGTTTACACTCTTGCTGTTGATTTCAATAAAGCGCTGATTACGATTACTCCATTCTGGCACTGATATCGCTTATTCGGAAAGGGGTGTTAGCCTTAATTGAGTTCTACTCATTATTAACTAATCATAGGCTCCAATAGTAATCAATTGTCCAGCTTAAGCTGAACAGCATATATTTTCTTATATTCATAGATAGCATAAGGAAAACTATTACCAATTTGGTTAAGGCTAAAATATCTAACTAATTATTGGTGATAACCTTGCTGTTCTATCTGAGCTGTTGAATGTGCTTTATTATTATTATCGTAATCGTGTTAATTTTTTAAATGAATTAATTAAATAATTCTTCAAACAAATTTAAATTTTTTTTTAATCAATAATTGCAGCTAGGTACAAAGTTCTAAGAAAATGTGTTCGCCCAAAAGTAGGCAATGATTATAATCATAATATAATCATTATGGTAACCGGTTGTCTTTTGATGATTATCCTTGACTTTAGTAAAGTGCATGGCTCTGCCTTTGGCCTTATACCACGATCTACTTAATCTAATCAAAAACAAAACCTAATTTCTATAACATACGGCTTCCTAAGTCGTATGACTCAGAAGAATATACTGATAGGATCACTCCATGATCACTGCACAGTTGGCAAAATTGCACGGAAAGATAAGAAAGAAAGCAGAACAGGAGCAAAAATGTAGTAAACCAGCTTGGAGGTTACCATTCACGTTTCTCTCGCCTATAATTCCAATTACACACCAAACTAACAATATAAAGTAGAAGCAAGTTTTAAAGTACTAAGTAAAACTTAGTTCCCTCCCAATTAACTCGCCGCTTTCCTAGGTGTAACTACTTACTAAATTATATGCAAGAATTTAAATCAAACTGCCGGACCTTTGTTGTGTCGGCCCAGCAACGACGCCACATAGCGGATATAAACGGAACTAAAAGTGTGAAACCTATCGGCTTGTAACAAAGTCTTTCTGCCGCCGCTAAGCGTCCACTACAGGCATGTGTAAATACCAGAGAACGTCAAGGGTGTCTTTTTTCGGCACCCGAATCACACTCATACATTTCGAGTGTGTGTCGCACTCATGAACAACAAGAAAAGAGCACACACCCTGAGTGCACAGATCGCTTTGTGCGTTTAGGGTGTTTGCGTTTTTGACACCCGCTCAATTTTAGGCACATGAGTCTAATGCACAGACACCAGAGAACGGCAAGGGTACACCCATACAATGAGTGCACTCGAATCATATGTGCCTTTTCGGGACTCAGAGTGTGATCGGCACCCTAAAATAAGGGTGAGTGTCTTGCACAGCACATTTTGAATGTGCACAAATCGGATTGTGCGTTATGAGTGTTTGCGTTTTTGACACCCGCTCAATTTTAGGCACATGAGTCTAATGCACAGACACCCTAAACACTCATAGCAAATGAAGCGAGTGTCTGAGACACCCATGATTTTTGGGAAAGTGAGTCGGGTGTCTTGAAAGTGAGTCGAGTGTCTCGAGATGAGTCGAGTGTCTCGAGATGAGTCGTGTGTCTTGAAATGATCTGTGTGTTTCGGGTGTCTTCAGCTGTATTGCATGAGCAGGTCATTGAGGGTTGACCGAATAATTTTACATGAAAGGAAGGAAGGAAATCCCAATAATTTAATATTAGAAAAGTATATTTCTAATAATACAAATTATTGCCGTCTTCAGTAACTAATATTAAAAAATAAGAGTTTATAATCATTACAAGTATTTAATGATTGGGATTATTGGGATTTCCTTCCTTCCTTTCATGTAAAATTATTCGGTCAACCCTCAATGACCTGCTCATGCAATACAGCTGAAGACACCCGAAACACACAGATCATTTCAAGACACACGACTCATCTCGAGACACTGACTCATTTCGAGACACTGACTCACTTTCAAGACACCCGACTCACTTTCCCAAAATCATGGGTGTCTCAGACACTCGCTTCATTTGCTATGAGTGTTTAGGGTGTCTGTGCATTAGACTCATGTGCCTAAAATTGAGCGGGTGTCAAAAACGCAAACACTCAAAACGCACAATCCGATTTGTGCACATTCAAAATGAGCCTGTGCAAGGCACACACCCTTATTTTAGGGTGCCGATCACACTCTGAGTGCCGAAAAGGCACACATGATTCGAGTGCACTCATTGTCTGGGTGTACCCTTGCCGTTCTCTGGTAAATACGAAACTCTGTAAAACAAAATAAAAATACAAGTAACCTTCCCAAATTCACAAGCCCTAGCCCGCATTGTGGTTTGCCCATCACCTTAACCGTGACCATCACCCTGACTTTACATGATGAACAGATTCACCTGTTGGCCTGAGGCCACTTACACACATCTCTGCCGACACGGTTGTCAACGCCTTTTGGCGTTTTCCTTTACAGAAATCTTTGCATTACCTCATCACTAATGAAGCACAATGAATTACAAGTCATTTTATTGCAAAATGCAGAGAAGGTACATATGAAGAAAAAATATCGTCCACTTCATTTTCAATTTATTTATTAGATGTCCATGTCATGCATTCAACTTTCTCATGTAGTTACATTCATTGTTCATTGAGAATCTTCTTGTTCGCCAGTAGAGCTTATCAGCACTGACTTCATCTCAGTATTGCCTGCAGCTTCCTCGTACTGCTGGCGGTGGTCCATCTCAACTGGATACCAATTGGTGGGTCGACAGGTGCGCCTGAACCGCTCACTAAAGGTGCCGTTGCTCTGGTAAAGGTAGTAAACTCCATATACAGGGATAATATATATAATGGAGAGGCCAAAGTCATAAAAACTGTAAAAATATATTCCTGCAAACTAATAAAGAAGTAAATATTTAATATTTTTTAATAAAACTTAAACTATTGGTTAAAAACGAACCAGACCAATCAGAAAAATAATGGGGGCTATGAAGCGGAGTATGAAAACCTTCCAGGAGGCAAACGGCTGACCCAGCATGAACTCAATATCCCGCTGGAAACGTTGCCGCCCATAAACCCACAAAACCACCAAAAGAAGCAGGAAGTTGAGCACACTGTGTGTGAAAATGGCATCAACACCCAAGTGAGAAAATAAACTAATGCCACGCTGGAAATAGTATAAAAGAAAGTTCATATCATGGTTAATATTGCGTTTTAGATATTCGATAAAATGCTTACATTCGTGCAGAAGAACAAGGAACAGACTGACAGGCCTCCAATTAGGCCAAAGGTCACTTGCATTTTCCTCTTTCGTAGTTCTTCAAACTCGTCAAACAAACTTTGCAGGACAGTAAAGATTTGAGTCGACTAGAATGGAAATTATTTAAGAATTTATTCTTAAAGAACTTTTAGTAAAGTGATAATTAAATGCACTTAAGTAGAGTATATACATAGGTTTTAATCATGTGAATTTAATCTACTACACCACACATAAATCATGGTTTTAAGGGTAAGTCTACTTACCCTAAACTCGGCATGACAAAGTTATAATCCTTTTTAGTTTAAAATATTTTCCCAATATCAATAGGAACAAGAAGACGCGATATTGTATTATCCAATTTTGAAACAAAGCGCCATATTTTGTCACTGCCCTTGTGGAACCTTCTTTCATAAAAATAACCCTGCGCTGCGAAGACATCTCAAGAATCTGCATGCCCAATCTCAACTTTGTATCTCTTATGGTTCCTAAAATCTCAGTGCTCATACGTGCTCCTGATCAAGAATCGGAAACGCTTCATTCTACCTGTTACATACTTTTCAAGAAATTCATAATACCCTATTACTCTACGAGAAACGGGTCTAATAGTACTTACCATTCCAATAAGAGCAGCCATCAGAAACATAGAATAGTACAGAAATGTCCAGAGGTTCGGCCATTCCAATGTGGACAGAGCACTGGTATGCCCCATCAAGTCCCAATCGAGCCTAATTATAAAGAACCCCGAAGGTCCTTTGGGCTCTGTAATCAAGAACTGAATATTATGTAAAGGACATCAAATAGAATTATTGTAATTACCGTTGCGGTAGTGTTGAATCATAAAATGAACCATTCCGAACATTATGAATATGAAGATCTGGCCAAAGGAGATGATCCAACTGTACGACATTATGTTGGTCCTGAACCCATTGAAACTGGACAGGGCTATCACACTGCCCCAACCAGCTCCAAATGCATGTACAACCAATATTAATGTTGAGCCGATTCCCATTGCAACGCCTTGTACGTCGGGATACGCATTCTCAAATATGGTTAGGCCCTTAAATGTTCCTGGAAGAAACGAAAAGCGGACAAAGCACACCAACAGAACGGACAGTGTTCCAATAACCATATATCTCATGAGCTTTCCAAACTTGGCGGTTTCTCTAAACTTGTAAAATATAACCGCAATCATGGCCCAAACTAGAACGAAGAATCCGACAAACTGCCAGTGTATTTTTAAGTCCTCTAAATATAGATCGAAATCCGCTTGTATACTGGCAAAATGGCTACTGAAAATAGAGCCAAGAAGATGTTTAAGATTTTAAAAAACGCATCGATAATTTTTAACAGCACTACTATAAAAAATTAGCAATATACTCCAAAAATTGCAATTGGGAAACTTTAGTTAATAACATCTTAGCAGACTTACTGAATATACAGCTCGGAGGGTGCATTATGCATTGGATGATCCTCATATGAGTCAAAATCCTGAGGTACTGTCAAGTTGCAAGTCTTAAAGTAGACAGAAGCGGTGTTATTTATAATTAAATTACTAACCCCGACTTTCTTACTGTGAATTCTGCAGTATTATTTTTGTGCCAAAACTTGTATCCATCGCAACTCCAAGGCAAAGTGGGTCGAAGCGAGTTCACCACGAAGAAAAGCGAATAAGCAGCAAAAATGCTGTAGTAAATCACTATGGAGATGGTCAGAAACAAGGTCACATATCCCATGCCTAGAGTTTAAAGTGATATTCTATATAACAAAATACAATTACCTCCTTTTTCATTAATAAGACTTACCTTTAAATAAAGGAGAAAGACGAAAGGCGGATATAAAGCCACTGCTGGAAAACTGACCCACGAAGGAGTGAATGAGCAGGATTGGAACCAAACAGATCACCATGTACACAAAGTAATTAAATATTCCAAACTCTAAAACAATTGAAGTAGAAATGAATTTGTATCTTTGTAAAACTAAAAATTAATCAAAACAAATTGCCGTTATTTATTTAACTTCAAAGACTTCTAATACCAATGCATAATAATCATTCGCAGATGATCTAGAGATTATATGTCATCAAATCAAATACTTACTGCTTATATTGGAGAACCACCAAAGAAACACCGCAAAGATATCAGGGCTTAAAGCTAATCCCAAGCAGGCAAATATATAGTCAGTGGGTTTTTCCCACTTTCCTCGATTTAAATCGGGAGAATCATAAACCATTTTGAGGCTGCAGTATCAAGTTATAATTCGTTATATAAAATTTTAAGAAGGTCTTTTGTTAATCCGAAATACGATATTGCACGGCAGAAGAGGAATTATCCGCGAGTGTTTTACTTTGATTTGTCGGACTAACTAGTAGAGACGATGCCAGCAAACTGAATCCGATTCCGCTGCTTAGTTGCTGGTAAACTCATTCCTCTGGTCCAGCTGCTCATGCCCTATCACAGAAAGTTCTTACTAAGTCTTCAATTATAAAAGGAATTACATAGAACTGGAAGAGGAATGGGAAAATGTTTACACTCTTGCTGTTGATTTCAATAAAGCGCTGATTACGATTACTCCATTCTGGCATATCAGCTTAAGCGATATCAGCTTATTCGGAAAGGGGTGTTAGCCTTAATTGAGTTCTACTCATTATTATTATACTCATCTTAACAAGATTAGAAATAACCCTTTGAAGCTTCCGTCATGTAAGAAACTTCAAATTTAAATAATTTGCTAAACTGTTCTTTTAATCTTAAAAGCATTTTCGCAGTATATTTAAGTTTCTTATTTATTAAAACTGTTTCTTTATTAAAAATCTTCTTAGCTATTAGTTGACCTCTTCGGCAACCTCACTTAGCTGTTGGGTCGTCTCCCTATTACCTACAGCTTCCTCGTACTGCTGGCGGTGCTCGATCTCAACCGGATACCAATCGGTGGGTCGTCTGAACCGCTCGCAAAAGGTGCCGGTGCTTTGGTAAAGGTAGTAATATCCGTAGCCAGGTATTGCTAGAATGGGTAACGCCACCAGTACAATAGATATAATGGTGATCACTGCTGAGGAGTAAGAGTGATCCATCATGTAAATAGATATTCCTAACAACTAGTATGAAATAGACATTTAAGTTTTTTAAATACAATTAAAAATATCAATTAATAACAAACCAGCAAAATCACCAAGTTAAACGGAGCTATGAAGCGGAGTATGAAAACCTTCCAGGAGGCAAACGGCTGCCCCAGCATGAACTCAATATCCCGCTGGAAACGTTGTCGCCCGTAAACCCACAAAACCACCAAAGGAAGCAGTAAATGCAGCATACTGTGAGAGTAAAGGCAATCTTGACCCAAGGCAGAAAAGAACTCCACTCCAAGCTTAAAACCATAACAAATTGTTCATATTGCGGCAGTAATATAGTATTCGATAGCTACTTACATTTGTGCAGAAGAAAAAAGAACAGACTGCCAGGCCCCCAATAAGGCCAAAGGTTACTTCCATTTTTCTTTCTCTAAGTTCTTCAAACTCATCAAACAAACTTTGCAGGACAGTGAAGATTTGTGTCGACTAAAATGGAAAATATAAATAAAAAGTAAGAAAGTTAATAAACTTAAACATTATAAAGGTGGCCAAGTTAGGTTTATTCTTTACACTTACACATAATTTTTACTTACCATTACAGTAAGAGCCGCCATTAGCAGCATAGTATAGTACAGAAATGTCCAGAGGTTTGCCCAACCCATGGAGGACAAAGCAGAAGCACTGGACAAAAACAGGAGCCAAAGGCTCAGAACTTCTACTTTAGGCGAAGCTTCAGCAAGCTCTGCAATCAAGAACTGCAACTTTTTAAGGCTGTCAAATCAAATGAAGTATTGTAATTACCGTTGTAATGGTGTTCAATCATAATGGAAACCATGCCAATAATGTTGTAAATGAAGATCTGGCCGAAGGAGATGATCCAACTGTACGACATTATGTTGGTCCTGAACCCATTGAAGCTGGACAGCGCTATCACACTGTCCCCAGCCAGCCCCAAATGCATGTAGAAGTATGATGAATGTTGGGCCGATTCCCATTGCCATATCTTGAAAGTTGGGAACCATATATTTGCTTAGACCTTTCAAGGCTCCAGGGAGAAACGAGAAGCGGACAAAGCACACTAAAAGAAGAACCACTGTTCCAATAACCATATATCGTATAAACTTTCCAAACTTTGCTGTTTCAGAAAACTTATAAAATATAGCCGCAATCATGGCCCAAACCAGAACGAAGAGGCCGACAAAGTGCCAGGATAGCTCATAGTCCGCTATTCCATCTGGATATTTAACTTCTTCTAAATTGTTAAAATGGTTTCTGCAAATAGAGCCACAAATAATTCATTGGTAATTATCTATCGATCATTTTTAATGTATATCGTATTTGTTAATTTGTATAACATAGATGAGATCTAAACTTACTGAAAGTAGAGCACAGAGGGCAAATGATGTTGTTTTCGATAACCATCGTTATCGAATTCAAGACTTACTGACACGTTGCAAATCTTGAAGTACGCAAAATTAATATTATTCATAATTACTTTACTAACACGTTCTTACAGTAAGCTTTTCACTTTTGTGCCAAGTCTCCAATCCTTCACAACTCCAAGGCAAAGTGGGTCGAAAAGAGTTCACCATGAAGAGCAGAGGAACAGCAGCAAAAATGCTGTAGTACATCAGCATGGAGATGCTCAGAAACAAGCTCATATACCCCATTCCTAGAAATCAAATTGCCATATAGCAGAACAAGACTCTCTTGGTTAAGACCACTTACCTTTAAAGAAAGGAGCCAGCCGAAATGCCGAAATAAATCCACTGCTGGAAAACTGCCCCATGAAGGAGTGAATGACCATGATTGGGACCAAATAGATCACCATAATAGACAGGGTAAACCAGTATGCCAAATACTGCCGTGCAATAAAATTGGAAATCATTTTTATGTTTGTTAAACCAAATATTGTTAATCAGAAAAATGATCATTGTCTGCTTAATAGATGCATAATCTAATCTAATAGGTAGTATACAATGAATGAGTCATCGGTTGACACGTCATTTGAGATGCTATATTTATTTAATCATTGGCAACGCAACGCGCAAAAAAACATTTATATATATATAATATTGAGATTTCGCTTTATCAATAACTTACTGCCCATATCGAAGAACATCCAATACGAGGCTACGAGGACATCAAGCTTTAAAGCTAATCCAAAGCAGGCAAATATATAGTCCGATGGTTTTTCCCACTTTCCTCGACTTAAATCGGGAGAAGCATAAACCATTTTGAGGGTGCAGTATTAAGTTATATTTCGTTATATTAAATTTTAAGAAGGTGTTTTAGTTCTCCGCAATACGATATTGCACTCCAGAAGAGGAATTATCCGCGAGTGTTTCACTTTGATTTTTCGGACTAACTAGTAGAGACGATGCCAGCAAACTGAATCCGATTCCGCTGCTGAGTTGCTGGTTAACTCATTCCTCTGGACCAGCTGCTCATGCCCTATCACAGAAAGTTCTTACAAAGTCTTCAATGATAAAAGGATATACATAGAACTGGAAGAGGAATGGAAAATTATTAACACTCTTGCTGTTGATTTCAATAATGCGCTGATTACGATTACTCCATTCTGGCACTGATATCGCTTATTCTGTTAAATTTGCTTTATGAGCACTAAGAATCTAATTATCGCAATTGTGTTGATTTTTTAAATGAATTAATTATTTAATATTTAATGAAAATTAAATTTTTGAATCAGTAATTGCAGATAGGTAAAGGCTCTATACTACAAATTTCGAAGAAAATGTTTCAGCCCAAAAGTAGGCAATGATTTTAATATTTAACTCAATGGTAACTGCTTGTCTTCTTGATGAGTATCCTTGACTATAGTCAAGTAGATCAAAGCTACATAAGCTGTTAATTGAATAACTTAAATCGATATTATATCAGAACTAATTCTAGGCTCCTGACAAAATGTTCATAAATTGCTAGTAATTGCCATATTTCTTGCATTTCCTTAGTAGACCACCCAATTAAATTAAGTAAAAAAAAAACATTTAAGTACATATCTAAAAGGTAAATCTTTATTAATCCGTAACAATATTTTTTGGCCGAAGCTTGTTGAACTTTTTAGTAGGCAGCTACTAAATATCACCAGTTTATTGTTCACTATAGCTAGCATTTGGAAAATATCAGTACAACTCCATTATAAAAACCAACGATCACCATCAGCACTTGATCTGTATCTATGTATATAGTCGTGTGCGTGTTACATAGCTTGGGTTTTTCTATCTATGTATGCATGCATGTATGTGTATGGGTGACCGCTTATGGGTGTATAATAAAAGTGAATTCAGTTCAGTACATTTGTCATGTGTGGCAACGCCTTTAAGTGTTGGGTTTTGATCTAAAGAGTATTCGATATTTAGGCACTATGTGGTATTGGCATTGGCATCGATCACCAGCATCTCAGAGATGCCCATGATCTCCTCGTAGAACCGCCGGTTGTCCGCATCCACCGGATGCCAGTCGTGTGGTGCAAGGCACTGTTGCAATCGCTGCCGCCAATTGCCATTCGTCCGGCACACCTTATAGACCATATAGGATATGGCCGTCAGTAGAATCAAGCCCTGACTGACAAAGATCAGGACGTCGTGGATGTGATCACGAGTAAATAAATAGGTAAGTTGGAACTGCAAGGAAGAAAAGAGGTTTTAAATAGTTATATTAGGATAGTTAATATAGTTCCACTTGAGTCCCAAAGACCACTACTTACCAAGCACAATCCCAGAAAAATGGGCGTTACAAAGCGTATAAAGAAAATCTTGAAACTTGAGATCGTTTTGCCCAGCATGAACTGCAGATCGCACTGGAATCGGACGCGGCCATAAACCCATGTGGTCATCAGCAGAAGAACTCCCGAAATGAAGACATGGGTAAACACCGCCAGATTGGGCAGCTGAGTCAGCTGACTAAAGCCCAACTGAAATGAAGATTTTAAATGAAGATTTTTGAATCTAAAATTGTACAAGTTTAACCCACCTGAGTGCAAAAATAAACAGAAGAGGCTGTCAGGCCGAGGACCAGTGCAGAAATTAATAAAGTTCTTTTCGATCGCAACGTCTCGAACTCATCAAACAAGGTCGTAATAACAGACATCATTTGGATGATCTTATAAAATATTATTAAATTAAAGAATTTCTTAATCTTATATTTAGAAAGATTACTCACCAAGGCACATATTTCCGACAGGAATATCATGCCAAAGAAGAGGAAAGCCCAGAGGTTTGGAGTCGTAGTAAAACGACCGAACAAATAGGAGAAACAAAGGTACAGGAACTGCATATGATGCTTCTCATCCACATGCAGAGGCATCAGACCCACATGATCTACGAAAAACTTAAAAACTTAGTGATGGATTAAGATTAAAATTGTGTGTAGTGCCAACCTTCAAAGTGATCGTGGGCCACATTGCAGCAGAGAAGTCCCATTAATCCGATCGTGATATGAGTAAGGCACACCCAGATGCTCAATCTCTCGGCATCGCTGCGGAAGCTGTTGTAACTGGACAAGGTGATGATGCTGCCCCATCCGGGCCCCAAGGCCACTCCAGCCATCAGGAGGGCTGTTCGAGCTGTTGCCAGGACACTGTCGAAGCTATCCACCTGGGGCATCCAGTAGTATTTTAGGGTATCAATAGATACTTTCTCGTGTATAACCGAGTAAAAAAATACAGCCACAAAGGAGGCGAACATTAAAACGCAGCAACATCGCAGGGCTTTGCCAATCTGAAAGTGAAAAACAGTTAAGTAAATTAGTAATCTTAAGTAGCATTTTTATTTTAATTAAGTGAAACACTTACAAAAGCCACTGGCTTGAGCAGCATGGCCCAAACAACGAGCCAAATGGCTAAAACGCCTATAAGCATGGACCAGGATATGCTCATGGAAGTAGAACCTGCTTCCGTTGAGGCAATTGCTGATCTGGAAAATGGGAACACAAAAGTTAAACATACATTTAAAGTACATTTTGACAATCCCTCACCTAAAGAACTCCACAGTGGAATGAGGATCGACCCTATAGTCCTAAAACCAGAAATTATTTAGAAATAGCAATAAATAAAGCCATAAATTTAGTATAACTCACATCGAATTCGTAATTCTCATGTAAGGAACACTCCTTGGTGTTCCAAGTGTTGTTGCAACTCATCCAGGGAATCACCCGATGCAGGGAATTTACGGTGTAAATAAGGGGCACCACAGCTCCAACGCTGTAGTAGGTAAGAGTGCCCAGATTGAGGAGCAGAATAGCATACCCGATGCCTAAAAGTATGCAAGAAAAGGTAAGGCTTAGTTAACATAAACGACTGAGAAAGTTAACAGTTCTTTAACCTTTGAATATGGGCGCCACTCGAAATGCTGATATCGATCCAGAGGATGAGAATTGTCCCAGAAATGCTTGGATCAAAAATATTGGCAGCGAGTAGAAGAACATTCCCATAAGATAGGCGATTATGAATAACACTATAAAAGAGAGGAAAATCAATATATGATAAATGGAAAGCCGATAAAAAATATGACTAAAGTGACTAAGAAGTTTATTTCGATTTTTTCTGATATTTCCAAGTAATTAAAGTCCAGTTTGAACCCTGACTCCTCATTATAATTATAGACTAGATACTTAAGTGACTCGTCGTGTCGAGCACTGTGTCATTACTTGCCTTATCTTATGTATGGCGAACAATGCAATTATATAATAAGTCAATTGGTCATAAACCTGTTTTGGAGATAGTATAGGTCGGCTAATGACCGGGATTCTGGGATAGTTGTATTGGTTTTCGAGGTGATGGCAAACCCCTCCTGTTCACCTTATCGCTCGCGAATTATGATTACAGTTCAAAGCAAACGCAAAAGGCCGTCATTAACGCAGCTCTGATAACCTTTGCTTTAGTTAATTGAATTATATTGATAGCTTTTGGCAATGGGATTAAAAGTGGGAAAAACAAAACATAAACAAAAAACACTGAAAAAAAACTATAAAAATTCAATACTATTCTATTAAGAAGTGCCACCCATTAAATTTGCTTTAAACAAAATTTATTTTAGATTTTGTCAAATAGTTATTTGCTTATTTAAATAACTTTTCTTTTAGTGTGCACTCAAGCTGTTTAAGTACTTTTTCCCAGGCATTAACAATTTTTTAAAGGGTACTTACGCCAACCGCCGTGAAGTATTCCAAAGGTGGAGAGCTCGGAGAAGATCAGCGAGCTGAAGGCAAGTGTGCAGCTGGCGAAGTAGAAGTCCACCGACTTAGCCCAACGACCACGGGTCTTGTCATGCCGATAGGGTCGCTCCAGGGTATCATAGGCACTGCCCGATCGCACGGCCATGCTGTGAACCTGTCGATTTCGTATTCGGCGAGCGGCAAAGGCCTCCCAACTGCCTATCATTCCTCCACCCGACTCCATTTCCACGCCCTCCTCCGTAAACCCTTGAGGTTGTCCTGAACCATGTTCACTATTCTCACAGTCGCCCAGGAGCATGCAGTTGTTGAGCTGCTCACCGCAGATGCCCTTCATGGTGGCTCATCCAGTGCTGGCCACTGGTGTGGAAGACCAATAACCTGAGACTCTGAAGTCTCAATTAAAATTGGTCAGCTTCTTGTCGTTCCAAGTTCATGCCGTTTTGTTCCGCTTTTGTTTTTGTTTTCGTTTTTGTTTTCGTCTTTGTTTTTTTGGCAGTCTAACCTAGTTCTGAGCACCGTTTTTCTGGGTCACTATTCACGAAGAACAAGTTGTAGAAATCTGCGGTTCAGATTATCTTCTAATAGTCTATTATTGCCCCCGCACAGCTTCGCACCGCACTCGTAAACCTTATACGAAATTAAACCCGATTTTGATTACTCCGGGCGCCAAGCAATCAGCTCCGATGCTCAGCGGCAAATGATGCTATTCGATGGGGATTGGGATTGGGATTGCCGTTCTCAAGCGACGCCAAATGAAGCAGTATTATGGGCAGCACCGACAACAAAGACCCCAACAACGTACAAATTTAATTAAATATATATGTCTTTATGTGTATTTTTTTCGTGCAATGCGTATGAGAGTACCATTGTGTGTGCAGCGATTATATGCGATGTACAGTGGGACGAACTAAAATAAAATCAAACATAAATTGGAAACGAAAAAAGTGTTGTGACAAAAAGTAAAAATGTTAACTTTTGAGTTTGTTAACTTTTTAATAAAATGAAATAACTTTAAAGTTTAAATTTGGTTTTGGTACTCTAAATTTTGTAAGTAAACTTTTTCCAACTTTAAACACCCAACAAATAATGACATTGAAAAATAAAAATTTGTAGTCTCCACATTAACCTAAGTTGGCTCGTTCTACCTATGGTATGGCCCGTACCTATCCTATTATCAGTATCGAGAAACAAAGAAGGAAAAATTCCAACTGAAAGGGAAAGCTAAACAAATGGGAATTTATTTTTAAAAACAAAGCAATCGAACAGAATCAAATCGAATCGAATCGAAGCAAAAACAAAAGGAAGAAAAAACACAACAAAGCGGATGAAAATAGATAATGAAAATAAGAGAAAGAAAGGAATCGCAACGAAACGAATGGCAAAGTGAACGGGGGCAATGGACAGCTGATGGTGCGTTTTTACCACCCCCACTGCCGTTCTCAATGCCGGTGGCCTACGAAGCGTATACTTGACATTGCTCATACGTACGAGTGGCTGCAAAAGAGGCAACTCTCTTGCTCTCTCTCGCTCTCTCTCTTGGCCAAAAACATTTCAACAAGTAAAACGATAAAAGGTGGAGGTAACGTGTAATAGGGTGTGCGAAAATCAGCTGTTTTTTGTTTTGAACTGTGAAAATTGTGTAATACAAGCGAAATTTTGTGATATTTTTACTTTTCTCTTTCGCTGATGACGCCGTTGATTTGGTGTGGCTCCATTTATGAGTAAATTAGTGAGTGCACCGAATGCGGCGAACGTGTCCAATTAGTCGAATCGAAATGTTTACAAACAAACACTCTGGTGTGCGCAATAAATTTGCGAAAAAACAATTTGAAATGGCCAAGAGGAAAGCTCACGCAAAAATATACACAGTGGGAAAGAAATGGTCAAGTGTTTATAATATAAATTTGATATTAAAATTGCTTTGGGTTTATTCTTATGATGTTATACTTTCATATGTAATATGGCTAATGAAAATACTTATTATTTGGTAACAAATCCTTCATAAAAGTTTAGGTTTAATAATGATTTTGAATCCTTTTTTAATATTAACAATTTCCAACGAGCTAGAAAAGTAATTTTCTTGAAACTAACATATATTTGATATGTGTTTTGATTTAATAGAAATTTAGCTAAAATATATCTCTAAGTGTGCTTGGCTTGTAGGCAAAAGACGCAAAAAGTTGGCGTCTTAAGTGTTGGCCAAGTCTGTGGGCAGTACCTTTCCCTCCCATCTCACATTCCTCACCCCCCGTTTTCCACCATTTTCCGAACGACAAGAAGACTATGCACATATAGATAACGATATTGGCGCCACATAAACTCAATATAACCCGTTATCATCCGCTTGTAATCTCAACCATCAGAAAACTCACATTTGCATACAGTGCACTTTTCTATTTTGTTCAAACGACACTTTTTTTTTTGCAATCACGCACGAAACTCCTGCAAACTGTGCACTGTGCGAATGTTACATTAATGTGAATCCAAATCCGAATCTCAATCTAAACCGGAATCGGAAAATGCTGCGACTGCGACGCACGTTGTCGGCGCGTCTGCCAGCGAACGACTGAAAACTGAAGAGCAAAAGCACAGCCAGATAGTCGCCGAATGACAGGCGAATGCGAATGTTGCTGCTGTTGCTGGTGCTGCTGTTGTGACTGCTGGTGTTGGTGTTGTTACTGCAGATGTTGCTGCTGTCTCTTATCGCAGTTGCTGCTGTGTGCTACTTTTACTCTTCGCTAGAAATGCCAAAGAGTGACAGAAAGAAAGAGCGCCAGTTAGACATGAGTTCATTTTTGAAATGCTCTACAGGTAAAGTGAGTAGTAAGAATTGGGAACTTAGGGACTTGGAAATCTCTTCAATCTGTAAAAGATAATAATAAGAGTCATTTGAACTTTTCATATTTTATGCTAGTTTGGCATAAAAGTAAAAATAAAGAACTACGAAAAGTCTCTACAAATTCGTTTGGAATTGCCAGAGCTAGCGACTGGGCATCCTTGATTAGGAAACCTTCATTACTATTTAATTTTTCAATATTATTTGCTATATAGAAAGGTCATGTAGATATTCAATAACTTAATAGGTCAAATTGATTTTTTATTAAGCAACTTTAGCTACTTAATTGCTTTCGATAAGTACATTAAATTAAGTACCAACTAAGCTCTAAAGTAGTTATTATTTAGCCCCATGTCGTATCAATTTTCTAAATTACATATATGGGAGAACCCAAGTGCACGTCAAATTCGTATTGACCCCGCGACTTCTGTGCGATTTTCTCTTTGCCGGTCAATTACCGGCTATTGCCAAAACGAAGCCCAGTAGGAAATTTCTTGCCATTTTCGAGTCGGACTCCAAGTAAGGGGAGACTGTCGACACGATTGACGCTTGACTCTTGGCCGCCGGCGTACAATAAATCATTGCAGTCACTACAATGCAGTCGATTTAATCGCAAGACGTTGCAGAGGAAGAAAATATTTCGCTAAATAGTAAATATTTTTAAAATGTGGCTAATAAACTTACAATAAGGTTGAAATTTATCCCTTAGTACTTATAATTTGTTTGCCAAATACTTATATTAACCAACTAACTAACAACTTCTCTCAGTGCACATCCAATTTGAGGTGTGGTGAGAAAAAGTTGAAGCAAGTTCGAGGGGGACTGTTGTTATTGATACACTGACGCATTTCATTCAACGGCAACGGCCAAATGCGGCAACAAAAGCCCAACAAGAAACATGAAAAACAAGCGCGAGACTTTGTAAACCGCAGCTGGAACTTGAAGTGGGAAAATATAAAAAACAGTGGGGCGGAGGAGGCGATTGAAATCACGCAACAGTTGGAAAATCGAAAGATATATGAGGAGGGGAAAACAAGTGCGACTTTGATTCGATTTGATTTGTGGCTGCATTTTGCATTCGAACGCAGTTGGGGACTTTGCGCATGCGCATGAACTTGACATTTCAGCTTTCGATTCAATTGCTTCGCTCTAATCACACTTTTTTTATAGTACGTATGTAGGAAGGGGGGCTCTATTTGTGGCAATGAATCAATCAAATGAATTGAGAGGCGTAACAATGCGGCGATAATAGTTTAAGAGCCAACGGACTGTGTATACTAATTGAGTTTGGTGGCGGGGAATGTCTATCTTGGAGGCATCAACTGCATAATTTGAACTTGTTTTATGGCAATTCAATTATGTTGTCAAATCATCTATGAATAGTAGAAATAAGTTCAATTGGCTGAAGCCCAATAAATCTATTTTAATTAGTGGTCATGCGAAATTAGCAAGTAAATACTACTACTTTTAAATACAACTATTTTATTTTTATAAAAAACGAAGAACAAATATTTATCAATACATCTAAAGTAAACAGAATATCATTATTGCAATTTACGCAATTGCTGTCTTTTTAAAGAAATATGTAGCTAGATGCAAAAACGAGTAGGCTGGAGCATAGTCCCGGCGACTTCCTTTCTGAATTTTGTGTCCCTTTTCTTCTCTTCTTCTCTTCTCTTCCTCTTAAATTTATGTGACGACAAATTCAGCTGCGCTATGATAGCGCCGCTATCTGCCTGCAATAGTATTGACATCCCATTCACTCTCTCACTTAGCACGTCAAGGGACCACATAAATCCTTAGATTACGTTGTCTCACTTACTCTTCACATCTCGTTAAAATTATCTGTTCCCACTCGTACCAGCATAACATGAGAATGAAACGAACTAGGAACCAACTAGAAACGAGACAACCAACTACGAATGAGAGGCCGTTAAAATCATCGTGTAACGATATAATATTAAAAATAAAAATTTTATAATATTATAAACAAAATATTAATATTATATAGCCAAAATTACAATTAAAATCTTAATTTTTATTTAAATTTATATTAAACGTTAATGTGGTTTACATTAAAGAACTCATAAAACACGAATTATTAAGCCATATTTTATATTATTTTATTTAGCTTAACTGCAATTAGTTTAATAATTATTAATTTATTTAAAAATACAGCTAAACATCAAATATTATTATCGGCTTATGGTTTAAACTTTTACTCGTGATTTTAAATTGTTAAATTTGTTTGAAAATATTTAATATTTTTAATAAAACTTTAAAATAAATATTATAAATTCCCAAAAATAAGAATATTTTCCCACATTTCCCACAAAATAGTAAGCATTAATTTTAGTTACATTTTCTTTATTGACAGAATGTTCAAGCATTTCCTCCCGGAATGCACTTGGCATTCCCATTGAAGGAAAGCTAGGAGCGGCTTTTCACAGGAATGCTTGGAAAATGTAGGCTAGATAAATAGGTAATCGAGAGATGGGAGGCAACCACTGACGTGGCCGTGTGCTTAGGTCGAAAGGGAATTTTGATGGCTGAGTTTTATGGACAGGTGTGAAGGGATCCTGTTCAGGTGCTAGGTGCGAGTACCCTGTCTATATATGTTTGTCTTTATATATACAATGTATTTACAAAACAGTGTTGCTTCATGGGTAACTTTCCCACAAATTTTCAGTTTCCATGGTAGAGGCAGTGGTCCGATCAGCAGAGGGATTCTATAGCTTCTATAGTATCCTTCTTACAGAGTTCCGGGAGCTGGGGCAGCGTTGATGGAGGCCACCGACTGGATGTGTCCGGCCAGGGGAGCGGTGTGGACGGCTCCGCGGGTCTGGGCAGTGTAGACACCCTCATGGGCCACTGGGGCCACGACGACGGCAGGAGCATGGGCAGCAACCACGGCGGGAGCGGCGGCATGAACGGCCACGGCAGCTGGGGCAGGGATCGCTGCCGGGGGCCAGGAAGCCACATTCACGGCGGCGGGCCAGTGGGCGGCGGGAACGGCCCAGGGAGAGGCCACCACAGCGGGTCCGGAAACGGCGGTGTAGGAGAGTCCATGGCCAGCCACCTGGGACAGCAGGGGGATCACAGACGACTGCACGCCCATGGCGAGGGCCAAGGTGAAGACAACGGCGACGGCGAACTGAAGAAATATTGGGAGTTCGAATTAGTTTTTAGTTTACTTCAGATCGGTTAACGATCTTTTTCAGTTTAATCCATTAAAAGAGTTAACATCTGTCATGGTATTTCTGCCAGATCCCTAAACTCTTTTATGATAAGGATAAACCCTGTTTTTAACTCACTTTCATGGTGCTGGTTGTGGGTTTTGGGTTGCGCTCGGATTGAACTCTTGTTCTGAACTGATTTGTCAACGGTTCGGCTGGCCAGTTTTATACCCCACTGCTGACCACATCAGCTATGGAAAACTGCTACGTCGGAGGGTTCATGAAAGTGAGAGTTCACACACCATGACACGGTGGACACTGCTGACACTGCCCGGCATGCATATGATCAGCGAGCTAATGACATGCCTCGGATCTGAGCGGATCGGATCGGTTCGGATCGATTCAGATCGATCTATTGGCTGTGAGATCAAACGGCTTTGTTCAACGCCTTCAAAGCGCTTTTGTGGAAGAACTAGTTCTACACCTACTTTGTTGTTAAATAATTATTATTTAATATGGCAGAAACTTATTTATATATATTACAAGTTGTTAAATATAATGTAAAAGAGATACAAATATAACAGAAAAATATCTTAAGTAAGCTAGGAAAACCTTGGAAAGTGCTTTGCCATCTTATTATTAAGGAACCTGTGGGCCCTTATGATGATTCTGAAATATTAATGAACACAAATTTATTATTTTTTATATATTTAAGTAAAATCCAACTTAAAATAAACAAAGCAACATTAAAACTTATATAAAAAATCAAGTCAAATTCAATGAAAACATCCCAAAAATGAATTTTATCATAATAATAGCTACGATTAAGGTTTATAATAAGTTTTACCACAAAAATATAACTTTTTCCTTCACATTAAAAGATAAATCCCTTTTAAATCACATACCACTAATGCGAACCTATCAACATTATATCAACTAATTATAACATGAACTAACTCATAATAGAACCACCACCTTAACCACATCACTCACAGCTTGCACCGCCCCAGAAATGCATTATCGGTGAGTGTGGTTTTCCATCTCCGTGGCCATGTGGCTCTAACTGTCTCAGTTTGTGAGTGAGTGGCCCAACCCACTTTTAAAGCTGCAGTTCCGGTAAGTTGATTTTCACTCCATCACACCGCCACTTTAATTACTTAATTGTTGTTTGTGCCCGATTAGCATTTCAGTATGATTTATAACACGATTCCAATTATGGTCCGATCCGTATCCTGTATAAGGCCGGCTAATAACTGATTTATGTGTCTTAAGGGTTAATCATATGCCAGGAAACACCCACTTAAGCGATTAATTTTGTATTATATTTATGGGTGAAATTATAAATAAATAAATTAAGAGCATATATTAGCTTTAAAATATGATCTGTAATCATGTTAAGGGAAGGGATTTAAGGGAATATCAAGAAGGATAAGTTTTGCCTGCAGATTATGGAATTATAAGCTTATTTATGAACTTTCCAGTTTAAGGAATTTACATAAAAATCTTTGAAAAAGATGAAGGAAAGTGTTTCTTTCTTTTATATTAGTAAATATTTCTTATTACTTTTCACAGGACAAACATTATTGCCCCTCCTTTTACATAACCAAATCATTAATTTAAATTCCTGAAATGCAAATCTTTTAATACAAAAGCATACAAACTTTATCTCTGTTGCCAGGCCATTTCCCTAATTATTTCCACCTCCGATTACCTAATGGAATCGAACATTGCACAACATTCACCTGGCCAAAATGGATCCGGCGTGTGGGTGTCTAACGCCTGGAACAGCCCACATAAATATATGGCAAACCCATTAGGTGCAGCAATTAAATCCGACTTTAGTGCAAATGCAGCCCAGCAAAGACAATTCAATTATGCCGAAAACAAAAAAACAAAAGGGGCATAAGGTAAAAACTTGTTTCCATGCCAATGTGGGTGAGATCAATCGAAATCTTGGCTAAAAACTCTTGGCAGACACCGAAAAATACCCAAAAAAAAAAAAAGAGTTCAAGTTGAATTCTTGCAATGCGATGATAATCTGTAATTAGCGGCTACTATAATTTGCTAGCTGTGGCAATTATTTAGTTGTACCAGAAGCCCAGGTGCTGACTAAAATCGAAACTTGGTCTCTGTGCGATCTGTAATTAGCGCTAAGCGTTTGCATAATTAAGCATACGCCCTGTATGCCCAATACGTGCATATGGAATATATATATATATATGGCTGGGTCCGCTCCAATTAACTCGATCTAATGACCATTGGCCCCCAACTTGACTACCGTTGGCCTGTACTAACGCCAAGCAAATTAGGACTGTCACTATAATAATACACAGCCAAAGACAAAGACACATTCGATCAAGATCAAGACATTCTTAGCAGATATGGAATCAATTGAACAATTTGTCGGCTTTTCAAGGTCGAGCAGGTGCAACTAAAAAGACACAAGGCTATAATTAACTAATAAATGGGACTTATGATTTAGTTCAATTTAATGAGAGCTTAAAAGTGATGCAATGCTGTGTTTTTGGTTAAGGCCAAGGTTTGTTTGGTGATCTTAAAACTAGAATGATTCTGATTCTGATTAGTAGATGGAAGTAAACTCTACAATGTATGTATTACTAATCTGATCTGTATATAACTCTTTAAGACAAACTGACTTAAAAACATGTTTACAAACATTGCGAAATATTCGTTTCCTTAGGTTTTTTAATGACCAAGTTTAACTTCAAGCCCAAAAATTATTTAAAAATGTTTATGAATTGCAAAGGAAGAAATATATTAATAATTTTTAAAAATATCCATAAAATTATACAAATATTTGTTTAATAATTATAATAATAATAAATATTTTTAAGTCCAAAAAACTATACCAAAATGGTCTTGAAAAGATGGGGACTTCTTTATTTCCAATTATTAGCTTGTCAAAGAAGTCTTGCGGTGGCGTAGTTCTTGTTTTGTTCGACGCATCAGGTGACATACTATACCTTTTTGGAAAGCTCATTTCATGCGCTAACACGTGTTTGATTGATTGTCTTTTCTTTTAAGTCATTCGTAAGGTTATAGCGTCGCAATCATGGAGCAAAATAAAGAAAAATATGGCATATTTTACAGGACTACGATAAAGGCAAAAATCCTCAAGCCAATAAAATTTGGCAGATTGTGAACCCGATACAGTTTCCATATCCACCGCACAACGATGGTATCAACGTTTTGTTCTGGTGTCGAAGATGCGCCACGCCCGAGTTTTTGCCAATAGGGAAGGAGCGATATTATGATTAGTTGGAATCATTGGGAACGCGTCATCGAACAAAACGGCGCATATTTGACTTGAATCGCATTATTGTAACCAATTTTATACCGCAATACTTTTTTGACAACCTAATATTATTATTAAATATCATTAATATTAATGTTTAATCATTTTTCAACCTACAAGTAAAGGCTAAAATATATACAGATTCTTTACTTTTTCTCTTGATTGCATATATTTTATATATTTTTTATATTTTTTAATCAGTTTTTCCCACTTTTCCTCTCCCATTCTCCCCCCAAAAAACACCACACTTAATTCGTATAAAAAACGCTGTTTGAGTTTATTTATAACGCTTTCATCAATCTTTACATTGTTGCAGATTACTAGAGTACAATGGGATATTTACAGGTTGATAGGTCATAGCCTAGGAGGATATGCCAGACAGAGTGATATAGATTATAGAAGGATAATAGAGATAGTTTAGAGAGAGAGAAAAGAGATAGCAGATGGGAAGGCTTTAAAGAAGAAGAGTTCTCAAAAAATAAAATTAACATGCTGTCGTTTGTTGGTTTGTTGTAGTTGTTGTAATTGCTGTTGGACTTATATATTGCTGAGTGCGTTGGGAAATGTCCAGAGGATATGGACATGGACCCAAGGATCAGGATCGTGTTCGTATCGGGGGGACTAAGAGCGGTGTGCTTAACAAATAGGTGTACAGAGAGAGATGGGTATTTATCCGGTTGGAGTAGTAGTCGTCGTGGGTAGTCGCTGAAGCAGTTGGAGATCAGTTGATACTGCCATCCATCCGCTCCGTTTGGCATCGTCTTGATAATGGTTTATCTCAGGCACTCCCGACTTACAGAGTTCCCGGGGCAGGGGCCACGTTCACGGAGGTGGCAGAGTTGATGTGTCCGGCAAGGGGAGCGGTGTGGATGGCACCACGGGTCTTGGCCACATAGACGCCCTCATGGCCATGGCCGGCGGCCAGACCAGGTCCCTGGGCGAGGTTGATTCCGGGAACGGCAGCACCGTGCCATCCGGCACCGGTCAGACCCCAGGGAGCAGCGCTGGCATGGACGGCAACGGCGGCGGGGGAGCCCCAGGCACCGTTCCAGCCGTTGTTCCAGGCACCGTTCCAGGCACCATTCCAGGCACCGTTCCAGGCTCCATTCCACAGACCAGGGGCACCATGGGCCACGGGGCTCACATAGGACACACCGGGAGCAATCTGGGCCCACGAGGCATGAGCTCCAGCCAGGGCGCACACGAACATGACTACGGCAACGGCGAACTGGAAATTGATATTAAAGAGTGGGGGTTAGGGATTACTTACAAAATTCTAGAGATTTGAAAATTCTAAAAAACAGTTTTCAGAAATGTTCCTGGGGAGGTCCTTTGCTCACCTTCATGTTTGTTGTTTGGGGTGGGTGTTTGAATTTGGGTTGTTGAAGGAGAAGTGGTTGTGTTGAATACTCAGCGAACGAGTTGATTCTGATTTCGACTACCAAATTGTGGCAACTTTTATACGAAAAACCCGGCGCGGACTTTGCTTCGCTTTTCCAATTCAAAAACCAAAACCGAAACCGAAACCTGCCCCCCAAGCCAAGAAAATATATATCAAAAAGCGCACAGAGAGGCGAATGGCGCGAGAGACTCTGCTCTAGAGCAGACGCCGACGCCCAAGACTCGGGCAGAATTGGAGTACCCATACCCACCATAACCATACCCATAGATCCGCTCCGGGTTTTGGCCTTTCACTGCCCAGCTGCTCGAAGATCTTTGCCTTGGGTGTCGCTTCCCGGTCTGTGCTCCTCCTGGCCCCTCTTGCCACTCGTCTGACCACCACCCTCTAAAGCCACGCCCCTCTCTCCACGAAAAGAGGGCGGGCGGGGCGTCAATGATTGCGCAAATTGCCACAGTCTAACTTCTATAGGTAAAAACTAATATAAAGACGTAACGTAAGCCAATCAGGAGTTAGTACTAAATCGTAATCGTATGATCTGTTAGATAGTTTATGGAAGTTGTAGGGAAGGGAAAGGTAGTGAGTCAGTTTTCCATTAATGTTTTTATTTTTTAGTAATAAGAGTTTTAAACTTAACTTAAACTATAAGCAGAGAATGAACCTTCTTGAGTCTTTGGAAAACGATTTCTAAGTCCATTTTCAACCTCAACCTCTCTGAAATTTAACAAACATAGATTTCAGCTACATAAAATCCCTGCTTAGGAGTCTCCACTGTACAAACAAGAATTTAGAGCCGAGGGTGAAACACAAACACACATAAGGATAGATATTGAGCCGACACAATCGGTTGGCTCAATCAGCGGCTCGAAAATTGCCACAAACACCAAATTATATTGATAAAGCCACAAACACATTTAAAGAGCCATAAGCACGGGGCCCAGAGAGCAATCAATTTGCAATGGCACAGACCACAGTCTTAGCCAGCATTAGCTTTCAGAATTCTTTGTTGCAATTACATATATATGTATATCTGTGTGAGTGTGCATTTGGCTTGCAGCTTGGGGCATGGAATTTCTGTAAAGTAAAGTTAAGTAAAGTAAACTAAAATAAAGTCGCGTGCCTACACTGAAATGCCAATTACTTGGCCCCAAGGCGGACTTAGAACTTAGCCTCTGCAATGACTAAATCAATGCAATAAAATTTAATTGCCTTTGAAATGCCAAGAAGTTAGTGAACCGTTAAAATCCTTATTTAATAGATGGTTGTTTTTGTTGTTTTTTTTAAACACAATTTGTGATGGTTAATGAGGAGAACCTATAAGGAAGTGACAATCTGATATTGTACGAGTATATTGGCAGTATGAAATATAAAATATGTTTGTTAAATCAGTTTGTAATTTTAAAGTTTAAAAGACTATTAAAACTTAAAGTATTATTATATTTTTTAAATATTTGCAACAATTCTTGTTTAAATATCCATCTGGAAAACTTATTAAATAAGCAACAATTTTGCAAGTCAATAATTTTAATTAACATTCCAAAATCTTTTCAAAAATTCAAACTCTGCTATTCCAGAATTCTGGAATTTTTCGCAGTGTTTTAAATAAACAATTAGCCACTGCAGTTTTGGCTTGTTTTCGCTGCCCGCTGCTCTACCAAAAATAGGAAGGCAATGGCCGTATTGTGGCGGGGCAACGCCCAAGAATAAATATAATCAAAGGCTGTCAGCATTGGCAAACAATAAAAATGCAAAATAGCAAAGCGAATTGTTGGACTACATTTCCATGTTTGGGGCATTTTGGCTTAAAGGCGCCCCTCAGCCCAATAGCATTCTCAGCAGTCTCAACTTGAAATTGTCATGGACAAGCAGATCAAAAATGTTGGCCACGTTTTTAGACGTGGGTCAGAGTGTCATAAGCTGGCCAAATGTGAGACCAAAGACCATTTAGAGGACAGCTGCAGCGAAAAATATGCAGCGATCCATTAATCACAGCCAATATGATTATGCATAGGGCCCGAAACGGGTCTTAGTGGAATGTCAAACGTGTCTAACTGGCGCAATTAGACCAACTTAGCGAGAAAACAAGAGCAATTTGAAGAACGGGACGGACTGGGCCCTTCACCTCGGTTCTATTAGAGCTTCATTAACAAAACCAGCTAGCCTAAAATATATGCATTATGGCAATCAATTCCATTTAACCGATGACGAAATACTCGCCGTTTTATTGCAAATTTTGAGATTTTTCCAACGATGACCAGCAGACAATGCAGGCCAATATTTTAGGGCGTGTTTAACTTTTTTTTTTTGCCAATTCTATTTTTTGCCATTGTTTCGCTGGGGCGGGGCGCTCCAGTAATAACCATCTTGTCGGTTTGGTAATGATCGGTCAGTTTATCGCCCGCAAATCGCATAATTGGCGCAGGTTTTTTATTTCAGCCAACCCGCAATTATGCAAATTTTGTTAGCGCATTTACAAGGCAATACATCAGGCATGTAAACGAAAAGTGATTTTTAATATAAAAAGTTTAAGATTCTTTTAATTATTCTTTCTTAAAAATTTGATTAAAGCTTTAAGACAGGGGTGCTGCTCAAATTCCTCTTAACGCAAAGCATCTCTTAATAGAAAATAAGTCGAAAACAAACGAATTTCGATTAAAATATGACTCGAAAAAGACTCTTTAGGAAGAGTCGCGGCTAGGGTTCCTTTTCTCCCGAACAGGAGAGTCGAAGATGACTCAAATTCGATCAGAAATTTCATAAAATGCTTGCTGGGTTAACACAAATACAAGAAAGCGTGCACAGTTAGCGACGGGATGTGGCGGAAAGAGGAATACGAAAAAATTTTTGTGGAATAGCACGCAGTTCGAGGATGATCCAAAAAGAAACAAGAACAAATTGTATTGCAGTTGGCGACGGAATGAAACGGAAAGAGGAAAACGAAAAATTGTAAGTGGAATGGCCCCGTGAGCTCTCAAAAGCTTATGGGACAAGCAAAACCATATGAGCACTCAGAGCATAGGCGTTGAGTACCCGTGCCTTAAGAATTTCGTTAAATAATACCAAGTTTACAAAGAATTTACATTCCATCTGTTCCCAATAGTAATTAATCCTTGTTTCATTTATAGAACATAACAATTTCCGAAACCTAAAATGGCCAGTGTATATCATCTATAATCTATTTAAAATCGATAGGCGACAAGAAGCCGATTACTAAACAATCAAATATTTTTGACAGCACTCAACTTTGATAACTTTGTACGAGAACATCACAACGTAAAACTGTAAAATCTTCAGAAATTTCTATTTCTTGTTTTATTTTTCTACCAACAAAATGAGTCAATTAGTTGGAAAGGCCAAGGCTCTAGTCGATAGTAAGTTCATTACTCCTAATTTGGCTAAAATATATTAACTATTTCCTATAATGATCCAGAAATGATTGTGGCAGCACGTCCGCAGCTGGAGGAATTCTGGAAGTATGCCAAAGTAGAGCTAACACCGCCGATGCCAGCTGATTTCAAGAATCTAAAGAAGACCGCCGAGCAAGCCAAGGATATGAAGGGCCAGCTTAAGAAGTCTGGACTTACCCAGGTCACCATCAGTGAGGCCTGGCTAAATGTTCTGGTTACTGTGGAGGTGATTACCTGGTTCTACATGGGCGAGGTCATCGGTCGCCGTCACTTCGTCGGCTACAAGGTCTAAGCTAAACTGATCTAATATTTTCCTTATTGTTTTTCGTTGCATATATGTATGTAAATACCACTTTGCATATGTATCCGTTCAGTGGCCAGGTGCACTGAATAAAGGTGCACTATCAGCATTACAATCATGGGTGTAGCTGTCTTTATTGTCTTTTCTTCATAAACTTCAAGTTAAGTAACTCAAACAAGGCTTTGTAGAATTCAAATTGGCTTAATAATGTTTTTAGTTATGTTTGGCAGAAAGAATTTTCTAATGAAAAAGATATTGGTAAGGATGCAGGCTTAAGTTAGTGTGTAATAAGAAGGCAAAGTTCCCTCTTCTTAAAGATCTTTCCATCCAAATGCGAAAAAAGCTTAGTAATGTCTTTTAGTTTCTTGTAAATATCTGCATACATAAATTCTCTGTGACCAGGTGCACCGCTTGGTAACTCCCACTCCGTCACTCAGAGCTGCCCCGCCTTGAATTCCGGATAACCATTGGCCCGGCATAAGCAACGCGCTCAGTTGAGATCTCCGATCCGCCGCTAAGCTGGCATTGATCTTGGGCATTCTGAAATTCTGATTCTCCGCCGCAAGGCGAGTGCTGCGCAGGCGTCCGAGTGGCAAAGCGTTATGTTTCTAAGTCACTGAGACAGCGGACACGGGCTGCACTCCGGTCAAGTGGCATAAATCAGATTGACGCCGTGGCAGTTGCACAACCCAAAACCCAAACAATGCCAACGGACGTGTGCACCACCAAAGTCGAAAGTACAGACAAACAAGCTGAAGGCAGAATTTTAAAATGCAGAAATATTTTTGAAAATTATAAAAGTAAAAGTAAAGAGTGGAAAGGTATTAAAAATAGTTTTTAAAAATTGATTATAAATATAAAATAAAACTATGATTATTGAAAGTATTTTTAAGCAAAAGATTTTTTAACTAAACAATCTTTTAGTTACAGCAGGCCAAGTCCTAATAAATCTCTTAAGACTCTTGCCTAGTTTTGTTTGGTGGCCAATTTTTGAGCCATTAGAAGTTTGACAGACAAATTTTTTGCCTGACTGTAAATATCGAATTTACCTCTTGTCCCAATTTTAATGGCATTTTAATAACAAAGCCAGCCTGCTAGCAACAGCCTTTGTTGCAATCTCACCGCCCGATTGCATCATGCCAAAGCCGCAGACTATGGCTATATGGTGGGTCCTTATCACAGCTCTCCGACTGACAACGCCCACTTTTGGCCCGATGAATTCGATTTCGAATTCGAATTCCGTATTAAAATCGCATAAACAGAATGAAATTAATTGTGTTGTGGCAAAGGGGGGGAATTAAGACGGCGCTTAGAGGGGCAAATCAATGTTAGCCACGCTTGAATTCAATTTGGCGGCTGCCGATTGTTGCAACTTGTAAACTGGCAACAAGGTGGAGACCCAAATGGGGTGGGCTTTTTTTCTTGCCGGTTTCCAGCATTTGGTAACCAGACATTTCCACCCACACCGCCAACACCTCTGGCCCGCTGCTCATTATTTAATTTGGTTTTCATACACTACGTGTGAAATAAACACCAGCGGTTCACCTGGCACACCTGTAAGGCAGATTTAGGTTTAGAAAATTGCTAAGGAAATCTAATGGTTGTGGGATAAGAAGGATGAAAAACCACAAAATGTATTTTGGTTTTAAAAATTATTTGACTATTTTATAAGTGAAATAAGATCTCTGAGATTTGGCTTAATTTTTGAAGGAAAATATGAAATAATATTATTTAAAGTGGTTGGATTTATGTATGTTCTTATTTGATATTAAATGAATAAATTAAGAAAATGATTTAAGTAAGACCATCTACTGGTCGACTATCCCATAGTTTTTTAACTTTTAATTGTTGTTCGAAGTAAATTAATTTAACTAGCTCTGCATGGGCAATCACACTTGGACTCTGGCAAGGAATTTTCGAGTGGGCGGCCTCGAAAAGGCTGTTCACATTTTTTTGTATTTTTAGGAATCGAACTGAGAGCCTTCACCTGATGCAATTGCAATCGCAACGTAATCGATTGGTTAGGTATTCCTAACCTCCCTCCAACCCAATAACCGTTAGCTTGCGATCAAGATCTGCGGGTAATTAATCCAATTACAATTAGTATGCTAAGCGGACGCTTAATGGTCATTACGAGAGGGCAATAATTAACCACTTTTGTGGCCGCTGTTGTCACTACACAACTGTCACAACTAACAAAGAGCTTAGCCATACGATTGTTGCTAATTCAACGAGTGAGTTCTATCTATGGGCTGGTTAGTGTGTTTATGACGTTAGCAAGTGGCTGGCGGAATGTCTGGATATTGTATGGGGCCCCCATCCAGCTTGTGTTGCTGCCACAAAAATCAAAAAAAAAAATAAAAATAAAAGGAAAATCTGAACGAGTGTGTGCAACAAGTTTGTTTGCAGCTCATGCAACCCATGCCAAGATACTTGTCGCTCACTCGGCGGCGGCAGCGAATATTTTTTTGGCTACAGGTTGCTGCCGCCAGCCGTACTATATTTAGGCCACCAACCAGTTGTGGGTGCGGATAAGAAAGCCGTGTTTGCTATTACGAAATCCAGTTGGTAATGGTTTGCATTTTTGGTTTTCCGACTGTGAAAATCGATTGCAAATATGTCCACAAAAAAGAAAAACGCCCTGTTCTGATCGGTTCTGGCGGATGAATCACCTTCGTCAGCAAAACTGGCTCGATCCTTGCCCGGAACACTGACCTTATTCAATAACTCATCGCCCACGCGAAAGTCAACGGCTTAAATGATGTAATGGCTGTGTGCACTTAAAGAAATGTTTTAGTTTTATTTGCTTTGAAGTGATTTGTTAGTAAATGGTTATGGTATATGGAAACCATTAGGTTAATAGTTGGTTTTATGATTATTTATTATTGCAAATTAAACTATTTGATGTAGAGTAACAAACTATTAGAATTATAAGCAATTTAATCCATATTTATTATATGATTTCTTAATCAGTTTATGTTATTATTTTTCTTAAGAACTACAGCTAAACTTTCTTGTCATAAAATCTAATTTAATATTATTTATAGTGTCTTAAGAAATTAATACTAAATAATAAGAAGTTCTGAATATTAAGGAAGCTTATAAAAGTTCTTAGATATCTTTAAAAATCTTATTTTTACAAGGTAAGCTTAACCAACTTTCGTTCTTATTACAACACATACTTTTTTTTTTTTTATCCGCCTGCCAAATGACCAAAAAGCCAACTGCCTTCGCCTTGCCACCAAAAAAAAAGTTAAAAATGCGTAGACCAGAAATCAATGAAAAATCCATCGCAGTGGGCCAAGTTGAACTCGATTCTGCGTGGCAAACCAGAAACTGCGAAATGCGTTCGGCTCAAGTGCGTTGCAGTGCAGTGAACTCGTTTTGTAGCAGGAAGTTGAAGCAAAGTGCGTAAACTTGAACTTGCAGGTGGTGGCACTGCCCCAACATCATAGCAGGAGGAGAGGGAGTCACATTCGGTGGCTGCGTCATGCGTTTGTGAATTTGCGTGCACACGCAGCCACCGAGATCGAGTTTGTAAGCCCACACACTGGGCTAGCAAAGAAAACAAAAAGTGAATGGCTGGGGCTAGATTTATGGGCAATTGCCATGGGGCTTGGCTGCCGACACGACACTAAACAACGCCGGCAAAATGTTTAGCTGCTGTTTGTTGAGCTGCCACTTGGACACAGCCCACCCCCTTCCTCCTCCTCGCCCTCTTTTCTTGGCCTCACGTTCCGGCGTCAATTGACACTTCTATTGAAAGCCCAAGCATTTTTCTCGCTTATCATGCTTTCCGGTCAAATAGATTTTCAGTCAAAACGGTGAGGGATCAAGTTAGTAGAAATGTGGCGTTTTGTTTAGATACACTAATGCCTATATTATATTACTTTAATTATACTTATGTATGTTTATAATATATATTTTTTAAATTTCAAAATTTAATCGTATTCGCGTCGTATTTGGTCCGCTTGAGCATGTCTGCTCTTCGTGAACTCTTCTCGAACACTCTTCGTGCCTCGTGTCCTCGTTGCTCGTCGTTCGCTTTTTCTCGTCTTCGTCTTCGTCGTGCTCCTCGTTAACACCTCCTTCGCCAAATGGTCAATCGCCGTTACTTTTAATGAAATCTCTTCGTTCCTGGTGTTTCGCTAGTCTAGGAACTTTGTATGTTTCTATTCACCATTCCACAAAGATTACTAAAAATAACAACAAAAAAACAAGAAAAAGGCAACAAAAAATTTCAAAATGCCCAAAAATCATAAGCATTTTAGATTTTTTCAAAGACTTGTCATAATTTGATATCATGTTTTTGTTAAAATGTATACTTTTAGCACACCTAACTGGTCTCCAATTATTTCCGAAACTAAAAGTTAAATTGTGTAAATTAATGACTTTTACTAACACATTGACTATTAAAAATAGTTTAATTATTTGTCATAAAAATGGTAACATTACTTTAAGAGTTATAAAATGCATTGGTTTTTATATCATTTAACCTCAATGTGGCAACAGAAAATCCTACATTTTACATCCATCGGCATTGTTAACAATAGCCCAACGGCTTTTAAAGGCCCAAAGTGGGCGTTAAGGCGGATCTGATCTGAACTGCATTACTTTGCATGGGCATTACTTAACTCCATCGCAGCCATATCAAGTTTTTGCACATTTTTTCTCCGATTTTTTTCTATTAATAATTGCAAGTGCGAGTGTGCGGCGATCAAGGCAAACAGCCAGCCCCTGCTCCAGTTCGAGCTGTACTCTCGTTTTCAGTTCAAAGACCAGTTCGTTGGCAACAAAGTTGTCCAGCTGCCGAGCAACTGCGTCTCGTTTCTGGAGCGGCCTTTTGTCAACGCCCCTGCTATAGAGCAGCATTAAGGCCCCGGAATTGATTAATTACTCGGTAATCAGTAATCGGCCATCGATCGAGATTGTTTTAAGCCATTTAAACTGTTTAATATTTACTGGACTTGAAGCCGTGGGAGTTGGCCAAAAGGGTGGGGTCTCTAATTGGCCATCCAAAAGGTGAGCCGATCCCCTTGTTAATTGCGTAAGAATTTTTGCCAATTTTTCTTCAGAGATCAAGAGGTAGGCCGTTCTACCGTAAGAACTTAAATTTCTATATAATTTCCTTCTAAATAAATAAAATACATTTAAATTTTTTTAATAACATTTTTTTATTCAAAAAGAAACAAATTTCCAGATGACAACAGTGGGGTGGATAAATATAGACCAGAGAATAAAGCGGAAAGCGATAGACTGGATAGGATTGACTTAGATTGCTGAAGAAATGAGAACCCGATGGGCTCTCAATAGTGGAAAGACCATGCGGGAACTTAAAAAACCAAAAAGTTATGTGGAACAGATGGGTGTAGAGTGACGGTCAAGATCGAAGTAGATGTAATCCATGGGATATTTCAGGTCTTTACCAGGTGCCTGGTGCGGGTTCCAGGTTCACGGAAGCGGCGGACTGTACATGTCCGGGCAGAGGAGCCACATGGACGGCACCACGGGTCTTGGCAACATAGCTGGCCTCTGGAGCAGCGACAGCCACCACGGCGGGGGCATGGGCAGCAACGACGGCGGGTGCGGGAGCAGCAATCACAGCCGGAGCAGGGGCGGCAATCACAGCAGGACCAGACTGAATGAGCAGGGGTCCAGCTGGGGAAAGAGCCAGGGGAACGGCAGCGGGAACAGCAGAGGCCTGAATGGCCACCGAACCGGCAACGGCGGGAGCACCAAGCACCACACCTCCGTGGGCGGCGGTCAGGAGAGGCACCACCGAGCTGTTGACTCCCCAGGCCAAAGCGAACAGGACTACGACGACGGCGAACTGGAAATAAAGATCAAAGTTTGGTAATTAACTTTAGATAATAGACGATTAGAAATAACTTAAATTTTATATTTTTAATATTTATGTTCTTAGCTTGTTTTTGAACCTTTTACCCTCTGTTAAGAAAGTCTATGTTTTTCTATGTTTTCGTTCATCTTCATTTCTTTTTCCGTTTAAGGAACTTTTAAACTTTTTAGATCCTTCACATTTGATAAGTTTTCTGATTCAGCTTCAATTACTTATTACTTCCGTTTAAAATCTGATATTTGAATTTTTCATATTTACAAAACTCCTGGTTTTTAATATCCCTTCGATCTCACCTTCATGTTGCTTCTGTGATCTCAGTGACGATTGAAACGAAACTAACTGACATCTGCCGGTTGGCCCAGAGCTTTTATAGCTCCGATCCATAATTCCATTTAGCATATAAGGCCAGTTCTCAGATCGATCAGCCAGCCATGTGTATGTTTGCTGCACAAATGCGGAAACTGGCCCAGACCCCAGACCCCAGACCCCCTTGACCTTCCCGAATCGATATCTATAGTAGCCCATTGACGACAATTCAAGTGCCAAGTGCGCAACAATTAGCCACGCCGGTTGACATGACGAAAACAAGACTGGTCTCATTTGATTCGGCCAATCCATAACCATGACTTCAATCCACATGCTGGTGGTAACACTAAAGCTGTGCCTCGGGTGCCCCATAACAACAATGGATAGGCAAATTACAAGGCAGTGTTAGTGTTAGAACCACTGTGCCACCTTCGCACCACTGGCTGTCCATTGAAATTTCATCATCAGAATGTAATTAAATTCACTTCAATAAGCTTGCCCTGAAATTAATGTGCCGCCGCCAGTTCTAGGCATATTGAGCCATTTTGGTCGCCAACTCTCGATTTCTAGATTGCAAAATTCATTTGCATATCACTAATGCAGGTAACAACGCCAACATATGTCCAGTGAAGTGATAAAAAGTGGTCCAAAAGTAGGAAAATCTCAACCAGCCAGAAGCTATTTATAGGAAACAAGGAAACTAAATGGTAAAATTACTTTTTCTTCAAGACAATCCATATTTTTTAAAGCCTCAATGCAGGTAAAAAAAACTGTTTAAAATGTAAAAAATCAAAAAAGAGTCATACTTTTTCCATAGAGTATTACAAGAAGGGTATTTGGAATATATTATATTTCCATTAAACATAAAATAAATTGAACCACTTTCGGTTTCTAGTCTGAAAGCATTCACTTAGCATACAACTTTTATCTAATAAATTACAAAATCATTTGCATATCAATAAAACTTGCAAGAAATAAAATATAAGCTTGATAAAGTGTTATAAATATATTCTACTATAAAAGTAAACGGTAAAGACCTGTTTTTAAAAATAATTTTCAAATATATTTCTAATAGGATTCCCTTTCATTCAACAGTCATAGTAAGCTCTTGTCAAAACAAAATCTTCAGTCACTCTACACAACGAAGTTATCCTGTTTGACTCAAGCTCAATTTATATTTTCAAGGACCTCATTTGATGCGGAGAAGCAGGATCGCTTTTGATTCGCCTAAGGATTTAGTAGAGTTACAATGGCACGTCTCGTTTTCACCGAGAAAGATCACAATGCCTACGATGCCAAAAAGTACAAGGTTAGTTTTTTAATAATATCTTTAAATAATTTATATAAATCTAAACTTAAATATTAACTTTATTAAAGGTGGTGCACAAGAACCATTGGAGGCAGGTGAGCCTTTTGCTGCAGCCTACGAATAAGAAATGGTGGGAGGATCCCGATGTCATTGTTGCGTGAGTAGAGAACATTTGAACTATAAAACCACCAGCTCAATGGGCGGTGGATCTTGGGGAAGGGGGCGTGACAAGCACACGTGTGTCAGAAACCATTGCCATCAAGTGCTTTTCGTGCTTTTTATGACCACAGAGAGAGAAAAGTAGAGTCAATTTTGAAGATTTTTCCCTTTTATTTAGTTTGCCAAATATATTATTGTTTAATTTAAAAATAATTAATATTTTTAAAAATAATTTTAAGTAGCTAGATTTATTTCCAAATTTTTGGTAGTTTTCTCCCTGTGTAGCTTTATTACCTGATTGTTGGTTCAGTGACTCTGACACCGATTGGCGCCAATGCAGCCGCTGCCATTCAATTAAGATTCTTTGCCACAGCCGCGGCCATAATATTTTATTGCATTCATCAAATTGTCAGGCTTACACATAAAGTATGGCCCTGCCACACCCAGAGATATTTCCATGGCAATTAAATCGTAGCTGGGGAAATATTCGCACTCAATTGCATCACATCGTCTGATAAGATTCTATAGTATATAGTCGGCAAACCATCCTGCTGCCAAAACTTGTCCAAATATCTTTCGCGAGTTGAGTGGGTGGTGTTAATTTCCGGGCCACGTTCAGTCACGCGATGCTAACGAAGCCTTTGATAGATGGCTCAACTTCTCGAATGCAAATGAACACCAAGAAAGGATTGGGGGGAGCAAGTGCAGCCAGCGCTTGTCGGCGAAACTTTGGCAAGTAATTGGGGAACAGGAGTGATGGAAACGGGAAATTGGTTTGGTTACTCTCACTGGGTTTGAATTGTAAGGCATTGCCTGGCCTCAAGGTTAAGATACTTTCTTAGAAATAGGGGAAATCTAAATTGGGGAAAGGAATCTTTGAGCCTAAGTTGATAGCAATTGGTAACATAGCTTAACAGGATAACTTAACGATGCATTTACATTCATTTTATCTAAGAAAAAGGCGATAAAAATCATTCTTATTTAAATTAAAATCATTCTTATTAATAAAAAAAATCCGTCAAGTAGAATATTCCAACAAAATATGTTAAAGCTTAAAATATTTTTGTATGAAAACCTTTTTTTTCTAAGAGACTTTAATATTTTATAAGTTAAATCATTTTATATTCTTTTTTTACCACTTAAAATAGGGAAAAGGCTATGGAAAAGAACATATAAAGAACATATAACATATTTTATTACATTATATTTTAAATCTGAAGCTTTCTTAACAATACTTTATTAGTTTACTCCTCAAAGTTTCGAAATATATCTATACATTTAGCACTTATTGAGGATTTTTATATTTAAAATATTTTTAACATTTAATTGCATAAAAAGCCAAATGAAAACACAAAGAATTTTAACTATCAGTCGAAGCTCTAGAAAACCCCATAAAATTTCCCCTTATAATTGAAGAACCTTCCCGACTGGAACAACCTCTAGAATAGGGTATGGGAAAATCCCTTAAGCGACCCTAAACTCCATTAGCACGGGTGTAACTCGACTTTTGTCTGGGCTGCGTATCCACAATGATGCGAGGTGGCGCAGGCAGAAAAGCTCGAAACAAATCCGAACGGGGTAATGAAAAAGGCATTTGGTTGGTGGGGTGTGTGGTGTGGGTGTGGGGTGTGCAGTAATATACCAAGCCCCATACACCAAATAATACACCGATGCAGTGCCGACACTTTGCGTGTTCAATAAAAAGGAAAGCGGTGAACGGAAAATGGTGTCAGTGCGAGGACAACGAAGAAGGAAAGTACTTAAGCGGCGCGTCACTCAATCAGAATGATATTATTTTTAATGGCGCAAAATGGATACAATAAACAGCGAGTACGAGCGCGTGGCTGCCACGCAACGGACACGCTGAATGGTAAAACGGTAAATGGTGAATGGTGATCCCACCCAGAATCAGTATCGTGCCACATCCATGGGCCATACATTGTTCGGTCGTCGCAGGATGAGGACGAAGTTTTAAACGGAATCGGAAACTTAATTACATTTCAATTTGGGCCTAAACAAACTGTTCCGCATATGTCACTCACGGCCGTGAAGGCTGATGCCGCCGGGATCGGTGTTGTAGGCGGCGGCGGAACTGTTGCACTATCCGACTCCCGGGAGTGGGCACCACCGCCGCCGGGCAATCGATGTGCCACGGTGACTATGCTCCTGGCCCAAAGGATTGCACGCAACGCTTGCTGGTCAGTCGACGAGGAGCCCTCGTACAGTGCGAACAAGATGAACGTCTGGCAAACGTTGGAGTACCTTTCGGGGCTGAGTCTGCGGAAAAAGTACAACTACGAGGGCTTCTCGGACACCCATAATGTGATCAGGACCCTAACGCCCTCCTGGCGCCGGGATAGTTTTGCCGAGAAAGCCAAGGCCGAGGAACTGACCGGTGGAGCTGCTGCATCATCGGTCAAGTACCCAGAGGAACGTTCTTCGAGTGCTCCATTGATCGTTGCCGAGGATCCGGGCATAAGTACCAGTTTCCAGAGCAGTGATAATGTCACCTTGGGCGTTAGATCTGGGGCAAAAAGTCCATCTGGTACTCGAAGAAAACTTCGCAGGAATAGGAAAGGTAATGCTACCCATCTGGATCCCGAGTACGCCTTGTCGCCGGAGGACCTTCAGGATCTAGTCAAGTGCAAGTAAGATTTTATGGCCTATATAATTTATTCACTCAATGTTATTATATCTGAAGAAGTTGGATTATGAAACAGAAGGGCTCCGACAAAAACTGTTATACAAAATTTATATAACAAATCAACCAAAAATCTTTAATACAGCAAAAAATTTAATTATATTTTAATCCAAAATACATTTAAATTAAAATTTTTAAAATTTAACATATTTTTGAAAAATATAAAAAGACCTACCTAAGTTTTTTTTTAGTGTAGGAACTTAACAAAAGCTTTCCACAAAACTAAGCCAAAACATAAACCCATGTGGACAATGATAAAAATATATCCAAGTCACAAACCATTGGTTTAAATGGGATAGGATTCTGTGCGCTTAATTTGCATTTTTAGTTAAATTTAATTTACTAGTTTATAAAGTCTTACATTAAATACTTTTTACAACTACTAAATGTTAGTTAGTTTAGTTGTTCACGACAACCAAAAATTTATAAATAATGTGCAAAATCGAAGAGGAAGTTGGTTTTAGGATTATTCTGTGACCCTTACTCTACAGAAGTAAATCGCCACCAAGGCGATTATCTAAGCTGACACCCAGGTAAACATCAATTGAAGTTGAATTTGTGGTGGCAAGGACTTCGTTCCCACCAATAGTTATGAAATAAAAATCTCAGCGAACTATCAAAGTTGCTTGTTGTCAAGTTCTAAGAGCACCTAACGCGATGCCGGAAGACGTTGCAATTAAAGTTGGCGAAGCAGTGAGAGAGGCATTCCCAGAGGTGGGCGGACCGGAAATAAAACGATTGGCTGACTAGTTCAAAATGTGAATGACATCAGTGCTGCGCTTTCTTGGTCATTGGGTGCGTTTTAAGGGCATTTAAGAGGTTTTAGAAAACATTTCTTAGGGTGTTTCCAAAGACAAACTTTTCCACCAAGCGGCTTACAATGAGATGTTTGAAATTCGTATTAATTTATTAAAGAAAAAGAAATTTTAGAAATATTCTATTATTATAATTTCCTCTTAAAAACCACAGAAATGCTAACTGTTATTATTAACTATTATTATTAATATATTGAGGAAAAGGAAACTTCCAAACTTTCCAGTTTTCTTACAACTAACTTTTAAAAATGTCTATATATTCAATTCCAAAATAGTGTCAGCACTAGCTAACATATAGTGAAAGTGCCAATGGCAGCAGCACACAGGCAATATCAAAGTCGACTTTTTGGAAAGACTTGGCCAAGAAACAATGGAACCGCCCAACCAGCGGGCGACTCCAACTCGATACAAAGTGTTTGCTCAATTTCCGCGCTTCGAGTCGATTAGAGGAAATTATTGTATGTCTCGTTGGCATGAAACGCGGCCATAAAGCGAAATTGTTATCTGGTTTCAGTGTAATGTGAGACTGCCTCCCACCACCACCGAAATCCAGCTCCTCCTCATCCACTGCACCTTTGACAATCCTTTCCTTGTAGGAATAGTCCATTCCCTTGCGGAAAACTTTCTGTCAATGCGCTTTCCGTGCTTAAACTAAAAGAGAAAAGGGAAAAGGAGAGATCTAACGGTGAAATAAACACCGACAGTTGTGGGCCATAAACAGGGAAATGGTTAGAACGAAACTGGCTTTTCAAAACCTTCGACACCTTAGAGTGCAAACCTTGAAAACTATTTCAATTCCAATCGAATTATATATTTGAAAACTACAAACTGAGGAATAATAAATCATCATTAATTTCCAGGGACTTTAAATGTAGCAGGATTGCAACAGAAAGTTACTCCTGCCGCAAGTTGTCTGTTCAACTTGATCGGACACTGGACCTCAGTGCAAAACTGATGACCAGGTGGCTTATGGAAAATATCGTTATGTGTGAGAAAGACATATCTAGTTCCGTCGGCCCTGACTATTATTTTGTACATCCATTTAGGCACCGGATTCCTCTGAGCGTCGAGCAAATAGGCAGGTCTTAATTTATTGCGAGAGTCTCTCAGCTTCAAGGTACCAAAGGCTCCCGTTCGAACTGTCATCTGGGTATCCGTGGGCCTAAGGCTCATGACCCACCGCTCGATCTCCCGCCAGTTTCCACTGTTAATGCTCTCGAACTGGGGCACCACATTCACGTATTTGAATGTAGACCTTGACTGAGGCTCGAATAGAAAGTCAGACGATGCGGTCAAATGTCCACGATTGATGACCAATCGATTGGGGGCAATATAGTTCTGTGCTCTGCCATATATGTCATTGAATCTTCGATGGATTGCCCCTCTGAAAAATGATCGTGCTTCTGCTGGGGACATGACTGGACATGGTTCAAATTGTATGTCTTCCGGGCGTGGCATAACTGGGAATAATAAAGGAAGTTTTTATTTTTCATATAGAAATTTATATCTATTTGATACTCACAAATCGTCTTTGGATAAATGCTGGCCTGCGTGTAATGAGCTCTTAAGGTCCTTGTATCATAGCAAGCATCGTACAACTTGACAAACTGTCCGTTGATTGTATGACCTACGGAGTACATAGTCGCTGGACAATCTCTATGCTGGGACCTATCGCCCTCGTACAATCTAACCTCGCTCTCCGGAGCTGGTGCATTGCAAGTGAGGGGGAGTGAAGGTTGGAGCCTGGAATTTGTAGTGCAAATCGTTCTATGGTTTTCCCCACCACCACAGTGCATTGCTAGGCCAACGCCAATACCAACAACAGAGGAGATTTGTGGGCGAAGGGTTCCTCGGTCCAAGTAGGTGAAAATCCCATTGGATCGGCTTACATCGGTAAAGTTGAATCTACACTGCCCTCGAACTTGACAGGCTATGGAAATTTAACTTAATTACATTTTAAATTACTTATTTTCCATCACTGCTTACTAAGTGCCGCTACTATGAGCAGTATGATCTTCTCCATCGGCATGTCGGTTGGGAACTAACCAGATGAAGTCTCTTGATCTAATATATATCATCAACAGCCTTATCTCGAATGACTGATGGCGAGATGATTAAAGTACATACTATAAAGAGCTTTTCTACTTAATTCATTTACATTCGGTTGTGCTTTAATTATAATCCATTCTTAGAATTACGAATAATTAAATATAATTAAAAAGTTCTTCTTTTAAGTCAATGGAAATATAAGAAAATACTTAAATAGAAAAAAATCAAAAATAATAGTTCGATTAAGGAAATAATTAAGATAACTCCTTAAAAGCAAATAAACTATCTGATTGCAAATAAGGCAAACTTATTTCGAGTATAATAAAAAAATAAAATGTAATACCTAATAGGTCCCAAGTTTAACAAAACACTATGCTACCTTTAATACTCGACTAAATTTGACCGAGACCTTAAACTATTAAGCTCACCCTCAGCACCGAACTCCGTAAAACTTGTGGCTCTGCGCGTTGGAAACTTGTTGACACACTACGCCGTACACTTTGTCGAAATATTGACATTGGTGTCATGTCATTACGCCTAGCATTAAATGCTCTAACATGCGATGGGGTAGCCCAAACAGGAATCGGACTCGAATACCGATTCGGATTCGGTATTAGAATCGGGGGCACTGGTGGCGGCGGCAACGTCTCGAAATCGTGAGACGTTTGGGAGGAAAAGTGAAAGTGGGGTTGGCTTATTTTCACCCACGTGCCACTCGACGCCACACACACGTGTGTGTCAACAACAAAACACGAGGAGCACCAAGGTATCGGAGTCCTGTGAAAAGGGCGCCACATTCGCCGGTTGCCTTTGTCGAGTTCGGGTGAAAGTTTCCAGGTCCGTGCTGGTTGCGTTCCATCTTGATTCGGTGCGAAAATGAGGGACTAAGGTGAACACCTTCTGGGGCTACGCATACCTTGTGATGGCTGGAAAATCTTCGAAAGGGAAGAGAGCCAAGAAGTCAGTGCCAATGATGAAGATTAGCATCGAGGAGGACTTCCTCATCGACTTTGTGCAGTGCACTCTAGAGCCGGAGGAGAGGTAAAACGTTGTTAAATTAGGTATTAAGTGTGGTATATAATATTTACATATATTAAGTTGGTATGAAGGGTTTTATAGGCACTGAAAGCTAATGTCCTTTAGGTCTGTTAATAGTAAAGTAAAGTTAAAAATATATAGATTTAGATTTTTCTCTGATCTGCAATGTTTTTAAGAAAGTTTTGTTTGTATATATGAGCTGGCGTTATTAGCATCAGTTGGCAGCCCCATTAATATCGCATGTAGTCGTGTATCGAAGAGCCCGTTGAGAATGTCCAGCACTAAAAAGTAGAAGCCAACCAAACAAAGTTGCAAAGTTATGACGTCAGAAAATAATCAGCCGAAAAGTTGTCAATCTGCTGTAAAAACGCGCTTAATCATTTGTTAAACTATAACATAAATCTCATGTTACCTATTATACCTATTATTTAATAAAACATAGATAATATACAAATATCTTACATATATATAACATAATATATGCATATAAGAACTAAGATAAAAATTATCATAAAGATAAAATAATTCAAATCACATTTCAATATTCCCTGGCAGCACTCACACTTTTCACATCAACATATTTATTTCCCCAGCTACGTGTTGCAATTATCAATTTTAATGGGCAAATGGGAATGGCAAAAGACATAAATGTCAGCTCTTCGGCAAATTTATGCACGTCCCCGGCATTAATTAGCGTTGCATACTTGCAGGAGCCCTTAGTTCTGTTCCCTGTTCCTGACACTCTCTCTCTCTCTCTCTCTTATCCTTTGTCCTGGTTTTATAGTTTCGCCTTCAATTGCCGATGAAAGCGAACAGCAAGGCTGTAAAGTAATATGGCTCCTTACTTGGCTGCGAAATGCCGCTAATTAAGTCATAAATGTAATCAATGGGACCTTTCCCTTCTGACACATGACGCGTAAGACATGAAATAGGGGAGAAAATATGTGAATGAAAGGTCATTATGAACTTTGATATCAACCATTTTAGTCTTTAAGAAATACCTGCCAATGAGAACTATTTGTTTTCAATAAACTTTATTTATTTATTTTAAATGCCATCTTTATTAATATAGAAGGCTTTTTGCAAACTAGCTCTTTGCAAAGATTTGTAGTAACCAAAAACATCAAAAGCATCTTTAGAAACCTCTATAACCCCTTAACATAAATGTCTATCTCCTGTCTTTTTCTATAAAAAAACTCCAACTTAATAAACTTTGCATATAAATAAACCCAATAAATAATACCAACTGCCAGCACTTACTGCATGAGAGTAAAATCATAAAGTCCCACGAAAAAAAGAATAACAAGAATAGGTCATTTTGAATGGGTTATTGAGTCTGAATAGTGCCACAAATGGCTAAAGGCAATCGGATATGCGTTAACCCACTTGGATCCCACGCACTCCCCAACGAAAATGGGTTAATGCCAAGGTGGGTGGGACCGTAAATCATGGCCCACCTGAACCGTCGTGACAGCGGCGGATGCGACCGTTGCAAATGTCACGGGAGTTGCACTCTCGGAAACTTTCGCGGAAGTTGCAATAAAAAGATGTGAACTATCGCCAGGAACTATAACGGCATGCAAAGGGTTTTTGCTTGTTTATGGTGAGCGCGGTCATAAATCGAGGCTTGGAACATGGGATTTTCTAGGGCATAGCAGAGCAGACATGACAGATTGCTTTCTTACCGCAACCCCTTTTGGCCACCGTGGCGTATACGTAATTTATGCATGTGGCATGTGACATGAGCCAGGGTTATTGATACGACGACAACACCCATTGATGTCCTGAAATTTCATTATCAATGTCAATGCCGAAAAAGGGGGGAATCTTACTTTACTCACCTGCTTGTGATTGGAAATTGATTGAATTGAACTTTGATGACTTTGAACTATTGCCAGTTACGATTTTCATTTTGTTTTTTTTTTTTTTTTTTTGTTGGGACATCAAAGGCAACATTGTATTATCTGTTAAAAATGTGTTACGTTTGCATGGACTCAGCGACTTTTGATTGAGTGCTTTGCGGTGGAATAGCATTTTTGGCTCTGATCCAAAGTACTAAAGAAAAAGTTGAAAAAAAAATGGAAAACCCCAGTCAGGCAATCCCTATAAACTACCCCATCTAATTGTCAACTAAACGACAAGCATTAACTAGACCTGACTAATCCCCTCCCCCCCCCACCACCTATGACATTCCGAATCCACATGGCACGAGTACGGCGGCGGGTTTATGTTTGTTAGATGAATACACAAGTCTCATGACCTGCCTGCATTAAGTTGCTTTATAGCATGTAGAAATAAAATACCTATTTACCATATAGAACCGCAAGAAAGAAGCAGAAAGACAGACCATGTGAGCCATTGCTAAAAAGCCTAGCGAAAGTCTGCAACTCTGACGAGCCGCGACAGTCATCCCCCGCCTGGCCCACTGCTCATCCATGGCTCCGGGCAGCTCTCCTCGCGTCTCACCCTCCTCCCTTTGAGTTCTCCTCAATACGGTCCCCACTCTGCCCTGCATGTCTAAAATTACGCCAAATTCTTGGGGAGTGCTGGAAGGTGAGGTTTATATGGTTGTTGTTAGTCTTGTCGGCTGGTGTGCATATCACGTGAAAAATATGAAGAAAAGTTATGGGACAGTGGGTGAAATTGGCAAAAATTCATTAATCAAAAAATTCTAACAAATTAGTGATAGAGCTTTGAGATGTTAAACAATATTTCAGTTTTACAAATTTTATTTTTAATAAATAATAACAAGAAAAATTCGAATAATCTTCGCTCATAATTTTATGGTTATTAGAAAGTGTAAAATGCAAACATTTATTTACAAAATGAAAAATGTTTCTACAGTTTAAATACAGGTGGAAAATGGACTATGGAGTTATCTATTCTTACCTTTAAAGATATTTTACAGATCATAAAATGTTATTTTTTCCTAATTTTTCTTGAAAATAAAACCTTTTCTTATGATCTAACCCACCGTATTCGAAAATGGTGTACGGTGCCCGGAGAAGTTGGGGTACGACTTGTCCTTGTGTTGTCGGTTTCGGGTGTTTGGCAACCAAAATAAAATACTGGCGGCAGTTGGCAAACGCAGCGAGTGAAAAGCGCTATAGTAACAGGCCAAAAATGCGGCTCGACCTCATTCGTTACCAACAGTTACAAGCGCTAAAACGCCTTCAGCGGACGGCCCATGTGGGATTTTCCCACCTAGGTGTGGGTGAGTGTCGGTTGTCGGTGGCAGAGGAGGGTGAAGGTTGAGCCTGTAATTAAGCGTCAAATTTATTGACTTACATTTGGGAGGGTCATTAACATTGACTTGTCTCCCATTTGTTTTTTTTCATTATTATTATTGTATACTTTTCTTTTCATATCTTGCCCTGAATTTTCCGCTCAATTTTCTCGTACTTTTCTTTTTCCAGTTTCAATTTGCCGCGCATTAGCGCTCGCCTGGAGCGTCTGATGGGCACCAATGTGGTCAAGCTGACCGACCGAGCCTACATGAAGGAGCTCCGCGAACGGATCGACGAGGATTACCGCAAGCAGCTGCTGTCCCGCATTCGCGCCCGGGAGGTAAGTTAAGTTTTCTTCTTTTTTATTTAGAAACCTCCAAATCCCGACACCCCAATTAGCCCAGACACAAATGTGACCAATTTGTTTGGCCGGTAATTCAATTTTCATAAAGTTTAGAAAGGGGAAAATCTGAGACGAGAGAGTCCTAAACAAATTTGTCGCCAGGGAGAGTCACGTAGAACAGCAATGGGCAAGGGTGAGAGTGGGTTGTATTCGTTTCTTGAAGGAAATATTTTTAAAATGCGAAAGGGATTTTTTTAAACTTTAAGAGTTCTTAAACATATATTTTCCTATATATATGTATAAAGATAGTTTTTCTTTGATATGTTTGCCTTTCCACCCAAAAGAAAGACTATTTAACTTTGTTATTATTCGATTATTTCACTTTTTGGTCCACTTTATGTAAGAATTTGCGTAAGATTTGTTAGTAAACTAGTTTAGCCAAGAGCATTACATCATTTTAGATAAAGTTTTCCTTAAGAAACTTTGTATAATTACGGATAATTTCAAAGATTATTGCACCAAGCCTCATACCAAATTCGATTTTTCTTTGAAATAAAACCTTTCCCCGAATAATTAATAAGTAAAATAACTTTTTATTGGGTAATACAGATGAGGTTAAATGTTTTCTAATTTAACAAATTTAAGATATCTACAATCTTTAAGCGGCTTATTGGCATCGGGTATCTTATAGTCGAAATCTTGGTATTTTACACCCTTTGCTGGTTTATTGGCTGCGATTTTGTTTTTTGCCATGCTTACCCTTTTCAAGTTTCCCTTTTCACGGGAGCGCGGCGAAAGTGTCCCAAAGTTTTTCAATGACGCCGACACCGCCTACTTATTCTCTGTTTTCCGAGGGGGCCACCGCCAGGCCAAAAGCACAAACAATTGAATCCAATGAGCCTCCGACATGAAAATGGCAAATCCAAGCCGTCAAAGTAATAAAAATTAGACCAGAAACAAGGGGCGGGAGGGAAGTTCCGGGGCGGAGAGATAGGGCAAAAGTTGCACTTTTATGTCTGTGAGACATGCGAGAGTAGAGAGACTCCAAAACTATGAAGTACAAAGTGCTCCACTGCGGATACGGATACTTAGAGATCTGTCTGTCCGATATGTCCTTAAATGCAATTGCAGTTGACTGAAGTTCGAAATGATACAGAGGCCATGGACTAAACTTTCTTGACACTTCCGATTGCATTTCCATCAAAGGCAGCGCAATGCGGCAGAGAAAAAAAGAAAAACCAGCTGAAAGGTGTCGAGTAGTGTTGATGGGTTTGGGGAAATTGATAATTTAGAAACCAAAAAAATCAAAAAGAACATGAGCTGAGCTGGAGGGGGGAATTTATAAACCACAAAGCGGCTTTTTACTACCCACATTCTCCCACTTTTGCCTTTTATATCAACCACAAGCCAGCCGCTAATAAAGCTGATACACATTTTTCTGAGAACAACAGCTTGTTGAGTCATCAAAATGATATTATTGGATAAGGAATCTAAATATATCTGTGATATATTAAGTGTTCTCAGCTTGGAAAAATTGTATACTTAATGTGATTATTAGAATTAGATTATTATTAGATTAGAAAACTATTTACATGTTTATCTTCCACACAAAGGGAAACTTACTATTTAGTTGTTATTTTTATAATAGTTAAAATAAATATAATAGCGAGCACATATTTAGTGACGGTTTGCAGCTGTGCACTGAGAGAAAGAAAAAGACTTCCTCTTGCTAACCAATTCATCACTCATTTTACTGGCTCGCCATATGCGAAAGAAACTCCAAAGCGCAAAGATAAGTTAACAGTATTGAATTCCAGTGCAAATGTCCGAGGATGATCGAAGAAGAAACAAGAAAACAGTTAGCCTCGAAATGAGGAGGGAGAGAGAAAACAAATAAACTTTAGAGGAATAGCAAGTTCGAGGATGATCGAGGAAGAAACAAGAACAAAATACACGTACATATTACAGTTGGTACGACCCACATTCTCCCACTTTTGTCTTTCATATCAACCGCAGGCCAGCCGCTAATAAAGCTTATAAACATTTTTCTGAGAACAACAGCTTGTTGTGTCATCAAAAGATATTATTGGATAAGTAATCTAAATATATCTGTGATATATTAAGTGATTATGTGGTTATTAGAATTAGATTATTATTAGATTAGAAAACTATTTACATGTTTATCTTCCACACAAAGGGAAACTTATTATTTAATTGTCATTTTTATAATAGTTAAAATGCCTGATATGTGATTTGGAAACTAAATTTACCTTAACCACATTTAGAAAAGGCTTTTTAAATAATAAAAGTAGCTAAAGTAATTAAAATCTAATGTAAATCATAATAACTACTATATGATAGCTTGAATTCACATTTTGATTTATTTTGATTATAAACTATTTATATTTGAAACAAAGTTAATAATAGTCAAATAAAAAGTTTAAGTTTGAAACTGAATATCTAAGCCAGGGTGCTCATATTCGTCTACCGACTGAGCAGTTACTAACACAACTGTAAAAAAGAGTGCACATATTTAGTGACGCTTTTGTGTTGGTTTGCAGCTGTACACAGAAAGTAAAACGTTTCCTCTTGCTAACAAACTCTCTTGCTTCATGACTCATTTTACTGACATCAAAGCGCAAAGAAAAGTTAACAGGAATGAATTCCAGTGCAGGGATCGAAGAAGAAACAAAAATACAGTTAGCTACGGAATGAGGAGTGAGAGGGAAAACGAATATATTTTGGGGGAATAGCAAGTTCGAGGATGATCGAGGAAGAAACAAGAACAAAATACACATACTTATTACAGTTGGTAACGGAATGAGGCGGAAAGAGGGAAACAAAAAATGATTAGTGGAATAGAGCTTAGGCTCTGAGTACCCCTGATCTAAGCATATAAGCGTATCTCTAAAATACACAAATTTTGCATATTTAATTGGCAAAGCCGTTGCAACGGCATACATACATACAATACACACATACATATGTACATACACACTTTAGTACCAAATAGGCTTAGCAACCGAAGAGTCCACTATGTTTTTGTATTTTTGACCACTTTGTCTATTCAAAGATTTTAATTAACCTTTAATTATTTTTTAAATATTATTATTTTGCAGTTAAAAGAAGTAGAACGCGAACGAATGCTGATTATTGAGGGCAAGTCGGATGTGATACCAGACGAACTGGCCGACGATCCCATATTCATGGTCAACAAAGATGCCAACATGGAGATCCAAAAGGAGCGCTCGAAGGTGAGCTTAATTAGCAATATAAAAAAGCCTTTTAACTTTACTACCCCTCCCCTAACAGTTAAAGACCGCTCGGGAGAAGAATGCAGAACGTTTGAAGCAGCAGGGCGTGAAATGGGAGCGGGAGCGTCTCCAACACGCTGCCAAGGAAGCCGAGCTCCTGGCCAAGAAGCGGGAGCGGCATCGCCAACAGAAGTTGCTGGTGGAACAGTATAGGACAGAGGACGCGGAACGGGGAATGGACCTGCTGCGGTAAGTCACTTAAACTCCGCCGCCATTAACTGTCGGCGAAATTAAAAATGTACAGAAGGAGGGTAAAAAAAAAGGAGCAGGGGCAGGAACACGGGGGCAGCACCAACCATAACAATACATTATTCCACGTTGACGCTCGACGCCTCCTGGGGAAGCTCTTTATCCCCAACGAGTTGGGGCAGCAAAAAAAAGCGGGCTAAGATGCATGTATTGTAAAAAGATGAACCCACTGGCTTAAACGGCCTTCGGTGGGGGTGGGAAAATGTGGGTGCTGACAGGGAAATTTTTTAGCAAGTGGAAGGGCAAGGCTGAATGCTCTAAGTTCCAGGAAAAGATTAGTTTCTACAAAAGAGGAAAAGGTCCTTAAATTCTGAGAAAAGGGAAGCCAACTAACTGCGATATAACAAAAATATTTCGTGAATTTTGGCTTTAAGGTTAACTTTATATAAAACTTTAATATTTAATAGATGTTTATTTATGATTTGGAAGCTTAGTTACAGGTTCTTTATCAATAGATTCGCGGTAATTTATTTATAAATTTATGTTTATAATTATCCAAGTTCAATGACTGATAGAAACCATTTTGGGTATTCATTTATTTATTTTTATTGATAAATAACAAAGTTCAATGGACTGATTGAAGCAAAAATAGAAGCAATCTATTTTCTACTGCAATAACAATAAATTTTATCAGGCAGTTCTCAGCACAGAACTAAATATAACTAGGTATTTATAAATATCATTTGCTAAAATAAGTTGGGAACCAATCTAGTTTTATTCCAGCTACTAATAAAAGAGCCAAAATTAATATTTTATTTCCATTCAATGGCCACAATAGCTCTATGAAAAATTAGTCAAACTAAAGTAAGGGAATTAGTACATTAAATAATGAGTTTTTAGTAGATTCAAAATAAATCAATTCAGTTTGGTAAGCCTTTCCAATACCCTCATTACCCAACGCCTTCCTCGCAAGAGTATCGCAAAATGATGATAGAAACGTTTCGTTCCCAGAGCGCCTTATTAAACGCTGTTCCTTTTTTCACCATTAATATGCATGAGTTGAATGTTTAGTGTGTTCGCTTCAGAATGGAGGCTAATGAAAGGAAAACTCCCTCCCCCCTTATTTTTCCAGCATCGACAACGAGGACTGGCGGGAGTGCGAAAAGAGCCTGAAGGAGTTCCTCGAACAGGAGCGTGCCAAAATGAAGGAGCGTTCGCTACGCATCTCCCAGCCCTTCTCATCGGATCCGCAGGATATACAGAATATAGTTAGAGCCAGGTAAAGATCATCAAAGCATGTTACTTTACTTAATCTACACAAATATGTTACCACTAATTAGGCAAAAGTTCCGCGAAACCGAGCTGCGTATTCGTAATCAGCTAGACGACAAGCTGAAGGATGTGAAACTGGCGGTAACCACTCAACAGTTAACCGAACTCATCGAGGATGCCCATCGATCCAGTGTAGAGATAGTGCGAGAGCCGTCGATAGATGAAGATCATTACCAGGGCGAGATACAGTCCAGGTATCAGGATGATGTCACCGACGTCTCTCCGAGGAGACTGTGATCAGCGAAGACGCCATCAGCCTGTCTCTGGCCAAGCAGCAATATGCCGAGGAACTTGAGGCCGAGATGGAGGATGAGTTCAATCGCGGCCTGCTCATCTCCAAGCAGCAGTACGACCAGCTGCGCTTTGAGGACGAGAAAATCGTAGCCCTCAGGAATGCCAAGGTTAGTTTTCGAAGGCCTTAAACACCCTTTCATTATCCACAACCCTTTTTCAGGATATTCGTGAGCTGTATCAACTGGCTGAGGAGATCATCATGGGCGAGATATTCGAAGAGGCGGCCGAGGAGTACGAGGAGGAGGCTGTAGGCGAGGAGCAGGATCTCGAAATCACCTCCGACCACGAAGCCCTGCAGCCAGCAGCTAAAGCCTAAAAACTGTAGAAAGGACCAATTCCAACGTTCAGTGGCTAGCGGTAGACCGTTTTTCCTGCTGCCACACTTTTCACGAATTTTACAAAGTTTGGCAGAATATTTGGTTTCCCAATTGGAAATCAAAATATTTCACCAAATTGTGCAAATATCAGTCAGGAAGGGGGGAGCCCACAGTTTGTTAATCATTGGAAAAGCGTCAGCGCCACTGTCAATCAATCTCAGCGTTAAGGTTGATAACTGTCAATTGGGGTTTAATTAAAGCTGTAACGCGGTGATAGTGCCCGCATGGCAATAATAATAATAAAGCGGCCGAAAAATCCAAAAACAAACGCATGAGTCAATTGCACATTTCACTGGCCAGCCGACAAGTATGCCACAAATATTTGCCTAGTGATACGGATAAACATACCGGAAAGGATATGCGGGCGGCAGGGCATTCCGGAAAACGATATAACAAACATCAACACATCGCTATTGACTCACCAATTTTCAGAAGATAAAACACAAAAAAGACACAGTTATTAAAATAGTAATAAAAAATTCAATCATATGCTTTTAATATGAACAAATTATAACCAATTTTGGTATATTTTTCATTGTATAAGTAAAATAAACTTTACTTTTTAATTTTGTTTTAATAACAATATATAATATTGCAGTTTTTATACAGTTTGTTGAATGAAGTTTCCACATGCTCGTAAAATACATATTTATTAAAATGTTAAAAGTTAAGATTCCTCTGATTGTTAACTTAATAAATTAGGTTTTGTGATAGATATATCTTCAGCTTACGCTGTACCACAAATACTATATTTTTCTGATAACAACCAAATATGGGAGATTTCCGAGCGAAATCATTTCCCAGAACACAAAAACTCCAAATCTCAGCCTAATTAGCCAGGCTAATATGTTTATCAATTTGTCTGTCACGTAGGCGCACATGCCGAGATTGCACATGGCAGAACGGAAGGGCGTGACGCATTTGGGTGTATCGATGACCATCGGGTGGGTGGACGTTGGCCTGATGCAACTTAAGTCGCACAAACCGCTTACCACAAAGAGAGAGGGAAATGTGAAATGAAGAAATTTCCCAGTAAGAAATAAACCCTCTAAAAATAGCCAGGCCTTGTCCAAAAATATGACTTTCGCCTTATATCAGGAAGATCCCACTCTCCCCACTCCATCTGCCTTTGAGCACTTTAAGTTTTCAGCGGGCTATTATTGGTTTTCTTGGGGTAAGTGTCATCTTTGGTTGCCCCAGGCGATTTGGCAAGAAAACCCTATATATGCTTATTTTCCTGGGCCGCCTTTTAGGCCAAAACAACACACACACACACACCGTCAAAACAATAACGAAAACATCGTGGGATTGTCATCCATTACTCACAGCAATTTCACTTTAAAGTGTCATCTTTTTCAAGGCCTGGGGGCTGCGACGGTTGTTGACTGGATATCCTCATGACCCCTCGATTCCTGCTCGGCTATTGCAGTATTGCGTTGGATTTTTAGTTTGTCTGGAAGTCAAGGTAAGTGTGTGCATAAATCAAGCGATTAAGTGAGGTCAGGGTCATTGAATTTCAAGCTTAAATATGGGAAACCACTTCAGGAAATATGATCTTGAGAAGTAAATAACATGCAACGGAATTTGTATTTTTAATAAGTAATTATGATTATTATTTCTGACCCCTAGTGCCTATTACCACAACTTGGACCTTTTAGTAATAGATACCAAATGAGTTTGCCAAACTAAAACTTAAAAATTCATTCGATATGACTGCCCTGAAATACTGAAAACTCCATTACATTCTCCGAATTTTCCATATACGCTGCCAGGCAGCCCATCAAGTTCCGTAGAAGGATTTACACTGCAATGATTTCCGCAGCGTCATGTGGGGCATGTCCTTTAAGGGGGTTGGGCAGTTTAGCACCCACGGAACGACGAGATTCCAAGAATCAAATGACGCGTCCGGTTGGCATATTATTCCGTAAACTGTACTGTCAACAATGGTTCCCACCCCAATGCCCAGGAATATTTATCGTTTTGCCTTTCTGGTGGTAAACCTGTGACGCCATTTCACGACTTGTTGCCTACTTAGCGGGGCATATCTGGCCCCTGCGCTAAATAATTGCCCCTGCCATTATTCATAGGCCAATATCGCCCAAGCAGGTGCTAAACTTTTTAAATCTGCCGAATATTTTTCATTGATAAAAAAGGAGCCCCTCTCCCAAATGGGTCCTTTTCGGCAAGGGGGAGTGGCCAGTGAAAGCTTGGGCGAAGCTTTTACGCAATTTTTGTTTGGCGCCTCGAAACATCGGCTCTTTGGAAATCAACGCACTCGTCATCGGCAATGGCGAATCGGGTTTAACTTCGGTTCCGGCCTTATAAAAGGAGGCGGCTATAAGAGCCAACCACGCAGTGTTCAACAAGTAGTAGGTGCAACAGTTGACAGTTGACAGCATTCCGAACGGTTTCCAGTTAAATACATTTTAAAGTGAGTGTGAACGGTGTGTTTCGAAATTCAACACCTTCGTCTCAGAACTTTTCAAAAAGTCTCCTTAAATGAATGTGGCGGCTTGTGTTTAATTTAAAATTCAGACAATTCAGAGAAAAGGATACAATAACGTGACGTGAAATCTTAGAAATGCCGTCGCTTTCGTCATCGATTACAGCAGTGTCGTCAATGGAACTCAATATACGGGTCTAATTAAAGATTTAATAATTAGTGGGTTTATTTGGAAAATGTCAAGAGAACTAAACTATTTTTGAACTATTTTGTGCATTTATTCTGAAGAAAAGTTTTAGGCTTTCTTCTGGGACCTTCTATCACAAAGATATATAAATTTGAAAAGTTGTGTTTCTTTAGGTTAACATTTTCTTGTTTCTGTTTTTGTAAAATTTAATCCAGCTCTGGGATTTCTTTTTAAAGAAATTTATTTTCAAAAATCTACAAACTAAAAATCCCAAAATTTTCGACTGTAATTTACATTCAAAATGTTAAATTTCTTACGGTTTTTCGATCAATGTAAATCAGAGCTAAGTTCTAAAAATAAAAACTAACAAATTATTTTTTCATTCTTCTTTATTTTTTACTTTTTACTTTTTTACATTTTACTTTTTTACAGGAGGAATATCTTTTTACAATTTTAATTCCCCTTTTTCATGTTTCCAATTCTTAATAATAAGAAGTAGAAAATTTCCAATTTTAAAATAATATATCAAGCATACACCTCGACATAACTTCAAAAACTAATTTTTTGATACTTTAAAATCTTAAAAGTAAAGTTTTAAAAAACATTACCAAAATCTTATATATTTTTAAACTCTTATTAAGGCAGTTTTTTGACTCATGTACTTAACATTTCCTACAAGTAAAATGGAAGACAGAAAATATAATTTTATTTGCTTTTTATTTTAAGCTTAACTTTAAAAAGAAAAGATTTTAAGCAGATTATTTAAGCTTATCAGAGTTCTTATAGCCTTAAAGCAACTTGGAATAAAAATATTTCCACACACATTCGTAAATCATAACTTGATTGCATTTGTCACAGATGGGTTAAATGGCATTTTAAGAAAATTGGTCTTGAAATTTTCTTGGAGAACATTCTATAAATATTTTATCAATGCCAATAGCTGAAAGGTATTCCCACCAAGGCCAAATATATAAATGTCAAACGTAAATAAACCAATAAAAATCTTGTAGAAACAAAAAAAAAGAGAAAAAGCATCAATATTTGCGGAAAATGTTGTCAAGCATTTGTTGCCCCCAAGCCTGTTTTCTTCATTTCAAACGCCTTACTACCTTACCCAACGTGTGAAAATTCCTGACAGTCATAGGAAAATATTAAAGAAATAAATCAATCGAAGGCATTGAGAGTTCCAAGCGTTCCAGAGCGGCTTATGCAATTCAGCATCCCATTGGACTTTAACCCGAGAGCTTATTTACAGAAAATATATCTAAAGTTATTGAGCTCAAACCCAGAGGCAGTACTTCTCTGCTGTACTTATTAAAGTTGACTTCAACTGCTCATTTTTCTATATTAATATTAATATTTTATCAACGGAGAGTAAAGAAGGACATTGTTGGCTTTCGAACTTAATAAGGTTCCATTTGTGTTGAATGTTTAAATTATGAAAAAATCAGTTAAGAAATGTTACTTAATTTGATTATATTTTTGACACTTTAGGCACCATCGAAATGAGTTTATTTTTAACATTTCATTACAAATAGTATTTCCATTTTCATTAAATGAAAGATTATAAAAAATATATGTTTGCATTTTCTAAAAATATCTCAAAAATCTTTAAAAATCTCTAAGAAAGTTTATTAATATTCAGCTTAAGCAATTTACCATTATACTCTCAATATAAATCATAAATATGAATAATAATATACCATAAATTCTTGAAATTTCTTATTCAACATTCAAGTAAAGGTTTCCCTTTCTCAATTTCCCATCTTTTATGCCTGATTTTCTAGTTAGGTGTTTCCTTTGTGTGAAGATTTCGACAAATGCTAGCCCAGCTGGCCAAAATTCAAGGATAACCTAAACTTATGTAATATAGGTACTTACTCTCCAGGAATATTACACAAGTCGACTGTGTCTAATTGGCAGGAATTTTGCTGCAAATGTCATGTGCACTTGTCCAACTACTTTTTCCCACCTGTAACAACCACATTCTTGGCCCTAATTAAGCCGCTTTTGCACTCCACATGTCATGTGTGTTACGTAGGTGGGAATAGCAAGAGACAAGGCCTATATATTCCAGTGGGTTTTGGCCCGTTTTAGTTACATTTCAACTCAATTTAGCAATTAGCCGTGCGGTTATTGCAAAAACGAAACGTTTACAGGGAAAAACAGACGACAGGTAAAAATGAACTCACATAGAGTGTATATATAGAGTCCTGAAGCTTCCCTTCGCCCTCAAATTAATTTCATTTTACCTTGGGGAATTGGCCATCCTGGGTTTTTTTTTGGTTCAGTCCACTTTTTGGTACTGTGTCAACAAGTTAATTAAAGCATTTTGACAACGATTCGTGTTTGCTTTGTTTACTTCTAATTCATTCGCTCTGCCCAGCAATTTCGAACAAGTTTTTCGCCGCCCTAAAAGTGTTGCCCACTTTTCGGCTGCCAATAAAATTCGTGGTAATTGAAAAAGTTTTCTTGCAGGAAATGCTCGAAGCTTATTGCAATTTATTTTGCAAATTAACTGAAAATAAAAGTTTTGCTGCACTTAAAGATTTAAGAAGTATAGAAAATCATCAAAGCCTGCAAATTTATTCGCAAATATTTTGAGAAAATTATAAGGCTTTGCTGTTCAGTTGAAAATTTGCAATCAAACTTAATCAAAACGTGACGGAAAATGGCAACGGAAATTGTCAAGAGAAAAGTTCTCTTTCTTCGTTAGATTTTAATGAACTGTGCAAACGTTTGAATGGGCGTTTCTGAGCTGATTTATTTAGACGGGCTTATATGGTTAATTAGGCACATAAATTTGAGCAAATTTAATTTACATTTTTGGTAGGTTTTGGTTTTTTATATTTTATTGTTACCCAAACTGGATTTTATATTGCTTAGAGAACATAAGTTTAAAAGACAGATAAAGCTTCTTTCGAAGTAAAACCAACTAGATAAAAACATTTTTCAGGCTTATACTTTTCACCAACAAAAAAACTGAACTCTTACTGAGCCTTTAATTTTGAAAAATGAATTTCTGATTTCTTTACCAAAAATCTTCACACTTCTTTGTCCAAATTTGTTTAGGCAAACAAATTGAGCTGATCCTAGACATCTGAACCGACCGAGACCGCAAGTGCCAAAAGTTTCAGGCAACTCATTTATATTGCTCGTCAAGCGGATGTTTTTAAAACGTAAAAAATAAAATAAAGACGAAAGAAGGCGGCTTTTCCATAACCCCAACATCCTGGGGCCGCAGCTAATGGGCTGAAAATACGCCGCGATGGAGTTAAACCCACTCGCCCACGTCAGCGACGTCCCATACTTAATTAAATGAAACGACAAAGTGTGCAGGAGAGGTCTTACAGTAAACCCCGTTGAAAAACCTGACAAAAAATGTAGAAAAAAAAAAAAGAGCACAGAAACACCTACAGTACAGTGGTGGAAATTTATAGGAAAAAATGGCCAGGAAAGCATTTTCTTTTCAATAATTTTGGGTTGAAATCTTTAAAATATTTAAAGAGGGTTCAAGAGGAATTAAAAGAAAAAGTTAATACAATTATTTTTTAAACTTTTAAGATAATAAAATTAATAAAAAAGACAAAAAGCTATAAGTTTCCACAAAACTTCAAAGTAACTCAACTTTTTTTGAGCAATTTTTTGTTGAAAACCATAAAAAAATAAATTTCAAAAGTTATTTTATTATAATTTAGATTTCAAATTAAATATTCCACGTCCACTTGCACCACAGTTCAGCGCGAAAAGAAAGATTAAGGCAGCATCGCAAAACAAAAGCCCAAGAATCAGCCGCCAACTTATCCAAGAGACGCCTTTTGACGTTTTCCACCAACAGCCCATTTTCCAGTTTCCTTCGCGGTCTTCAATTTTTTCCTTAGGTGGGGGTTCCAAGGGTATCTTGGTTGTTTGCGTGTTGATATGCTCATTGTTTGCTTAAACACAAAGAGCCGCCCACATGGACGAGGGGATAATAGGGATGGCGGATGGAGGATGAATCCATCCCTAGCCCCTGGTAGTGATGGTAATTACCCTCGTGTACATACATCTCCACGTTTCTTTTGCGCCTTGCAGAGACATCAGCATTAATCCCGAGCACATCCGGAGGAGAGGCTGTATAAACAGAGACACCGCCATGAAGCCCGACATCCTAGCATTCTGCATCCTGGCAACCACGATCCTGGGCAGCAGGACACGTCACGTCGCTGGCTTCTTGACTTCCCAGACCAATGTCAACGGAGGAGCCGCAGTGGGTGGGACCAAAATGGTTGACCAACAGGGCGTTGCATCCGGGCCACAGCGCCTGCATCTGCCCATTTTCGAGGTTGGGGGCGGACCCGTTCGCCAAGGAGGTCCGCCTCCAGCGGACGTCCAGGAGGTTCAGGAGCGAGCTGTTTACGATCCCGGAGATGGTGAGTCATAAACATCCCTATTAACGCATCTCCTGCAATTGCAATTGCCGCACTGGCGTGGTCTTGACCTGGCCTTCAGTGGATGTTCAAGGCGTTCGCTAATCCCCATTCGAATTAAAAGGATAACAACTTCGTCCTTAGATAAATTGTTATTTGGTTCTTTTTATACCCGTTATACTGAGCGTAATGTTGTACTAAAAAGGTCTAGGCTATCGCTTTACCTGAACTTTAAAAGCTAAGAAATGGGGTTGAGGTTGAATTCTTCTTAGTTGGTGGTTTTCTAAGAAGAATTATTAAATAATTAAAATTTTTATAAAATAAATCCATAAATAGTCAAAATCACCATTAGTTAAAAGCTGATACTGTTATTCGCAGATTTATAAAAACATTTTTCCTGTTAAAATATAGGTAAAAAGGTGTCCAAATAGGTAAATTTCCCAGAACCCATTGTTATCTCATTTGCTTGCCGACTTTTAGGCGGCACATTCAAAAAAGTATAGACCCAGAGTTTGGGTGACACATGACGTGCACTTAGCCATGACCACCACCCACCATCCTTAATGGTCATAGTGACCGCTCGCTGAACATTTTCGGTCAGTGCACAATTTTCAATTTTTCAAGTGGCTCACAAATTTTGCGTCCTCCAACAATATGTGGAATATGTGTTTGTGCCGAGCACTTAACACGCCCACCAAACCAAGGGGGATAGGTTTTCAAATTTGTTGACGAATTTGATTCGACGTTTGCGTTTGCTAACACCGCCTTGTGCCCCCCAAAAACCCCGCAATAGAATGTCATATCGGATTTTCGATAACTGAACTTGTTTTCCAAGTGATTTGATACATGAGTAAATGGATTGGAAATTTAACAATTATCGATTTATGAAGATGGAAGCATTTTGATTGCCTACGTTTAAGGTTGATCTGCTATCACATTCAGTTTAATAATATTTAAAAAGATAATAATTTTACCTGTAATTGGTTCAGTGGTTATCCCTTTAAGATACATTAAAAATAATATAAATATAATAAAGATCATTTTTAAAGTTCAGCAAATATCCGTAATGACCTTTAACTTTAAACCAATATTCCTTGTTTACGTCACGTAAATCAACATTTAAAAATATGGCTGCTGTAGCTTTTGATCTGCGTGGGTTCATGGCAGTCCAGTTGGGGGCCTTTGAAAAGGCAACACGCCGAATGGACTATGATGGGCAGACTGGATGCCAAAAGAGACAAAAGGCAGTAAAGGAGTTGCAGTGACTGCTAACTTGACTGACGGACGGATTCTCGAAAAGTGGGAAATACGCCCAAGGGGGGAAATTCTCTGGCCATAAACTCATTGCCGCCAGTCAATTTCCGGCAGTTCATTGAAAAGACAGGCAGTGCCGGGAGGGGGAAAAACATGATGAAACCTCCTACCAGTCAGCCGACAGACAGACAAACAAACTATTCAAACTTTCAAATATCAAACGGCGGAAGTTTCCGATGGCAAAGAGCCTTCCGATGGAAATGGGAATGGGGAATGGGTGTTGGAATGGCGTAGCTGTGGTCGGATTAGCGGCAGCTTGAATAAACATTCAAATCGCAAATAACGACTTTGGTTTGCTCATTTTACGCCAGAATTACTCCGCGCCCAGGAGCTCGGATTGCCAGTGATCCCCCCGGGCCCCGACTACGCCGATGCGGTGTACAACGAACTCGAGCTGGCCAGTAAGTTCGAGGTGCTCAAAAAAATGGAGGAGGATTTACGGGCCGAGCAGGAACTGGTGGACAAATCGGCTTTGCTCATGAAAATGCTAGAGGTGAGTGGAGAGACAAAGTTCGCGAAATTTCATGGAAAGTTCAGCGAGTTATACAGGGAAAAAGATTATTACAAATATCTGCCTTCAGTATTCAGAGCATGTATTAAACTGAAACAAATTTCTCGCTGTGTATTTTTACCTTCAGGATCCCTCATTGGAAACTCTACCACTCGTTTATGTGGAGGAGGAGGAGCCAGAGGCAATGATTCCTTCCGCTGCAGCCGAGGACTACGCCGAATTGGAGAACGCCGTTCAGGATTTGGTTTTGGGCCAGAGCAAACCGAAGCGTTCGCGCTACTATCGCAGGTATCCGTGGAAGCGCCACAACAAGAATCGCGGGTAGGTTGCCTTTTCCATATCTCTAACACACCCACACGAACACCACAAGTCCATAAATCCCCAAAGCACTGTAATGAGTTCCAGTGATTACTAATTTAGCAACCCCAATTATCATTTGTAGTTAGTGAATGTTGTCAGTAGTCATTACGCAGAATTTAATCCCGTATACTTAGAGTTTTAATCGGAAATCCTGAAATTGCCAAAATGCTTTCGCAAGGTAGCTACTTAAGCTTTTTCGAAGGTAAAGGGTCTGCCTTTAAAGTTGGTATAAAGAAAAATGCTAAAATTCCTTTAAAACAAAAATCTAGTAAATTCAATTGATTGAGATTTTCTTGGATCAAAGCATGACCCTTCATAGAAATTCAAAGCATTGATGGTAATTTCAGGAGCATCCTTGCCTCCACCCCCTTGTAGTCTATTTAACTTGAACAATTTAATGTAATGCAATTTATCAGAGTCTCTTTAGGCCCGAAAGGCAGACACCCAGAATCCCCCAGAACCGCCCACAGAGAGATCGATTATTGATTACTGATTACTGATAGCGTGAAACGTGAACGATTTTGCTAACTACATAACCATTACCATTATCAGTTCTTACATGAATTCTATCAACAGCAACTATGAACCGGAATTGCGATATGCCTGTACGCCTAGTAAGGAGGATATATTTAAGCTGCTGGTCAATCTCCATGAGAATCGCAAGGGCAACCACAGCAAGACGGTTAATTTCTGCAATCGCAAGCGTCCTGCCAAGGCGGTCTTCACCAACATAAGATTCCTGGGCTAAGGCGATATGGATATATAGACGATATATAGTACACTGAACAGAACAGAACCCCAGACACTGACAGACACATATGTATACCAAGCATCAATTGTACATTTGCTGACAAAGTCGAGCGCCAAACTGGAGAACAACAAGCACTAACAATTAGCCTAACTAAACTAAACTAAACTAACTAAAAATTCCTTGTTATCTTGTCGCGATACAAGCCCTTGTGAGGCAATTTAAATGCCACAACACCCTATTGCCCCAACCCCTAATTCTAATTGTAGACAATTAAAACTTTTATAACTCTCAATGTGTTGTATATACTAATTAATTAACTAACTAAATAAAATAGAAAAGTTCTAGTGGCTCCCTTTTGTTAATTTTTTGTGGTTGTCGTTGCGTGTGCTAATCCATAGAATTGCATAACGTTGCCATATCACTTGAAAGTCTCGTAACATCTCTCGGTCCATTAAACTAGTATTATAAAATAATAAATGGCACCACGAACCTCCCTAATGCTATATCAATGTGTATATACGAGAATATTTGAATATATTAACTACTTACTAAACGAAACTATCTCTAATGTAAAGTCGAGGAATATACATACATATATATATTTCAAATAAAATTATAAACTTATACGAGTATTCGTGTGCAATTAAATGGAGATAAAGCGTTTTTCAATTGACGTAAAGGGGTTTGTAGTAAAAGGGTTTAAGCCAGGAATGTGTAAGTCCATAAAGTAAAATAACTATAATATATGTTGGGCTTAACAATTTGTTAGAACATATTTTGAAATTTAAAAGATCTCCCAACAATTATATGTAGATATAAACCAGGGGTGCTCAAAGCCTATTCTCTGAGTGCTCTTTTGAGAGCTAGCGGCGCTAATCCACTAACAATTTTTGTTTTTCCTCTGTTTTCTCTTTCTTATTCCGTCGCCAACTGCAATACAATTTGTTCTTGCTTCTTCCTGGATCATCCTCGAACTCCTTCCTATTCCAAAGACACTTTTTCGTTTTCCTCTTCCCGCCTCATACCGTCGCTAACTGTAATATAATTTCTTCTTGTTTCTCTCTTCGATCATCCTCGGACACTTGCACTGGAAATCATTTCTTATAACTTCTGTTTGCACTTTGAAGTTTCTTTTGCATTTGGCGAGTTAATAAAATGAGTGATAAATTGAATAGCAAAAAGAAGGTATTTCTTTCTCTCAGTGCACAGCTGCACACCAACACAAATGCGTCACTAAATATGTGCAGGTTTCTTGTAGTTAGTAAATGCTCTGCTGCAAGACGAATTTGAGCACCCCTGATATAAACCAACGAAAATCTTTAAGAACATTTCGGACTTAAAAATCTAATACCTTGACTTTCCATTTTCACTACAAATCCCAGTCTTTGTTAATCCCAAATAAGAACTCTGATTGTAAACGAACCAACCAACACCTTCGGAAGTGCGAAAGCTACAGCCTGACATTGAGCTTAGATTCTCGGCCAACTATTCCCCATTGTTTGTTGATTCAACAATGTGGCTATGTGGTTATCTGTTTGGAAAGCATCTGTATCTGTTTCTGTGGATGACAACGGAACGAGGAGTGCTATCTAGGAGTGGGTAATGTAGAGGGTGAGATGATGGAGCTCGTGCCTCGAGCTGGTAATGACCATCGAGCGTGTAAACCTCTCGGCGCGATGACTAAGCGGAGTAAATAGGCGCATTCTTTATCTTATTTATTTTATACACTCGCTATGACGTCAACACAATTCACAAAATACAGATGCTGGGGCTAAAATCTTAGATTAATAAAGAGAAAACTTAGAAATCATTGTCATGTAATAGATAATGGTGAAATTAAATATTTATATTTAGCTTTTGTATTTAATTAAATAGGTTTTTCTGTTAATATTTACCACACTTTTTTAACTGAAAAATCCAATTAAAAATCTAAAATAGTATTTTGAATTTCCCTAATTTATTTATTGGCTCAGAAATCTTTCACAAAGTTTTCATCTACATTAAATAATCTTTCTTTTATTTCTTAGTTAGCCAAAAATGTTGGGGAACCAACTTCTCACAGGTGAAAAGCAAAGGGGTTTGGTCAACCAGAGTGTGTCGACGGAGAGTTTAAGGACCTCCATATAATCAAAGGAGCAACTGCTCGTCTCGAAGGCCTTTGTCACTACAGGAGATTCAGGCTTAGATGTAGATTGGGAGTGAGACTGTGCTGGTTGGGTTGTCACACCTAAAGAAGCCTTGTCCTCATCCTCATCATCCAAAGCCGAACGGGCAAAGGCTTCATTGCCATCAAAGTAGTAAAACTCCTTGCGGGTCGAGTTGGTTTCCACCACCCTCGAAGGTTGCTGGTCATCGATTCCGCGGGCATAGGAAATCCTCCTAGTCGTTCGGTAGGGAGTAGCCGCAAAGGGTAAGGGATAACCACTGACATAGCCAGGATAACCAGTCGGGATGGGCCACAGTTGGGGTGTTTGTGGATGCAATCCCAGTTGAGGCTGCAATCCAACTTGCGGCCACAAGCCCAAACCCCTTTGAGGTTGCTGTTGCTGTTGCTGTTGCTGCAGACCCAATCCAAAGCCGGAGGCAGCATCTTGCCGGCAGCCATCGGAGTCCTGATCCTGGAATATTTCCAGCAGGAACCCATTGGAGGTGGTACTACTTGACTGTCCTATACGCATGCGCAGCGCCTTGCGACCCTGATCCCAATGCGATTTGTGGATATAACCCGACCGACAGCCGCAATATCGTTGACCATCCAGTTCCAGGAAGTCACCATTACACGCTTGTTGTCCTCCAAAACCGCTACTAAAGCCTCCTCCCAATCCTCCAGACACTCCGTTGCCGAATCCACTGCCAAAGCTTCCTCCAACCGAACCTCCTGAATTCTGCCCAAAATCAAAGAACTTAAACTGGATCCTCAGCCGGCAGACATTGGGTGAGCTCTTCTCTATGTAGAAAACACAATCCCTTTGCTGATTGGGCAGCAGATAGTTTAAGACAGTTCTCGGGAATCCGGGGCTGGAGAGATAGAAGTGATTCTGATTGAAGCTGCTGGCACAGCAGAGATCCAACTGACCTCCAAACTGCTGTAAGTTCTGAGATTCATAATCCTTTAGGGTTACAGCATGCGGCTGGAAGGACGTGGTCTGATATTGATCCGAGATCAAGGGCAACTCTTGCTGTTGCTGCTGGGGAAGCTGAAGTTGCTGCGGGAGTTGCAGTTGCTGTTGCTGCTGCAGGATCTGCTGCTGGAGTTGCTGTTGCTGCAGGATTTGTTGTTGAAGTTGTTGCTGGTGCTGTGGAAGTTGGAGTTGCTGCTGTGGAAATTGAAGTTGCTGTTGCTGCAGGAGTTGCTGCTGTTGCAAAAACTGCTGATGCTGCTGGTGCTGCAGGAATCGCTGCTGTTCCTGTTGCTGTTGCAAAAGTTGCTGCTGCTGCTGGGGAGCACATGGTGGCGATTGCTGGGGTGGTAATCCTACAGGTGGTGGATAGAATCCAGCAGGATAACCAATGCTGGGTTGCAAGCCCAAGTTGAACCCCAAACGATTTGCCTGCGTAAAATTGAAAGCCGGATCCTGAGGCTGCTGTGGAGATTGCTGTTGCAGGTGGTGGTGGTGGTGGTGGTGCAGCTTCTTGGGAGGTGACTTGGCGCTCACCTGCACCGTGTCCCCATCCACATCCTCCTCGTCCTCGTCCAGGCCCCTGGCCACAAAATCTTCCCTCTCACAGGCCAGACGCGTGATAAGAAGTCGGAAACCTCCATTGGTCGTCCAAGGTGAATCATCGCTGAGGAAACGCAGACGCAGGATTCCATCGGGAGTATGGTACTTCTTGATCCCCAACACCTGACCGCACAGAACATCCATGTCATCGCCGTCGTTGTTCAGCCCAATGGCCAAATAGTCCCTGGTGCAGTTTTCCGATAGTTCCAGCTTAAAGTCCAGGAACTGTATGTGGAACTTGGTGGGGCATCGATAGGGAGACCGCACCACATAATCCCAGCATGTGTTTACCGGATAATTGTCCGGGTAATTTGGTGACTCTATGAGACTCTGTCGCTGCCTGTAGACACCATGTAAACCGCACTGTGCCAGCTCATCGTGGACAGCTCCCTGGGATCCCAATGGGATGAGACTCAACACTAAAACTAGGACTCGTGCCAGCTCCTCCATTTCGATGGTCGACCGTCGGGAACGCGCTGAAAAACGCAACTAACTCGTTGCGGTTCATCCAACACCGATGTTTGCCTGCCAAAAAATAACATTTTACATGGGTGCGACGGTTGGTTTTCACTGGAAAACAATTTGCACTTTTGTCTGTGGAGTCGCAACAAAAGCGTTCACTTGTCAGAGACTTCCATTCATAAGTCGCATTTTAGTTCACTGAACCTCAGGCAAAAACTTTCGGGTGGACAACACGTTTCGAAGGTGCCAAAAGCACCTCATAAAACTACAAAACCATTAGATGGAATTCCACACGGAAGATCTTTAAGAATGAATCATAGGAACAGGGATTCTCTATCTGTTTTATGATATGCCATCATCAAGATCATATAGTTTATCATATCAGTAGAACTTTGAAATGCTTTACTGATATGATAAACTTATAATCCAACCCTATAAAGTTAATGTGGTGTAGTTATGTGGCAAAACAATAACATAAATTTTGGTTCAAAATCTATATAATACCAAATAAGGGGTTATTGGGGTTTATACTTCAGCTTGATATTGATATCTCTCACTTTACAAACAATCACATCTCACTTCCTTCACTCAGTTTAACTTCAACCAATAACCACAAACGGAACTTACATAACTTGGCGGCAACAAAGAAATACGAAAATGTTTGGTCGTGGGAGCACACCTAGCATACAAAACAGTGTCAAACAAATAAAAAGCTCTTTAAGAAAATATACCCGAATATATCATCACTGGTCATGTTTACTTTGGCTTAAACCAACTTATCACTAAGCCAATTCGCTGAAGGTCCACCTCGGCTGATGATAACAATTTTGGGTGGCGTTGGCCAGAAAAGTAAATTCTTGTTGTCGTAAACAAATTCAAAACAACATCTGGCATATCTTTAACGTTTGCATATAACTTAACCGACTTAACACTAAGCTAATGATTTAGGTTTTTAATGCTTCTGTTTATTAAAAAGATGAATGAAACATTAAAAATATTACTCATCTTATACGTTGAGTTCCAATTGCCTACTTAGTTAAAAGGAAATTATCTCGAAACAGTGTTTTTGCTTTTCTTATTGGTTGTCTTTTAATTAACTTTACATTTTTAACTTTTTAGCCTTAAAGAAGTAGTTACCCTTAAGAATATCTTATCGTTTTTAGCGAGCCAATTTTATTATTGTGTTTTATTCCTTAGAAAAACGTTTTTAATTGTATTTGTTAAAAAGAGTAAAACCTATTTTTTCACCCTATAAATCCCTTATTTTAAATTATTTGTTTTAGAAATTGCTATATAATTATCGGAGTATTATAGATTTGTATTTTCGCCAACTAGCGAAAATACCGCAAGACTTATTTGACAACCTAATATTTTTTTTATATCTTAATAAGCAGACTTCTGCTTCCATTGCCTGTGAATCTTATTATTTCAACTTTAATATTTAGTATTAGTTTTGTATAACAGACTAACTTTGTTAAAATAAAATAACTAATGCTAAACTATATGTTTGTTTTTTGTTTAATTAAATCATTAAATATGAGAACATTTCCCTCAACTAAAATAATATATTTATATTTTTATCGATTCAATTAAATATTTTTATGTTTATCTTTAGCAATATTTTGAAACATATTTTTAGCTTTTAATAATAATATTTATCCTACGACTCGTGTTTGTATACATTTATCTACACAGTAAACTTAGTATTTCATGAAACGAAGAACAGAGTATTAAGATTCTTTACCCGCAGGAGTACCCTTTAAAATCTTGACTTAGTTTTAATTGTTTTAGGCAAAAAAGGGTGCAAGTACATTTGTTATGGCTGAAACGTTTATTTGACTTATCTCCTATGAAGTAATAACAAGAACCGGCTAAGTAAGGAAAACAAGTAAAGGGTAAACAAGATGCAAAATTCGAGAGATAGAAAACATGACAACAGGGCTCCAGACCTTGAAACTCATTCAGTCTTCTTCTAATATATCTCAGCGGCTAGTCATAATTGCGCTAAGATCTTTAAGACTATAAGTGAGAGTGATGATATATGATTCTCCTAGTAGTGCATACTGCTTTCTAGGAAATCCTCTGGCGAAATCCATAGGTAAACTTGTGTTCTTATGATGGATGCTTAATAGATTTCACCAGTATAAAAAGAGGGATTGACTGTGAAATGGGAAGCAGTATCAAAGTAAGAGTAATTGCAATCAGAATGTTTGCCACGCCACTCAGACAGCCAAGTGCAATGGTCCAGGTCCAGAAGAAGACACCTGGCATGGATGGTCATGAAAAACCCTTTCAGTACGAGATCACCGATCATGGTTATGGCAAGGATGCGGTCAAGGTTCTGCATGTCAGTCGGAAAGGACCGGTGCACACCATCCAGGAATTCGAAGTGGGCACTCATCTGAAGTTGTACAGCAAGAAAGATTACTACCAAGGCAATAACTCGGACATTGTGGCCACCGATTCTCAGAAGAACACCGTCTATCTGTTGGCCAAAAAACATGGCATTGAGAGTCCCGAAAAGTTTGCCCTACTCCTGGCCAAGCATTTCATCAACAAGTACTCCCATGTGGAGGAGGCTCATGTCCATGTCGAGGCCTATCCCTGGCAACGAGTCTGTCAGGAGGAGACCAAGAACACCATCAATGGGAAATGTGAGAATGGAAACGAAGGCAGCTGTGACTTCAGTTCGGTCGACAACCGATCACTCCACAATCACGCTTTTATCTTCACTCCCACGGCTCTGCACTACTGCGATGTGGTTATAAGGAGAACAGGTTGGTACTAAATTCGTTGATTACTTTTGTGCATTTCAACCATAAAAGACCAAAAAGGTCTTACTATAATTTTATTTTAAATTCATTTACCCTTTTCCCTCTACATAGATCCCAAACAAACTGTCATCACTGGAATCAAGGGTCTCCGCGTACTGAAGACCACCCAATCCTCGTTTGTGAACTTCGTAAACGATGAGTTCAGATCTCTGCCAGATCAATATGATCGCATCTTTAGCACAGTGGTGGATTGTTCCTGGGAATACTCCAACACCGATAACTTGGACTTTTTGAAAGCCTGGCAGACGGTTAAGAACATTATTATCCGGAACTTTGCCGGCGATCCGCAGGTGGGCGTGTCTTCCCCTTCTGTCCAGCATACCTTGTACCTCAGTGAAAGAGAGGTCCTGGATGTCCTACCCCAGGTGTCGGTCATCTCGATGACCATGCCGAATAAGCATTACTTTAACTTCGATACGAAGCCCTTCCAGAAAATTGCTCCTGGTGATAATAACGAGGTGTTCATCCCAGTGGACAAGCCACATGGCACTATCTACGCCCAGTTGGCCCGGAAGAACATCAACAGTCATCTCTAGATGGATCTCTGATTTAGTTAGTCTCTGTCTAAAGCTCTTTAGGCAAGTTTTTATAACGTAAACAAATTTGTAGATTAGATAGTTGGAAACAAATTCTTATAAATTAATGTAAATGTTTGTAAATAATTAAATAAATAAAATTTAATAGGTAAACATTTTGTTATATTTCAGAAAAGTTCGAATCAACCAACCTTAGCTGGAAATTTCAAAAGTTAAAACTGCTTTCAAAATCATAAAATGAGGCATAGTTTCTAAAGACAGCTTTTAGGTTAACTCTTCTTTCGACCATTTTGGCAATCAAAATTTGTTGTTAAATTCAAAGACTGGAAAAAAATCTTCTAGCCCCAAAGAGCGTGATCATGACCAATCGACTGGCCTTGCACCACATCCTAACCACCCAGCTGCAGAGAGACTGGGACCAGGAGGAAAGTGCCAAGTTCAGGCTTTCGCAGCTGAACAGGCGGGACAGGATCAAGGCCTCGCTGAGAACGACCCAGTTGCCAGGACGTAACCTGCTGCCTGACACCCGAAAGACCTATGACAATATGGTGGCAAGGATTCACTCGACCATGAAGGGTAAGCTAAATAGCTTAATAATTAGTTCTGAAGACTAGACTGATTCCTGACTATTCCTTAGCGGTTCGAACACCACGAAAACCTCGGCCAGTGGTGCCGGTGCCCATGGAGACGACTCCAACTCCAGTTCCAGGAGTAGCACCACCACTGCCAACGAGATTGGTATCAAAAAAACCAAAAAGCAGCAAATCAGGAAGGATTAAGGGCGGCGCCAACTCCTCAAGGACGGGAAGTGCGAATGGAATCGCTAGGATATCCCCAGAAAAAACATTGGCGGCTATCAAGGCCAGCTTCAACCAGAAATGGAAGGGAGCGAAGGGTATTAACCAGCAAAACCGGATCCGAGAGGTCCTCCAGCAGAAGAACGTGCTGGAAACCATGCTAATGCAGCACAGGAAGTTGCAAAGGGATCGCCAGACCATAGCCCTGGATATCCAGCGGATGCGGGCAGACCTGGATAGGATTCGCAACAAGTTGGACACATCCCTGCAGAGCTTGAACTCCACGCGCACCCTCTTCAAATCCGTTAGCAAAACGAGTTCCAAGAAGACGATTGTTCAGAAGCCCGCGCACTCGATGACCCCGATTCATCGCCGGTCGAATGGGAAGCGAAAGGTCAGGATCACCGTTCCGAAGAACCGGCAGAGCGTCCTGACCAGCAAAGCTCCCATACTCAAGCGACGAGTCCGCTAAACGCTTATTAAAAAGGGGAAAAAGAACAAAAAACAAATAAATAAAATAAAAAATTTATAAATTAATATTATTTACTTTCATCGAAATACATTTGAAAATACAATTAGCGTGAATATTTTGTTAAATTCAGTTTAATACAAAAATTGCATTTTATTATTAAAAAAAAATTTCTTAAGTTAAAAATTATGTTTATTTTTATATCAAACTTTAGTCCCATAATTCATTTCTTAAGGAATGAGCACTTAAATATCCGTTAAAAAATGTTAAAATTAAGGGCTGAAGCAAAACGATAACTTATCGATTATTTTAGTATTGAAAAAATTTCTGTGACGCGTTAAAGTATTCTGAGTGAAAAGGCTTACGGTCACACTGTTGTCACTCATGGCGTCTGCCTTTTGCTGCCGGATTTTTGTTTTTCGTTTTGTTACCTACAATTTTCACCGGTTTGCCTAATTTTTTCACTTTTGGGAGCCTAAGATGGGCTCATCCAAGAAGCACAAAAAAAACAAGTCGGAGCGGCGTGAGAAATATGAAGGTAAGCCCAACGAAAAGTGCTTCGTCTACGTGAGCCCCCGCTGGCACACGCTATCTCGCTCTATCATTTTGCCGCTTGTTGTTGAGCATGTATGCACTTAGAAAAAATAGGTTACACAAAGAATAATAATTCTAAAAAACATTAAGACTCATTTCTGTGATTTACTTCAACAATTTGAAAGTTTTATATCTTTTTATAATATTAATTATATATATAAAAGTATGTAAAAATTCTTTTTATGTTTTGGATAAGTAAAAATTTATATTTTATATTTATCTGATTATACCTTATTATTTATAGAATACAGTCAGCACCAGGATCCGGCTCAGCTGCAGCGAGGACTAAAGCTAATCCTAAAGGTGGGATCGAATGCCACACCAGAGTACAGTGCCAATTCGCCAATGGTTGACGGAGGACCGCCTACAGCTGCCGAGGCCATGATGTCTCCCGTTCCCGAAGAACTCCAGGATCATCAGGGTCATCGCGAACGTCACAAGAAGTCAAAGAAAAAGAAGAAGAAGAAGGATCGTGAGAAGAAGCACAAGCATCACAAGGAGAAGCGTCACAGGAGCAGAGATCGCCATCGGGATGCAGGATCGGACGACGATATGATGCCGAGTGCTGACGATGCCGCCTGCAGTGGTTTTGCCCCACCCTCGGTAGCTCCACCAACCGTCGATCCGGATTCCAGTCAGGATGGATTCAGCTTCATGGACGATGATCAGTCGCAGCCGCTACCGGAGAACATCCTCTTTTTTGCGGGTATTACCACGGATAATTCCCCATCCAACTGTCCTGTGACCAAACCAATAGCACCGCGCAAGCTGGACGATATCCTGATGGGTTCCTCGCCTAATTCATCTTCGCTGCAATCTTCTTCCCTGGGTTTGGTGGGAAGTAGTCCCACTAAACCACTACCTGACGTGAGATTCATTATCATAACTTACCCCATGACCTAAACTAATAAATTTACAATTTTCAGCTCTTGATTCCTTCACCCTCAACTCCAGGAGGAGCGAACTCCCTAAATGCCCTTACACCCAAGGGTCTGGAGGCACCAAAGACCCCCAGCAGTTCTAGTGAATCGGGAAGAGAGCCCCGAAGTTGTGTCCTTAAACTAAAGCAACAAAAATCACCATTGAACAAACTGCTGGAGCATCTGCTGCGCTTCCTGGAGAAGCGGGATCCCCACCAGTTCTTCGCCTGGCCGGTGACCGATGATATGGCGCCCGGTTACTCCTCAATAATCAGCAGGCCCATGGACTTTTCAACCATGCGTCAGAAGATCGATGACCACGAGTATGCCGCCTTAACAGAGTTCAGTGATGACTTTAAACTGATGTGTGAGAATGCAATCAAATACAACCATGTGGATACTGTTTATAACAAGGCGGCAAAACGTCTGCTCCAAGTCGGAATGAAGCACCTACAGCCGGAGAACTTGATGAGGAGCTTGAAACCACTCTCAGGTTATATGAGGGAGCTTACTGCCAAGGAACTTGGATTTGAATTGAGTTCTAATGATTTGTCACGAGAAGCTCATGATTCGGCGGACGAAGGAGCTTCAACGGGAGCTGAGGAGCCGCCCACTCCAGCCCAACTCGAAGAAGAGGAACGCAAGCGTGCTTTGCGCCTAGAGAATGCGCCTAAAACACATTTCGAGCCCTACGTAGACGATTTAACGGGTGAAGAGATCCTAGCCCAAGTACAAAATGCCGCCCAACAGGCCAAGCAGAGGGTTAATGCCAAGAAAAATGCCCACAAGATGGGTTTCCTGCGTCAAACGAAGGATGGCACTACCACACTAAATCTGTTGACCAAAGATGAAAACGAGGGTCCTGAACGGGTAGTAACTATTGGCGATCTGGTGGGCAAACTGCAAACGGGAAGCACACAACTGCAGGCGCGACAGATGGATAAGAGGAATGCCATGAAGATAGTGAAGCCCCTAAGCTATGGAGCCTTTGCTAGCTTTGCGCCCGACTTTTGATTCCCGCTTCTCCACTTTAAGTGCTGAGGAAACTCAATTGGTTTTGCATACATATGGAGATGCTTCAAGTGCGGAATACGCCGAAAGCATTCTACAATTCACCAAGGACTCTAGCTATGGGACCACTATTGCAAACGGTTTATTGGATATTCTTACTAACGGAGAACATAGCAAATCGCTAGATGAACTTTACAACATGCAACTGCATTCGTATGAGCAACGTGAGATTGGAAAGTGCTTTGAGCAGGAGGAGGAAACAACTCAACAGCAGGAAACCGCCGAGCAAATCGAGCAAGAGTATGAGAAATATAAAAATACTCATGTGGACTTCAAGCGATTGCAATCTCTCGGGGATCTTGGGATCGATGTGAGCTTCTTGGACAGCATGGAGACGGAAATAAAGAATTTCGAGCTCAACCGGCGAATGCACGAGCATCTTAGTCAAAACTTGACGTTAATTGAGAAGCTGCGAGTAACTCAGCATGATCGTTTATCGCAGCCTCTGCCGAATCACCATGGACTAGTGCAGCCCGCTGGACAGGAGGAGACTCAAACCGCCCAACAATTGACGCAGCAGATAAGTGATCTGGCCAAGAAGCTGCCACCTTCTGCCATTGCTGATCCCTATGCCTTGCGAAAGGCCATGGGCATGTCCTATGGTAAGTTTTTAAAGATAAACCTTTTTGTCCATTTCAATAATGTTACCTTCGTTATTCAAGCTGGTCTACCGCCACCTCCAGCTGTTTCCCCACGTGTCCAGCTGCCTGAGCTGCTACAACAGCCGGTGGCCCTGCCCCAATTGCAACCGGTGGCCATGGAGATCGACGAGACGGATGAGCAGCACGGCGGTGGCGATTTGGAAAACGAGCTGCGTGAGTTCCTCGAAAGCGGATCCGGCCTGCACTCTGCTAACCCAGCAGATGACAACAGCATTGTCGCCCAGCTGCTGCTCAATTAGGGGATCGGGATATCTCCATGACGCGCGCTATGTTTATAATGTAAGATAATGCAATTTCTCTAAATTATTTTCATATAACCAATGGCAGTTTCATTCTAAATAAAATTTAAGCTAATACTAAAGAAGTTCATGGGTACTATTGGAAAAGTCGATGTGATAAAATCAATTTTAGATTTTTTATCGTTTGTTGAACTGCAAAAGATAGTTTTTATTGAAATTATTAAGAGGGTTTTGATCTAAAAATGATCAAGTATTGATTCAGTGAACTTTCTTTAGCACTAACAACTATATTATCTCTTTTCAATTCCGAACTTAAAGCTAAACACACTTTCGATTTGCCTTAACTGAACCTAGGTAACGATTTAAAGTTTAAACACAACACATTTGCAGAAGAGCCGCCGCAAGTGCTAGACTTCTTCGACGTTTTCCGTAGGCTTGGCGTCTTCGACAACCTCCTGGAGCTCCTGCTGAGCGGTGACGGTCGGTTTCGTGATCTATAGAAAATTACAATACGATGGGCGGTACAGTGAACATAGCCTTTGCAATATCATAGTCGTAAAACTTCATTCAGTTGCTGTCTTCAGGCACATAATACTTATCGGATCATGCAGTTAGCGCTGCTATATATATATCAACATGCTGGTTATATCTACCATTGACGATAGCTCTTGTCATGCACTTAGCTTAGGCTTATCCTACAGTTAAGTACGATTACATTCTTAGCCTATGATTAGGATTTGGATTACATAATAACTTAGTTATGGACTTTACCACATTAGAAACCGAGTGGGGCGAGTATCGGTTTAGTGTTTTGATTTGAGTATGGACCACTTAGAACCTAGACGTTAGGCGAGGGCTAAATGTTTTGGAACCCATTTATATATATATATGTATATATACTATATATCACAAGATGGTTGATTTTTGGTTGTTCCCCGTTTTTTTTTTTTTTTTTTGTTTGATGTGATTTTGGTTAGTTGGCGATTTAGTTTCAATGACTTTTCAACGTTTTGTTATTGTTCTGTAGAAGTTGTTGAGTTATGTCTGAACCCGATTGGCTGCTAGATTTTCTTACTTTGAAGCAACGAATGTGGAAGTGATCGCACATCTCAGAGACCTAAAAAGAAATCATTTTAGAAAATTTTTAATGATTTTGAATAAAGTAACTAGCTTACCACACCATAGCCATAGTGCCAGTGGGCTAATGTTGAGAATATTGTGAGTCCTTGGACAATCCATTTTTCCGTATCCGCCGTGAGATCCGTGTCGAAGACCTGCTCATAGTAGGGAAAACAGCAGACACCCACTGTGGCGGCCAGTGGCCACATTAGAACATTAAAGGCATCGCAGCGCATGTCCGACATTTGGGCCACTATAAGTCGGCACTTTAAAATAAATCATTAGTTTTTGTCAACTTAAAAAACCTGTTCACTTACAGCAATATTTGAGAATATCGTTCCGTAGAGTATCCATAAAATACGTGGCTCTAGGTTGATCACATCGTTTCGAGAGAAAAACGACCAGATTAAAGTGATCACAAAAAGCCAGACGAAGGCGAAGAATGGGCGCAGCATTTCCCACATTGGTCTCATTTTTCCGGTCTTATTTTTATAGGAACTTTAATAAAAAATAAATAAATTAAGCATCCGGGACTTTAGATTTAAAAGCAAAAACTCACAGGTAGATATTTCGTGCAATAATCGGATGACTACTGACCATGCCAGAACCAATTAGAACCACCTCAAACATGTTGGCCACTGTGAAACCATGATACTCAAACCGATACATCTCAGGTCCAAAAATGGTTGCCACAAACAGCATGCCGCTAACTCCCTGATTAAGGAATCACATTTAATTAGTTTGAATTACTAGGTAACAAAAATTGATGATTTACTTACCCACATGGTGAAGTCATAGCCCCAGGGCAGAAACATAACTCCCGTGTTATACTTCTCAACATGCGTCAAATAGAAGTTGAGAAAGACGTTCCAGATCACGAAGAACATGCGAATCGGAGGCAAATCATGGGTGCCGAAAAGGGAAAATAGGTAAATGGGTATCAGGGCAGCTGAATAGGAGTCCAATCCATGATCAAATAGCTCTCCCAAAGGTCCACTTGTTCCTGTTCTTCGAGCCTGCTTGCCATCCATTCCATCTTTTAAATAAATTTTATTTATAAATAAAATTTAGATATATATATTTTAATATTCACCCAAGTTATAGTAGATCAGTATATTTATGGCCGCTACTGTCCACACCCAGGCGGGTACAGTGTTGCCCGTCCTTGGATTGGCGGCTTCAAAGCCCCAGTCGTAATAAGCTATCAGGATGAAGTTGACAACAGTCATGAGAAATCCCACGAAGGTCAGAACATTGGGCGCCAGCCATTTGGGAACAAACTAAAATATTTAAAGGTATTCAAATATGTACTCCGCAAGGTGTATTTATAATTTACCTTCACACAGTAGTTCCAGAACGGGTGCATCACATAGACACTGAGGAAACTCGTGTCTATACTGCTGTACTACGGAATAAATAATAAGATATTGATTAAAACCACTTCTTGAAGATATTTTTCATATAATCATCGTTATTATTAGTTATTACTATTAATCTATTATTTAAAGTTATAACTTAAAGTTTAATTATTCATTGAAAATTATTTAAATACTGCTAAGAAGTAACCAAGAAAACCCTTAGTTTGTTGACCAACTTCCAAAAAATCTGATAACAAAAAACCATGCCAAGATTAGTTTTACTGGTGCCATCTTTTGCTATAAATCATATAAGAAATGTTTATTAACTGATATTTAAACCTTATTTATACCTTAAAACAATGTTGCTGCAAGCTTAATCTCAACTTTCTAAATCTCCGTGTTCATACGAACATTACTAAATCAACTAGGTACTGATTCTGATCAAAAATAAATATATTTTATAATAAGTTGTTATAATCCAATGCTATATGTAATTTTTACTATTAGCTATCAGTAACAAAAAATTTGATAAGATATTGTTTTAAACCAAAGCAATGTTCTGAAAAAATACTTTTACTTTTGTTTGGCTGAATTTAAAACTTATTGATACCATTTTGTAACCTCTCTACTAGTCTCAATCCTTGAGAGTCTTCAATCCATTGTCTCTTCATGTTGTAATCTTTACAAGTACAAATTCCACTTTTGATAGTCACCAACCTATTTTACTCCATTGGATCCCCACACTGTCTATCTATAAGTCTCCAAAGCTTCTTCATATGTTTCCGTGACAGTTCAATGCCTTCTTCTAACGAACATTTGTTTAGCTTGGTTATCAGTTAATTGATGACCTACACTAGTAAAACTATACATTCAAATTTTATAATAGTACAAATTTCGACATGTACTAAACGGGCCCAATTGGTCGGGATCAAATTAAATGTTAGCTAATCTGGTCGACGACGTACTAACCGGAACTAGAGTGAATCTCAGTCCGATAAGACATAATCTTTAGACATTGGGAAACGTATACCTTGTAATCTGGAAAATGTTTCTTAACTAGATCAGATTATGAATCTTGTAACTGGGACAAGATTCTTTAAATTTGAATACTTCACCGTTTTCGTATGAAAAGCAGGTAAATATCAACAATAAATCGAACTATATTTTTCTCTATAAATGCGTATTTCCATTTTAATTAGTCATTAATATGGAATTTTTCCTTTATGATAAGAATCCACTGTTCCCCAAAAACTATGATTCATATATCGTGTAAAAGTTCTTTTCCGTGTTATTATTAGTAACAAGCTCTGATTATGTTACTTGAATATTATTTAAAAATCTCAAGTAATTTAATCATTAACCCATCTTTTAAGAATTAGGAAACTCCAATACCAACTCCTTTTTTGGGTGTAATGAAAGATAGGCAAAAAATGGGTTAAATCAATAACAGAGATAACTACATTCCCTGTGCTTTATTTATAATTTAATAACAATTAACTGAAGTAGGGGATGGTATAACCCAAATGGGGCATTGATTTTTACCACCCACCCGAGGGCCACGTCGAACTAGAATCCCCGTTTTGGAAGAACTTACCTTGTAACGCTCGAAGCCCCTCAAATGAGCGTCTGACAAATAGCGCATGCAACCCATTTTGTAATTTGTATTTGTATTTTGTACTTTTTAAAGATTTTTTTTTATATTTTTTGCTGTTTCCCACTAGTTTGTTGGTGGAAAATGATAACGGAGAACAGAGGGAGATGGGGAGTTTGCACTTGGATCGGAAGTCAGATTAGCGCGTATCGGCTTGACCTTTGAATGGGTCAGATGGTTACTCCGGCATATTGTATAACATCTGCGGCGGATCTACACAGATATATATGTATATGGTATATGGATTTCGGATTCGTTCGCACGCGGCCCCCGCTCAAAAAGCGGAATGCGGGTAAATTAAATAATCGCTTTGTCCGCTCTCTATCGCACGCAACACGCGAACAACAGTTACTCTTGCACTCGCCGTTTAACTGGCAAGCTGGCAAAAGCTAAGTAGAAGAAGAAGAAGAACCGGACGGAGACGAGCACGCCGACGGATTGCCTGTCTGAAGGAGGAGAAATTATATTCCGGACGAGCCGGCGTCTGAATGAGAACTGTGGACTTATCAGGCCTGAAAGACCCAGCGTTTAATTCGCGACGTCGACTGCGACTTGGGTTCCACAAAAACAAATCGCTGTGCGCACAGTACCAGTGATGGCAATTCGGGGGTTTTTCGGACTGATCCGGGTTTCTTGAGTTTGTTCTTGGGGAATACCTTTCCAGGGACCACTATTCGAAAGTCTTAGTCTAAAGTTTATAGTTGCATATCTCTGTAGCCCGACAACTGTTGTTGATTTAAAGTTAAAGACAGTTTTGGAAATCAGTTTATCTTTCTATTAATTTGTATTTAAACTTTTTTGCCTAAAATGTTCATATACTAACTACGTTTAGTTAGCATCACTAGCACATACTATCTTATCTGACAGAGATTGTGTCCGTGCTTTGCATTGAATGAACGCGAATTGGAATTGTAAAACGCTCCCACTCCATGAGCAACAAAATTGCTGTCCGGCAGTGAGGTTATCAGTCTCAGGCTCCACAATTTCCACACAAGCTGGGCGACAATAATTTCAGGGAGATTTGTGGCCTGTTGTTTATTACAATTATAAACGTTAATGACCGACAGCAAACGGATCATCATGCTGTTTTATAGAACGCGTGTTTTATAGAGTACTAAATTTAGATCGAATCCGAGTTTTTAATTTTAGTTCAAGTTCGGGAGATAACCCTTCGCAGATCGGGTTGCCAGGCGCTATGGGGGCAAATCGAACGGAAATCGAATCTTAAAGATTAATCAGTACGAAATTGGAATCCAGTCGCTAGAATGAAGACATGTATATGTGATCTCAGAACATGAAACAATAATTTATATTCTTTCCATAAATATTAAAGCATTTACTCAATATTATTTGGCAATCATTTACAGTCAGTTCGTAATTAATTCACGTAAAGGAAACACAGTTCACAATTTGGACAACAACTTCAACTTGTTTACGCACTTCAAGTAGCTCTAGTCATAAAACTTATTTCAGTATTAAGATAACGTAATGACTCTCTTATCGAACAACGAAAAACCTGGGCGATAAATAAGACAAGGAAAATCACCCGACGCGGTGGGCAGTCCAAAAAAAAAAGGGAATGAAAACTTAAGCCTAGGATGTGCTTAGGTTCAGTTCAGACTACTTTTAATTCAACCATCTGGAGGTCTCCGTGGCAGTCAGACCCTCGGAGCGCAGACGTTGCAGCATGGGTCGATATATGTCTGGGGTGAAAGGCAGCAGGACCCCGCGTTCCTGGATCTCACCTGCAATGAAATTATTTAATAATATTTAAGAAGACTTTAAAGATTGATTAAACCGAACGCACCATCAAGGATCATCTTGGCTGCAATAGCCGCAGGTTTTCCCACCGTCATCGCCATGGCGGAATGACCCTGGGGCTGTCCATAAACCACAAAATTGATGCCACGCTCCTCCCGGCGACCATCGGGCCAACGGATGCCCACCTCATGGCGCAGCACAACCAGATCGCGCTCATCTCGTTCTAAAAAGTTATTGTAAGAATTAGCATAAGTCAAATTACCCTAAAATATGATATAAAACCCACCAAAGGCCAATTTCTTGGACAGATAATGGCTAAGCGTATCCAGCGGAGTATTCAGCTTCACCACCGGAGTATCATCCAGCAGACCCAAGCTCTCGATGCCATCCACATCGCCTATGCGCTCGGTAAGTTTCTGCTTGAGGTTCTCGTAGAAGATGCTTGAGTCGGACATGCCCATCAGGTGAATGACCAACTGCCGCCACGTGACATCCGGACCACTGGGATGCAGCAAAGCATGCGGCTCCGGATCAATTAGTCCCAATAGTTGCATGGGCTTAATGGACTCGGAAAAGCCCTTATAGCGGATGGTTCCACGAAGCAGAGTGTGTACATCCCTGCCCAAGCCGTAAAGGGAACCGTATTTTGTAGAGTCCCTATTGGGGAAACCCTCCAGGGCAAATCCTGGTAGGAAGTCCAGACTGCGCGGGCATGTCATAAGTTCACCACCTCCAGAAATCTCCACAATCTGACCCTGACTCAGATATTTGGCAGCGGAAAGAGTGTTGAGGAGTACTCCTCTCGGCGACCAAGAGAACTTGTATCTCAAGGAATTGTTGGAGTGCTCCGGAGCAGGCAGACCGCCACAATAACTTACGAAGGACTCAACGACAGCTCCTTTGTCCTGCACCTCGTGTATGCATTCCAGAGCCAAAAGGTGATCGATTCCCGGGTCCAAGCCCACCTCATTCATGATGGTCACTCCCTTAGCCTTGGCCTCATCGTGCAATCCAGAGATCTCGTCGTTCAGATAACTCGCGGTGACCATGTGGGTACCCTCCGCCACGCAATAACGTGCCACCATGCCGTGGAGACTGTAGGGAAGCAGGGAAACCACCACATCAGCCTTTCCACACAGCTCCTGAAGATGCCCCGTGCTCTCGTTCACGTCCAGGTAGACGCTGTCCACTCCGGCATATTGTTGAGCCAGACGATCGGCTTCCTCCTTGACCTGCGAGCAGACCGTGATGCTGACATCCTTCTCGCGGTGCAGCCACTCTACGAGGGGAGCAGACACCATGCCAGCTCCCAGAACCAAGACCTTCTTGTTCGACTCAAATCTTCCTTCCATCTTGTGGCGCGAGCGGTGGTTCTGCGATTCTCGGAGCTCCTGAATGTACTGGAAGCCCTCCGTCAGCTCACCATTGCTAGCGATAATAGCCTGGAAATGAAAAGGGAGAATCAGAATTAGCTAACTGATAACAGATGCAGATAAGGCATAATGCACTTGGGGTTTTATATTTAAAGTCAATAAAAATCAACCTTTTAGTACTGAGATTCTTGTTTATCTCAGGATTTTATTTTAAGCAACAAAAAGAAAGAACTTACCGACTGAATGGGGTAAGAGAACTGCTCCTCCGCCAGCGGCTTCTTGGCATCACTTTTGATAATGTCATGGACATGAGGCGTTAATAGCTCTCCAAATAAATCCGTCGACTCCCTTGGCAATTGAGTAGGCATATTGTCAATGGAGCAGACCAACACTCCAGGACCCTTGAAGCTCTTGGTATCCTTGTTTCTATCTGCATCATACAAACAAAAGGGAGTATCGATGGTGGTGCACTCGTTCATGAACTCAATGGAACCACCGGGATCAGCGGAAATGTCGCAAATCGCTAGCATGCGATGCGGCAAAGCGGGACTACCCTTGCTGGTTGGCAACCAGGGAGTATTGGCCGGACGGAGCAGGTTCTTGGCATCCGGAATACTGATTAACTTGGGACTGCCCACAGCCCAGTAGATGCCGTTCACAATAACTGATGCATATGGAGCTATCTTGGTGCTGAAGGTGGAGATATAACGTTCGGGGAACTCATCGTACTCCTTGGCATCAAATCCACCGCCTTCACGTCGCTCAAGATGATCTGATCGGCTAACCTCGCAGCCATACAGCTTGTTTTGATCTATCATACGTAAAATATTAATTGATAAATAAAAACAAAATCTTTTAAAAATATACTCACTTCCATGTTCGGCCACCTTGCGAAGCATCTCTGGGGGAACATACTCTATGGGCAGCTCGGAGAACACCTCTTGAGCTCCTTGGGAAACATTTCCAGAGCCAGTAAATACAAAGGTAAGTGGACCGATGGACTTGGGCATCATGCCAAGTGAGATCTCGTAGCCACAGTCACGGATTGCCTGGCGAGCCATCGAGGAATTGCGATAATTATGAGCGGGACCGATATGCATGAAAGGCGTATGATGACCCAGGGCCAAGAGACGCAATCCAATGCCATGGAGGATGTTCACCATGCCAGCGACTCCGGCATATTTGCCAAAAGCCACCTGTCGGGCTCCGCGTTCGTCGATAATTCGTTCGTAGTCGATTAACCTGATTTTCTAAGGAAATTTAAGGACTAAAATAACTTCATTTAATTGCAAACAACTTTTCCTAACCTTTTCCAAAATTGCGTCTAGTAAAGGCATATTGGATTCCTGCGCCTTGATCGTGTGCGAAAAGAAGCAGTAGGTTTTCCCAGGAATCAAAGCATCAATGGGCACTTGTTTCACTCCAAAAATCACGGAAGCATCACTGATGTCCTCCTGAATATGAGCTCCAGCCTGCATATACGCCTGTTCCCGGAAAAAACAACAAATCAACAATATGTTATAATGTAAAGAGTTCTATCTAGTACTATCTTATCAATTTTAAACTAAAATCTGTGGTTATCTTTTTATATCCATCAGGTTAGCAGGTGAGAATAGGTACGAATTAGTTTAATGTTATATATTATTTAGCTATTTGATATTAAAATATACTTTTAGTGTGGCGCAGAGCTTATATTAAGGGTAAAAGCCAATTATTTTTATCATGATCGTTGATTTGCCTAATCATTTTAGACATTTAATTGGTTTGATAAGTACCAGTTTCATTAATACATACTTCAATTAAATTAATCACTTCACCCCTTTACATTTTTTAATAATATAATAAACGTTGTTAGATGACGTTATTTATGGCATTTCTATTATGATTGTTATTATTATTACTTTTGTAGTTCTGGTTTTCTAATCCCATTTAATCTTTTTTCTCACGTGCCCCTTTTAAAACATTATCATCTCTACAAATCGGTAGAATATACTATATAGATTCATTGGAATCATTGCTCCAAACGATAAGCTTCGATTCCCAGTGTTTTTTCTTCTCCATGTTTGTTTTCTGCTCAATTTCAAGGCCAGCCAACTGCCAAATTTAGAGCTCCATATAGAGAGGCTTATCATCCAAGTTTATATTTATGATGCAGCACTTGGGGGGCGTGTGTACCACTATATAGTACATAAACACCTACTTGCTCCCTTGACTACCGATATGATTTCCAGTGGCGATTAGCCGCAGACTCAATAAATCCGTTGCCAACTGGGCATGGAAAATTACGGCTTATGGATGATGGGCGGAAGTTTGAAGTTCCATTTCTATGCTCACCTGCATGGGATATGCACGACGATTGCTGGGCTGCACGATGACCTTGACATTCTGCTTGACCAACTTCTGGACGTGGGTGGGTCCAAAGGGAGCTCGTCGCTCCCACACCGACTGATCCTCTCGACGAATGGCAATGACGCGACTCTGGAAGAGGATAACATTAAAATTAATGCATAAACATTACAAGATTTATAATTAAATTAATGATTAAAATCAATTCAAAGTCATACTAATTCTTTGAAATCTTGAGTGCTACTTTTTCCATTGAGGATGCAATTGGGAAGGTGATTCAACTCACATGACGTTGCCTGGTGAACGGATGCGCGATTGTTGCGCGCTGTTGAATCGCTCGCCACATATTTCGGCAGCTTTGTGGGATCAGTTCGAGCAGATCAAGTGCAAACTTAATTGTGATCGCAGTGTTTATATTCTTCCCTTGGTTGGTGTGCTGATCCGATCCGTTGGCTCCGAGCTCTGGCACTCTTCTAAAGGCATCGGAGGAGGCGAACAGCGAAGACAGCCTCTAATCAGCAGTTGGACCCCGTCGTAAATCCAGCGATAAGCCATGCTCTCCGTGCATCTCATCGCACAGCTAAAAAGGAAATTTGTGCGTTAGCGTAGCAGAAAGAGCGAGCTATGTCAGATTGTAACTTACCCTTAGGGAAGCCGGATCTCAGTTCGATTTTGGGCTGAAAACTTTCCACTCCGATAAGAGAGCTGGCCAAGAATTAAGAGAACCACCGCACTGGAAAAATTCCTCGTACGCTGTTTACACAATGCAATTCTTGTACACTTCTTTGATGAAAATTAAGATTTCCTCTGTCTGCTTTCAGCATTTTACAACAATTATTGTGGAATAACAAAATCTCACATTTGGTAAATATTATTTTTTAATTTTCAAATATATTTACATATCTATTCATTCAATTTAATAGAGAAAGACTAATTTAAACTAAGTTTTCAATTCATATTTATGAAGTTATGCATTTTATATGTCCAAATTTGATTAAAACGATATCAGAATCATACATTTATACTTTCTTACTCTAGTGTTTTTCTTGATTTATCTTCTTTAAGGATTTTTTAGAACATTCAAAGATTTTTTCTATTTTTTCTAACAAGAATTGCACTTTGTAAACACCATTTTACAATTAATTTTTTTGGTGTTAAAGCATAAGTTTTATTTTTAATTGCATCTTGGTTTCATAGGTTCGTCTCTGTCACCGATTTCAGTGCAGACTACAATCATTCTAATATTCACATCAAAAACAGTTGACTTTCTTAGTTATCTAAAATTCTACAAGCTATTGGTCCAGCGGCCACGAAATGCGACTCGGCTGACACACAGAAAATAAATATACATGATTATTAGAGCTAGTAAAACAAATTGTGTATTTTGCTACATTTTCAGGTATGCAAAATGAAACGGAAAACGAAATAACATTTTGATTACGGGAGGATTGAAAGTGGAAAGCCATAAAGCTGTAAAGCTGGTTTAGCGGATGACCCATTGGGCTCCACTGGATCCGACAGATCGATCGTCTACAGCGCCGGCGCCTCTGGCAGCAGCGAAGTAAAGAAGGTAATGACAAAGGTGCGCACAACGGAAATCACAGAGTTATTGGCATTTGGTGGTTCAACGGCAACGGTTTCAGCGGAAACGCCAGCCGGATCCGGATTAGCAACGGTAGCTTGAGCAACAGCAGGAGCAGCGGCACCAGGTGCATCGATTCCATCCTGTCCGGCAGCAGGTCTAGCTGCTGGCACTGCACCAGGCTCATTGGCCGCCTGGGGATCGTTGTTCTCACGTACCACCGCCGCATCCATCATTCGTTGAATTTGCTGCACAGCAGCAAAGGCAGCAGCATCGCCAGCATTATTGTTACGATTGATGTTGTTGTTATTGCGTTCCCGGCGACGACGTAGTACTCCAATGTGATACCTAAAAAACATAAATTTACGTTTAGTACAAATCTTTAAATATTTTAAGAAAAATAGTTCTTTCAGGTTTCTTAATAAGTTTACTTACAGATAAATAGCTCCGGCGATGAGGACCACCAGCAAGCAACGCAATGGCGAGGAGTTAAAGTACAAGACAGTCACAAAAATGGCCAACCGCGTAAAGCTAAAGAAGCTATCCAGCCAGTCGCGCATTTCCGGTTCCTCCTGGATATTGGGGAAATTTCTGTTCTGGGGTGCTGCTGCATTTATCTGAGGGGCAGGTGGCGCCGGTGCCGCAGGTGCTGCAGCTGTTCCTGCCGCTGGCTGTGCTTCCGCAAAATTTCTTGGAGCAAACAGCGGAATTTGGGGCATCAAGGGTTGTGACAGCGGCGGCAGAACAGATTCGGTTGAACCAGGTATGCTAGATCTGTATATATAAGAGAATAATTATTTGAATAATTTGTTTATTATAAAAATTCAAGTCTTATTCCATCCCTATTAAACTCATTCGATTGCCTTTAACCTCCTTCAACTTACCGTAAAGCCAATTGCTGCATATACTGCGCGTAGACCTGCTGCATCCAGGCGTTGTACATCAACGCCTGCTGCTGAAATATCAGTTGGGGATTTGCACTGGCATTGTTGGCTACTGCCGTCGCTGCTTGATTCTGTTGCCAGAAGTGAGCCCAAGGATTAGCCAAACCGATGTCCCCCGCCACAGGTGATGCAGTGGTTGACTGTTGCGTCTGTTGCTGTTGTGTGGGATGACGTTGTCGCAGTTCATTTGCATTGCCGTTGACCTCCTGCAGCGCTGGTACAGCATCCTTCGGCGGCCCAGTGATTGTCTTGGCTGGCGGCGTTATAACTTGTTTCGTGACGCACACCAAATGGAAAATATGGTGCTGCTGGTAGACATCCTTGTAGCTGCGAATCACTTCCGATAACTTTTGGGAGTCGTCTAATAGTTTGCCCGAGTAAATCAGTTTCTGATCTTGGATTTTCTATAGGGATTCAAAATATAAAGAGGCTCTTAGAACAGGAGGAAAAAATCTTAACCCTTAACAACCAAACATACAATTATTATTATAGTTTTTTAAAACGTAAAACATGTCCAACTCAGCAAAATATACAAAGGGGCAGAGACTGTTATTCTAAAGTTCCAAAAATTATCAATTCATTTTCACTGTCTAAGAGATAACATCGGATTGTTTTTCGTCGGCCAAAGCCTATGCAGATATAGCTTATGTAGAGACAGATTTCGAAGAGTAAACTGATTATATTTGGGTTACTCTACTTGAATAATGTGTTCTTCACTTGTAGATGATACAATATACGGTTTATGTGTAATGTATTAAAGAAAACACCTTCGAGTCTTATTGAATTACTGCATTAAGCGGGGGCTGTGTAAATATACCTGTAGCAATGACTCAAAAATGCGGTATTTTTAGTTAGTATAAGTAAGGAGTATGAACAAATGCAATGTAAACAATGACCTGTATACATGATCTGAAGACATATGTGGTTTCATACTTTAAAAATCTTATCGGGTCCTAACCGTGACCATTTTAATCCCAGTTTCAAGGCATCGATTTAATTTCGCATAGGCCAATTGCATGACGCAAGTGCATGACGAGGACTATAATTATAGAGAGGCAACCTACTGACGTGTACTTGCGACTAAGACGCAAATAGATTTTGATAGCTTCATATGTATGATGAGATAAACAATAACAAACTATGTGATAAGATAAGAGGGTGCTCCTAGCTAGGAGGATAATCAAGAAGTAGGGAACCCACCGGTTTGCCAGGATAGACCAAGGATAGCTGCATCTTCAGCCGCTGGACTGTCCAACAGAGATCGGAGTCCACATTGAGATCCTCATACTGTTGATTGGATGACTTAATGAGCAGCGTTACGCTGGTACCGCTGGAAGAGACGGTTTCCGGGGCCTTCTGACGGGCGGCAGCATCGCAGCCCGCAGCTGTGGCGGCAGCGGGGGAGGTGGCGGTCTCCTCCATCTCGTTGACCCCGCGAATCGAAGAACTTTCTATCGCTAATTAATGACCACGAAACAGAGATCGGTAATGGGCACACTGTTTTTCGCAGCCACTGTATCTCACTGCCACTTCCTACTCCGCTAGTTGGAATTTTTCAAGTGTAGTTTTATACCGTATTTGACATTAGATTTGTGTTTCAGTTTCTCTGTTGTTGTTTGGTTTTCCAGCTGTTTTGTGTGTATGATGTTCTGCTGCCAGCCGAGAATTATTGATTATGAAACGCAGTAAACGTTCCGCAGTTGATCAAAAACTCGTCTTCCATTTGATTCTGACCTGTGGTTAGAGATGAGCCATGGTCACGGGGTTGCTGCAAGTCGCGGGTATTTTTAAGTAACAGGTTAGGCCAACGGTTATAAATAAAGCTTTTCATGGAGAGTAAAGTCTACTGTTTAATTTATATAGTTGGAATATATTAAAGCTTTGCTTTTCATAACTGTTCAAACTGTTTTAGGCTTTATTATCGTTGAAATTAACTTCAAACTAGTGACTGAAAGTAGTGACACTTGCTCATCCCTAGCAGCAACACTTGTTAATGCCATACATTCAGCAACAGGGTTGCCTTGACTATCGGGGATGCCAACTTGTGCCAACATGACGTGTCGGTTGTGTATAACAATTCCGACGTTGAACTTTGAATGTGAGAACCGAATAACGTTGCAGTACAGAATTCTTTATATTCAACTTATGTTTTTACCTTTATGGATATTGTTGATATTCATTAGCATATAACAAAATGTCTAAAAAAAATGGGTTTTTAAAAGTGTTGTTTTCTTATATTCACGTTTTGGTTGGTAATTTATTTTGAAAGGCAAAATTACAAAACTACAATAAATACATTCCTCATTTTAGTCGTACTCCTGTTTAAACTCATTAGTGTGCTTTTGTAAGCATTAGTGCTCCTGAAACTTTGTTTGTTTCTTATGAGAAACTGCGACTTCTAATTTTGTGACTCGCACCGGTTCGTGAGTCACGTACCATCCCTATTGCAAAGTGCACAAACAGACGCACTACCGGAGTTTAATGAAATAGCTGCCTGGAAGACCTATATTTCCCTTAACCCATGGATAATAAATCTGCCGTGTCAGCTCTGCAGGAATTCTGTGCCAAGTCAAAGAATACTCCACCTGTATATAACTTTATCGACGGCGAGGAAGGAGGATACGTTTGTAAAGTAGAACTGATGGAGATCGAGGCCTATGGAAATGGTAGGCTTGAAGTATCAATATCTTTGAAGTACTTTAACTAATAAATGTTTATCGAATTATAGGGCGCTCCAAGCGTGATGCGAAACACTTGGCTGCTGTCAATATTCTGCGTAAGATCCGAAAGCTACCCGGCGCAAGCATTTTGTTGGAACAGAGCGAAACGGTGGCGGATGCATGTGAGGAGCTCACCAATATGAATCGAGACATGCTGAAGGAGCTGCGGGACTACTGCGTCCGCCACGAAATGCCTTTGCCCACCATAGAGATTGTACAGCAGAGTGGCACTCCGAGTGCCCCGGAATTCGTGGCCTGCTGCACTGTGGCCTCCATAGTTCGCTATGGAAAGTCGGACAAAAAGAAGGATGCCCGTCAGCGTGCGGCCATTGAAATGCTGGCCATAATATCCGTCGAAGAAAATACATTGCGTCCAGATAAAATGCAGGTGGTGAGTGTTAAGCCATCGGAAGATCTTACTGCAGACGAAATTTTCGAGGATTTGGAAGTGGAGCGCAGGAAGAAGTTTAACACCTACAGAGAGCTCACGGAAGCCGGAAGCGTGGATAACACGGGCCTGCGTCTCTGTGACCGCCATAACTACTTTAAGAACTTCTATCCTGCTCTGAAAGAATCTGCCTTTGAGGCTATTCGATCAGATGAGTATATAAGCTCCAAGGATAAGGCTTTGAGCGTGCTAAGTGCATTAAAGATTACTCCAACGATCACTATCTTGAAGTCTTCTTCGATGGAACCCCTTCTGTGTGTGGAACTAAATTGCGACTTCGATGTGGTCTTTGTAGCTCTGGAAACCGTGATCTTCGAAGATATAATCGAATACTTCAGCAATATGTTGATATAATACTTATAGTTCCCAATATATATGGCATATATAACATTTATTTTTTAACTACGTGGCTTACAAATAAGTAAACTGTCTTGTATTTACATTCTAAACAAGTTCAGATAATGCACATATTTGTTTGTAACTTACGATCTATTCGGGTAATACAATTTCCCACCAATATTGCGGGTGTAAAACATGAAAAAGTGATTTATTCAAGGTCTTCTGGTCTATGTTAATTCTGTACAACAATGATAAGGCAAAATAGATTCAAGCAAGTCGTCAAGGGGTTGAATGTGAAGTTAAAAAAAAACAATCTTCATAATGGCACTTACGCTAACTTTCCAAACGGGGGAATTCCCCGAAATTCAAAGGGATGAAACTTATTTGATTGTATTAGAAATTAGAGGTGAGCTGTTTCTCATTACCAATGCTAATCAAATTTGATGAATTAATATGATTTTTGTTAGCCTAAGTATTTATATTGTAAATAAAGTTTAGAATGTATTTTAAAACTGATTTTGTAACAATAATGTAAGTATTGCACGGTTTTCATAATTATATTTTTCACAAAATGTATGGTTTTTGTCTCCAATCTTACTGTTTACTCAAATAAAATTTGTTAAGAGTAAAAGTAATAAATTATAAAACATTTTGCCTGTAAAATAATTACAGTTCCTGGTTAAACGATGAACCGGTGTTCGTTGTCTTCAGTAGTATTATTATTCTTCCTAAACAAAAATTAAAAAAAAAGCATTTTAATAGCCGGAACAGATTATTAGATTGTCCCTCTTAACATAAAAATATTTTACAATTTTAATAAAATAAATTCTTATTAATACTTTAACATCTTCATTGTCTAATTATTCAAAAAGTTATTTACTTTTACGAATTTCAACTTATCTAGTTTTAAATTTGTACAATTTTTGTTTCTAAAAACAGAGCCTTGACTTCGACCTCCCTAAAAAACTTAAACAATTATTTTATTACACAATTAAAATCTGATTTTATACAACAATTTTCATAAACCTTAATAACAATTTGAAAAATTTTGCCTATAAAAATTGAAGAGTACAAATGAGATTGTTCTTACAAATAATTTGAATTTGATTAGAAAATCAATCACCAAATTTGATCGCATTAGGAAAGCATTTACCACTACTTCGTGAAATCAATTTACTAATCAAAATAATATCTACATAGCCAAAGGAAACAAGGACAACGGCTCAGTAGCTGATCTTCTTGCGCAGCTTGAGATTGGATTGCTGATGGTCGAGAGTCGACTGCTGATGTCGCTCTCGATCCCTCTCGCTGGACACCCGATTGACGCCACGGGCCAGATGCTGATGCCATTGGCTGGTGGAGGGCGGGGCCGTGGGCGTTGGTATCCCCGAATTCGATGCGGATGTCGATGCCGAGGATCCAGATTCCCCGAAAAGGCGACGCGAGAGCTTGAAGCTGCCGCTGTTGCTGCTGCTGCAACTGTTGTACTTGCAATTGTTGTTTATGTTGCTGTTGGTTGTGGTAGTGGCAGAGTGGGTGGCATTGATGTGTCCGCTGGTGGCTGGTACTGCTGCTGCTGTTGCTCCAGATGATGCTGCTGTGGCCGCTGCTGCTGCGGCGGCCGCTGTCTTTCTCAGCAGCTTGGTGTTGTACTCATCACTCTTGTCCTTGTCCAGTCGCGTGGAGCTTAGCGATCGCTTGTTCCGCTTGGCCGATCCGGCCGTCAGGCCGTGCTCGATGATCGCCTGCAGTTCGGCACTGCCACGCCCACTAAGCCGGCTTGTGTCTGCAGGATTGGAGGAGGGAGGAGGAGTGGGTGTTGGATTATTGTTGAGACTAGTTAACTTGGTTTTCGGCAGCGGATTGGAGTTGAGATCGAGCGTTGCGGATGCGGAGCGTGTGGCTATGTTAAAGGAGACAGAAGAGGACGACCCACCACCCAAGACCCCTACGGTGGGTATGGCCGATACGTCCCGATAGTACCGAGCCGTGGCCACCGTACAAGGTTGGGTTTGGGCCGCCACCGGAGCCGGTTCCCCGGCATTGGGACGCTGGTAACGTATTCTAGATCTCCCCCTGAGCGTCATATGGTGATGAGAGGTGCGGGCCGCACTGCCCCGAGTGGGTGGTATGGTGGCCGAGCTGCCGGCCCCACCACTGCCACTAGACACCACTGGTATCTTACTCTCATTTATGGTGGCATACGGACGGAGGAGTTGCTTCTCCACCGACAGCATTGGCTGTTCCTGCTGCTGCTGCTGCTGTTCCGCCTTTCGAAGGTGCTTTAGTTCCATTCTACAGAAGCAAGGAACAAGAAGCCAAGGGAGAAGAAAGAAAGAGAAAGAGGACGAGAGAAGAGAGAGAGATGGTGTATGGGGTTACGGGTACAGTGTGAGTCCCAAAACAGTCTTACTTGAAGAAGAATTGCGGGAAAACTTCGGAAACCGAAGATATTAATACCATTGCAGAGTTAAGTACTCAAAAAGAAAAGCTTTAGGGAACTTCATTTTACAAATAAATAATTAAATAAATGTTAATAAATTTCTTTGAATAACTTCCAATTAACAAAGTTATGAGCTCTGCAATGATATTCCAAAACATGAAAAATACTCCATAATCGTAGGAACTAACTAAAAAAAACAAATACAAACAATAAAAGCAACAAAAATATGGCCAAAACAAAGACAAAACAATTTCGCAAGCTTTCAGCGTAATTTGGATAATCTGTTGTTTATTATTATTCTTTTTTTTGCGCAACAATAAATAATAATATATTTTTTTAATTTTGGCATGCACATAAACAGAAATGCAAAATGCTAAGTACTTAATAAACTATGATTAGTGGCTAAAGTAGGGTTATTGTCCTTGAGTTAGTTTCATTTGGATTTGGATTAACTTGGTGCATATAACATCAAAGGTGGAGCACTAATTTTATTTATTAAAATTATTAAGTAATCTCGAACTTTTAATACTCGTAAAATCAATTGCTTGAAATCGAAAAACAAGGGATAATAAAAAATAGTTTATGTGAGTATTTACCATACTTTAATTCTTTATCAAAAGATTGTAAATTAACAAAATAATATAAAATATTTAAAATTCAAGTTAACAAATATTTAAAACAATCTCAATGTTAAACACTGTTTGCAAGTACAAAAAGTTCGAATGCAAAAATACTTTAAATCTATATAATATATATATATATATACAACTGATAAGGGCGTGGAGGGGTGTAAAAAAGAAGGGAGTAACTAAGTTGGAGGGCAACGAATGTGTAAATTAAGTACAAAAAATTGCTAAAAAGCAGAGCCGCATACGGAACGAAATCAAATCCAATACAAGAGTTCAACATAACGATAAACATTTTCGAGTTCAAAATTATTCGGGGATTTGGGGGGTGGTGGTTATTATCCTCATTTTACTTACCTTTTGCTATAGATCGCAAGGCTGCGGGTGCGACTGCTCCCCGAAGTGGCCAGAATATTGTTAGTGGTATTGTTGTTGTTGTTAAAGTTATTCAGGGAGTTGCTTAGATTACTGTTGTTGTTGTTGTTGTTGTTGATGTTATTGTTGTTATTGCTACTGCCGCTGCTATTGTTGTTGTTCAGATTGTTGGCCAAAAGTGCAGCAGCCGCCGCTGAGCTCGTTGGCAAACAGGAGGAAGTGGGCTGACCCGCCTTCAAGGCGGCAGCCATCGTTGAATTCCCAACCACCCCATTGCCATTATTCCGGAAGGGCTGGGATCTAGCCCTCGTATGCCTCATATTCGATTCCTGCTCGCTGTTGATAGAATTATAATTTTAAATTTAGATTCTAAAAGCTATCAAACTTAGCGACATAAAATTCTACTTTAAAATCAGATAACCCACCTGTTGCTATTCACGTTGACGGATCTCGAGTGGTGCCTCCTCAGCGCCTTGATCTGGTTTAACTTGTCGCCCTGCGTCTGAGCCTGCTTCTTCTCCAGTGCCGTTTGCGTCATCCTGACAGTGGAAGCAATGGTGTGACGAGCTGCCTCAAAGACATTAGCACTTGGTTTGCGTAATTTCTTCTCCGTGCAGCTGGCCACCTCAGGAGCAGGAGGCAATGCACTCCGATTGGCATTGGGATTAACCAGCCGCCTAAGGGTTGTGGCTATCACCGTCGGCTTGTTCGCAGCCGATGGAGATTTCCTCCGCCTTGTCGATATTGTATAACTGGAGGGCTGATCCGCTGGTGCACTAATCGTATCCGTATCGTTGTCATCGCTAACATTGCAATTGGGATCCTCAGCGGATTGATACAAGGCTCGTTCGTCCCGCTCTAAACGACGCTGCTCCATTAACTCTTCGTCCGTTTGATCAACGCATCCAGCATCCAAGTTGTCCTGGTCGTTCAAGTGCATCGTATCTACGCGTTGTGAAATGCCTTTTACGCGGGTTAGTAACAGATCCACATGCTCCGAGGAATCGGATGCTGCCGACGCCAGTTTGGTCTTCAGCTCCAGGCTGTTGATTCCGTACGTATGCTGCAGGAATAGGCAGCGAGGTGCGTCGGCGCATTCGTTCGCCCTCTGACCACAGCCAGCTTTGTTTGCTAAGGATAACAAGGCAAAGGTTGTTAGGTAAGGAAGAAGCCTCTATAATAAATACTTACTCTTCCATCCACTGCTGCTGATGTCCAATGACCGATCCTGGCCGGCAAAGCCTCAACCACGCAATGGACTCCAGGGCTGTGAACCCGTAGTGCTTCATTATATACGCTCCTATCAGGCTGCCAGTGCGTCCCAAGCCCGCTTTGCAATGAACTGCAATCGCTCCCTTCGTCGTCTCGCAGATTGACAGGAATTTCTTCATGATGGCATCGCTCGGCGTGCTGCCATCGATGAAAAACAGATCCTTGTGATCAAAGCCAGCGTTCTCAAAGGAAGATGCATGATAGACCTTTGCATTCAGCCGAATCACTGTCGTGACATTGTTATCCCGAAAGTAGCTAAAGTAGCGCTCGGGTGCATGGCATGGGTAACCATTCGGCAGTGTCTTGCTCTTCTGATGGGGTCCACAAAACGCTATAAACTTCTGAGGCACTATCCAATTGAAATCGCCGTTCTCCACGCGCTCGAAATACTCGTACTCCTCGGCATCGAAGTCGTTGAAATTAAAGAATCCCGCCTGCAATCCCTTGTGCACAGCATTTAAGCAATCCAGCAGTGAAATCTTAAAACTGCTGGGTCCATAACTAGCGTCACAAAAGCGTGTGTAGGCGGGAATCTCGCCGGCGACCAGCGGCCGATACGCCTCCTGAGGCGTCTTATTTAGGTAGATTATCTGTAAAAGTAAAACCAATTAATTTGAGTCTTTTTTCGGTAAGTTTGTAGACAATAGAAAAAGGTAATCATGTACAACGAAACTAGTTCTTATTAAGAGATAGATCTAACACAATCAAATAGCAATACAAACTGGAAAATTTTTCAGTAACCATGAAAGATTATCAATAACTGATTAACAACTTCAAAAGTCCACTGTAAATCAATGAAAAGTTGAAACTCAGAGCACTTACTGCATACGAACCAATCAGGTAGGCTGCATTGAGTCGCTTGGCCGGATTCATGGAGGTGTAGTGGACTATCTTTTTGTTGGCATGGCACTTGGCATTCAGCTTTGTGTTCAGTTTCATGCAATATCTGTACAGCATGCAGATGTTCAAGGGCCCAAAGTCGTTGTAGAAGTTCTCGTATATGAACTCCTCGTCGATGCTGAAGTAGTGGGTATTAATCGTGTTCTTTGGCTTGATATTCTTTTTGAAGGCCACAAAGTACAAACGGTCTGCAAACAGAATAGAATAGAATAATCCATATCACTCAATGTCGGACTGTTAAAAGTTCATTGAGCCTCCTACCTTCCTGCATCTCCGATGCACAGACCAGCAGATCTGAGTTGTCATCGTCCAACATGATGACAGTCTATCTCTGGGCACGGGAAGCACGAAGACAACGACGACTTTTTGGCGACTGCAAACACACATTAAGAAATATACAATTTATTATGGCTGTGATATCTTTGGACAGCGGTAAAACTCTCGTCAAGCGTCTTAAATCACTTCTGTCTAGCCCACACAAATTGGGTTTAATGCTTCCGCATGCTATTTCTTATTAACAAATTTAATTTGTACTGTTAGTTATTGGCAATACCTATTAATCTGTGATGTTGAAGGTATCCCCATTATTAACAATCTATGGATTTTACCTACTTATTTAGACTATAGAACGGGTATCTCTAGAGCATTTTCCCTTCACCGATTAAAGCTTAAATAACATTTTTGATCATATAATAAGCTACAAATCCAGGGCATTTCAAAGTCCAAGCCCCTTCACGACGATATCGTTTCATTTTAATGATTATTTCTCTCCGTTTGCTAGCAACAAATGCGCCCACACCGAGTTGCACACAAAACCTGCCTTTGCCTTAATTGGATGCCAGTAAATGATGTTTTCCGCAAAGGGTGTTCCACATACAAACAAGTACATATATCGTATTTTATACGTATATATACGTATCTATTGAGTGGAAACATGTGTTCTGTTTGTCACTTTTACCAACTTTATGACTATCTAAGCCATACATTTCTTTTTTCTTCTCACCCCCCGACATAAGTACAATTCCCTGCCTTATTTGCTCCACTTTTCCAGCCATAGCCCAAATGTAGGTGATGGCTTCCATATCAATATGCATATAGCCATCAGTCAGGCATTCATTCTATCAAGTCGTCAGTTGGGCTGCCATCAGCAGTCCAATAAACAATGGAAAAGGAAAAGCCTCAGCCGAGAAGGAAACTCGAATGGGGAACACTCTAACGGAGAGTCGTGGTTAAAATCTAAGAAAGTCACGTCCCTGTGGAAATTTATGGAGAACAAAAGGGTGTACCAGGGCATAATTTCAATTTAGTTTCTGCACTGAAAGTTTGTTTGAGAACATTTTACTTTAGTTTAAGATATTTTTTCCAGAATCTAAAATATTTACATCATATTTCGTATCTTACAAGAACTGCTCTTTAATCAATATCCTAACCTAATCCCTTAATCCCTTCACAAATTTTCCATTCCATAAGCGTTTTCCTCATTTTCCCACATAACATAAATTGTATTTTATTGGCCTGGGACCCTAAGAGAGTTTATGATGTTGACCCATCATCAAAAGTGTTACTCACACCCGTCCTCACACTAGCACCTACAGCCCATATATGTAAGCTTGGGAACACATGTAAATATTCGATTTTATGCAAATTCTTAACCTTTTCCATGTACGTACAACTAAGCAACGGTTGGCGTGCCTTTGCAGAATTTCGGACTTGAGCCTGGGACCATAGTTAGTACCTTTAATCCCCCTTAACCCTGTAGCCCCCTTTAGCTGTGCTTTATGCATTTCCTCTTCCTGACTTTAAAGTTGAAAAGTCAAGACGCCAGGCGCTTTTTATGGCACATTTGCATGTCGGCTAAAGAGTTTCGCCCAGGCCAGATCCAAACTTAGATTCCTATCGGGGCGCCAAAGGAATACGAGGTGTATAGAGTGTAAGGTGTAAGGGTATATCGCATGACATTGGGCGGGCCTCGTTAAAACGGAAACGAAAATAGCTGAGGATATCAGCGATATAGGGCAAGTCGGGCCATCAAATAAGGTGAAGGAGAACGGATTAGTATTCTACGTTCTTGGTTCTCTGGGTGTAATTTCGTTCGTGTAAACTATTATCGAAAAATGTGTATCTCAAAATGACTACAAGAAATAGAATGAGCAAATTAGCTCGTTGTTTCTATAAGACAATTAGAACAGTACCCTGTTACGAATTGATTAATTTTTATTATTTACTCTATGAGATAATATTTAACAAAATTCAATGTTACAATTTCTAATGTGAACGTTCGCTTAACAAAACATAAGCCTATATTTGTTTGTTTTGTTAACTTCAAATAAACAATGTCCAGATTCCTATTAATTAATAAATACCATGCCTATATAAAACATTAAAGACTTTTTAAAACTATCACATTTTCATACATTCTTAATTGTTTAGTATATATCCTTATATTTTTTAGTTAATTACTTGCAATAAGAACCTTTTCTTTACTCAATACGATCAGTCGTGTTATTGGGTTATTACTGTGCCTTGTATAGTGGCGTCCTCTAGTGTTGATCACATTCAAATTATTTGTGTACGTATGCATATTAAAGTATAACTGTGAACTGATTATGACTTTCTGTCCCCATCATCATTTTTCCTTATCCCTCTCACAAACTACACTCTCTCTCTGTCTCTCTTTTGAATCGAAGATCATTGCTAAATATAGCGGGAATATGCAACTTACTATCTTCATCCCCCTTTCCAATTTATGACTTTTGAAGTTGAAAGAAATTCCAGCCACTACAACTACAACTCCCACGTGACGACAACAAAAATATTTTAAACATAGTAATGAATAAATACACTCGCATTCTCATATCTATAACCACACGTACAAGGCTACATATATACGGGCTTATCTGCTTCCGAACTGTACATACATACATACATATGTATGAATGAATGTACATACATAAAAAAGTAAACATAAAATGCGATAGAAAGCAACCTTCCCCTCCCTCTTCCAGTTGGAAATTAAAACCTAGAGATCTGGGCTAGGCTCTCGCTGGTCATTAACAACAATGGACAAACAAGTTTTTTAAATGACGTCACCAAGAATGACAACAAAAGGCGGTTTAAAAATAAAATAGCAACGTCAATAGTATTGTTTCTTGTTAGCCGAGTTAGTTAGTTGGAATTGGAGGCGCGGTGTTAAGAGATTTTGCCGCGCTCGCATACCACAACAAAAACAGAACACAAACACAAGCACTCCACATGGAGATTACAACGGCAACAGCATTCACCTGAACCTCCTCCCCCGCCAACATTATCAAGCGCATGCGCTGACTCTCTTAAAAGCTGCTCGCTCTCGCTCCCTCTCTAGCTCATTTATACGTGTGCTTTGGCGGCTTTTGTATGTGCATCCCACTCTAGCGCTCTCTGGTATTTCTGTCAATGTGTTGGGTATAAATAAAGCAACCAACGCATTCTGCTACTAAAAAAAAAAATAACACTGAGATGTACTGTATACTGCGTAATCAAGTTTTTGGGTAAAAATTTCTGGACTATTTTTGGTGGCACTACACTACACTACACAAAAAGGGAAAGGGAAGAGAGAGCTTGAGAGCCGTTACAATTACACAGTTTTCTTGGTACGTGGCTAAGGAAAGTGTTCAATGGGTGGAGAATGAATATAAGAAAAGAGGAAGACTCACCTAAAATGTGGTTTCACACTGCTGTCGTTGTTGTTATTATTATTGCTGTTGGGATCTGTTGTGTATGGATATTCACGAATGGGATAGGAGGGAAGACGACGAATTGGGGGAAGCAGCAACAGCAGCACAAGCTAATAACACCCACACCACACTCTGCATAACACTGTAAAATTTTGACAAACTTTACTGCTTTCTCTTTTTTTTTTTGTAGTGTTATTTTAAAAATTTGTTCAACTGATATTTCACATCGAATTTTGTATGTCTGTTTAATTTAACAACATTCTCAACGCGAGCTTTTGGACTTTTCTTCGATTAAAATATCGTAATCAAAAAAGAAAACCGCACTAGCGCCCAAGGGAAAGCTTTCAACAAAGATATTCTAAAAAAAGATCATAATTGCACTAATTTTTCACACCAAATCATTTTCCCGGCGATTTATGTATTTTCGGATTATTCGAGTGGGGATGGGGAGCCCAGCGACCTAAGCAGTTGAAGATTCCGAGCGTTATGAGCTAGAGTGGAGGAGCATGGTGAAATCGATGTTTTTACACTGGTTGAAGACATCGATGTTCGCTCGATATTTTTCGCCAAATGAGAGGACTTGCGATTTTAATTCAAATACATCATTTGGTTAATCACTATATTTTTGGAATATTATATATGATAGCGTAGACAAAAACGTTGAAGACTTGCAAAGAATTGTTTTTCTTTCAGGGCTGACAAAATACCCAAAAATATCGATAAATTGTTCAAGTTTTTTTTTTAATTCCATCCGTTACTTTTTTTTATACATAATCAGTCACAATTTAAACAAATCCATTTAAAAGACCTAACAACGGTTTAGATAAGCCAAACATATTTTCAATACTCTCTACTGTTGAGCTTGTTATATTAGTAAATATAAATTATGGAACAGGATGGAATTCTTGATGATATTCAGAATTTATCTTGTCCATGCTTTAATTCTATTTACCTTATGGTTTATTATAAAAAAAAGAAGGTTACAAAATAAAAAAGGTATTATTTCCCACAAATGTCTCTTAATATGAAAAGTGTTTTTGAATTTGGCGGAAAACTGGATTTTTTAGGGAAAAATCAGGACTGGTCGAGATTATTTGGGTGGAAAAGCCTTTTCGCCATGTGGCAACACTGGCGCACAACATCGCGCTCATAACGCTCCTGTGGATCTCTCGCGATCGTCGTTTTTCGGAGTTGGTACCGGATCGAATCGAGATCGGGTCCCCAACTCTTGGAATTTTCTTTCCGATTGTCTTGGAAAAGACATCTTCTACACTACGTGCGCGTGTGTGAGTGTGTTAGTGCTGTGTGAAGTGGAGTTTATAAAAAGAAGTTGAAAAGTGTTTGCTGCATCAACAAAAATAAAAACACCCAAGACGACCTGTGTGTTTTTGTTTTGTCTGTATAACAGAAAATTCATTTTTTTTGGACAACTTCACCTGCAGTCATCGCCCAAGGAATAGATATAGATAGAATATCACGATCTTGTAGCTGAAAAGAAATATCCGGTAAGTTAAAGAATCTTAAGATACTGATTTACAGTTAGTTTTTTGATCCACGCGGAGTTTTTACGCACTTTTCAACAGCTGCAGTCCCCCTGTCTCGCTTGCTCCTTGTCTATCTCAGTCTCTCTCTTAAGGTTTATCTTGTGGCCTGTTTTTGTTGTTAGTTCACTTGCGTACTTCTATTTCTCCTCCTTCGCATCCGCTGTCGTTGTTTTTGTTGGTGTTTTCTTTTCGTTTTTATCGTCTCTCTGTTTATGTGCACAAAACTCGAGATAACTCCCAAAAAGTCGGCACAACATGGGTTTTTATGATCCCTAAAATTATTCAGTATTATTATAAACCTACTAACAAATTTATTTTTATATTTAACAAAGTTTTAATGCAGTAATATACTAGGCAATAGCTGACTCTACTTTTAAAGTACTATTTGTTTTTAAATAATGTTTCTTTTAATAATTATTATAATACTTAATAATGCAGCTGTTTCTATTTTGAAAAGTCGTTAGAGCTTATTAGATTTTTACTTTTATAATAGTAGGAGTAGTATATAGTTTTTGTTGGCCTGATTTCCACGATACATAATATTTGTATAATCTTTAGAAATCACTATGATGAACATACACCTAAATATTTAATATTTTTGTATAACCCATAATGAAACCTATCGTAGAAATCTATCTTCTTATCTCTCCAAAAGTAGCTTCAAGTAACAGAAGGCAAAGAAAAACTAGAAATGCCTCTAGCATTTTTGTAGATTAAGCATACAAGACCGAACATATAGAAACATGATGCCATAAGACAGACGACGGTAACGGCGATGGCAGTCCATGTGAATGACTGCATGTGGACTCAAAAAGTGCATTGCCAAGCTAATTTTCTTTATTTCAACGACAATAAACTGGCTAATTAAAATGTGAGCCGGGCCTGTCGCCTTGGAGCAGATGTGCAGTCGACGGTTTCATTTATCTCGATTGGATTGCGGGTTGTGGGCGGAAAGGATTTAGTTGGTTTTGTGCTAATTATAGCCGCACTACCAAAGGCTGATCTCATATTTAGATGTTAGACTTCCATAACATGTGTTCTCCAGACTGAGAATTTAAATTCGGGGCTGGGGTTGACGTTGGAATGGTGCATATGTCTACAGGGTAAACATACAGTGGTCAGTCGATAAAAGGGTTGTAGTTTGAAAATATTTTAGTTCGTTTTAGTCATAGAATAGAATCTTTTTTGGCTTTCACCTAAATATTAGAATTTCTGACACTGAAATTTTGTATATTTAAAGTTAATAAGATGTCCAGTGATCACTGTATGCAATCGATTCCGTAGTTGTGTGGTCAAGTAAGCTGCGCGCCTTGATGAAATTGGAAATATAAACATCATCTCCCGGCGAAACTAAGAAAACATGAGCCATGGCAATTGTATGAGCAAATTTTTATGAACTGGCCATATAGACATACAAATATATGTATGTTTGTGCGGACGGATACCAAATGTATATTCACAGACCCCTACACTCAGATACAAAAACCAACGAAGTCGAGAATCGTGGAGCGCTCCACTGCTCCATTATTTACCCGAAACATACATACTCATATCCATAGAGTGTACATACATATGTACATACTTTGTATGCCTGGTAAATCTACGTTTTGTTCTTTTACTTATTTGTTTATTTGCCAGTTTCCTCGGCAGCAAAGCGAACGAAAACGAAATTAACCAACGAACAAATAGCAAACAAAAAAATTTAAGCACACTCAAAGTAATTAAGTCTGGAGTGGAGTCGCCTTCTCTCAATATACAGAGTTAGAGTTCCCTCAGAAACTGTGTCTGTGAATGAACTCTTATCGGGCCAGTTGAAATTATGAAATATATATTTTTAGATCACCGAAGAACTCTATGTTTTGGGTCTAGAAAATGTTTTAGATTGGGCGGCGGCGGCGCGGGTCTTGAGTTGCTGGCTTATCTCCACGGCTCGTAGCACAGTTTTCGATTTTCGATTCGGGTGTCCGACTTTCCCCTTGCCCCTCCGGGATCTTTTGATAAGAGCCTAAAGGTCATCGTAACTTTGGCTTGAGAAAGAAAAGTTTGGAATTTGAAAAAATCAATTTGAAAAGTAAACGAAATAGTTTATGCTCTTGATAAAAAATGTTGCTTTATTTATTTTGCTATAATAACTTTTCGTTTGTTCTGAAAGTTACTTATGTTAAACCTTCCTAAAGCGTCTCTTTATTGGTAAAATTTAGTATTCATCCCTCTGTATAATTATTTATTAATATTAAAGATTTGATTGATTTAAAGATTTTAAAGATTTAAGTGAATAAAATTCTTTCTACAACCTCTGTTTTTTTTTTTAACAAATTTACCAACAACGAATTACTCAGAAATCCGAATTCTTGAATAGGATTTTGTGTGAGACTCTCTGGGAGCAACATATTATATGTATTTTTTGTATACTGATAAATCCACAATAAATCCAACGCACCAGGCAACAACGGATTAAGCCTTACCATTATCGCACTATATAATGAGAGTATGCCGACTGATAATAAGATCCATTCAATTTCAGTTCGAGATTCAGTCAGCTTCTCAGTTGGTGCGTAAGATTCGTTGGGCGCGGATGCGGTTTTTTAATGGTACGAGACAAGACGAAAATAAATCAGTTTTTTGCTTTTGCTGTGTAGAAAATTAGAGCATCTTTCGGTTGATAAGCAGTTCACATTGAGGGCAAAAACGAGGAGTTTGTTTAGTGACTAAAAATTAAGATCATACCAAATGTGATTTGTGAATTAAATGAAATATTTTATTTCTTACAGCTACCAAAAAAGCAGAATGAATGAATAAAAGTTTTGAAATAAAAAAGAGGAAGTGAAGCAGTGGGAAAGAGTAAGTGTTAAAGTTATGTTTTTAATTTATAATTTATAAAGAAAGTTGGTGAAATTTGTAAAAGTTCCATATGATTTTAGTCTTTTTTCTTCTTTTTAAATATTAAACAAAATACAATCCCAACTTTGCCCAACTTTTCGCTTGGATTAATAATTTTAAGAGAGATAAAATAATTATTGTTTTAATTTTAAAATACATTTTTGTAGTTTTTTCTAACGAGGATCACGTGGCCAACTTTAAGAGATCCCTACAAAAACGAACGAAAAGAAAAGCAACTGATTAAAGTCCCGGCCGGAAGTGCCCCAGTGGAACGCGACCCCAACAACAGAGAGCCAGATCGCGATGTTGGAACTGAGGCTTATCGTGGTCATTGTGCTCGGCCTGCTCAGCAGCCAGTGGAGCCCAGTGGATTCCCAGAGACCGCCCCAGCATGGTCGACGGGAACGTCCAAAGTATACGCCAAGTAAATTTGTTAAGACTCATCCTTGCGAGAGATCCTCCTGTTACCCGGCAACGGGTAATCTTCTGATCGGCAGAGAAAACCGACTAACAGCCAGTTCGACTTGCGGTCTGCATTCGCCGGAGAGATTCTGCATCCTGTCCCATCTGCAGGACAAGAAGTGTTTCCTTTGTGACACGCGCGAGGAGACCAAGCACGATCCCTACAAAAATCATCGCATCGGGCAGATCATATACAAAACCAAGCCTGGTACCAATATACCCACTTGGTGGCAATCGGAGAATGGCAAGGAGAATGCTACCATACAGTTAGATCTGGAGGCGGAATTCCACTTCACCCATTTGATCATAACCTTTACCACTTTCCGACCCGCGGCCATGTATATCGAAAGATCATTTGATTTCGGAGAGACGTGGCATGTCTATAGGTATTTCGCCTACGACTGCAAGGAATCCTTCCCAGGAGTACCAACTGTCTTTGAAAACATCACCGATGTCATGTGTACTTCGAGGTACTCCAATGTGGAGCCTTCTAGAAATGGTGAGGTCATCTTTAGGGTATTGCCACCTAACATCAATGTTACGGACCCCTATGCGGACCACGTGCAGAATCAACTTAAGATGACCAATCTCCGAATTCAGATGACCAAACTGCACAAGCTGGGAGACAATCTTTTGGATAGCAGGTTGGAGAACGAGGAGAAGTACTACTATGGTATCTCCAACATGGTTGTTCGAGGATCCTGCTCTTGCTATGGTCACGCCTCCCAGTGTCTTCCATTGGATCCCGCGTTTTCTCAGGCGGATAATGAAGATGGCATGGTTCATGGCCGATGCGAGTGCACCCACAACACCAAGGGAATGAACTGTGAACAGTGCGAGGACTTCTTCAATGATCTGCCCTGGAAGCCGGCCTTTGGAAAGCAAACGAATGCCTGTAAGAAATGCGAGTGTAATGGTCACGCCGTAAGCTGTCGCTTCGATGAAGCCGTGTTCATCGCATCTGGATTAGTTTCCGGCGGAGTGTGCGACCATTGTCTGCACAATACCCAGGGACAGCACTGTGAGGAGTGCATGCCTTTCTTCTACCGCGATCCGGAGCAGGATATAAGATCCGAAAATGTTTGCCAGCCGTGTGACTGCGATCCCCAAGGTTCGTTGGACGATGGTATCTGTGATTCGGTAAGCAATCCGGAGAGTGGGGCCGTAGCAGGCGCCTGTCATTGCAAACCCTTCGCCACGGGACGTCGTTGCAATAAGTGCAAGGATGGCTACTGGAACCTACAGCAGGATAATCCCGAAGGCTGCGAGGCCTGTACTTGCAATATCCTGGGTACTCTGAACAATTCCGGATGCGTTATGCGGACGGGAGAGTGCAAGTGCAAGAAGTATGTCACGGGCAAGGACTGTAATCAATGTATGCCGGAGACCTATGGCCTCTCGGAATCGCCAGAGGGATGCTCTTTCTGTAACTGCGATATTGGAGGATCCTACGATAATTTCTGCGATGTAATTAGTGGCCAGTGCCGCTGCAGGCCTCACATGACAGGAAGATCTTGCTCCCAGCCGAAACAGAATTATTTTATTCCTTTGCTGCCGGAAGTCCATGAAGCGGAGGTGGTTGATGAATGCATTTCCTATGGAGCTAATGGTAACTGCAGCTTGGTAGCTCCAACTTCGGATGGTACATTTACAGGCATTGGTTTCACCAGGGTTCCTGAGAATTCGGAATTGGTCTTCACAGTCGGAGACATTCCACGTTCCATGCCCTACGATGTGGTTATTCGTTATCAGAGCACATCTAGAGGAGATTGGGAAGATGCTTTCATTACTCTGGTGAGGCCCGATCAAGTGGACCCCGAGGGAGGATGCGGAGAAGTAGCTGCTGCCACCTCATCGGAAACCAGGATACCATTTTCTCTTCCCGATCGCAGTCGTCAGGTGGTGGCGCTGAATGAGGTTTGCCTGGAGGCTGGAAAGGTTTATAAGTTCCGAATCTATTTTGAGCGAAGGCGTCACGATTCAGACAGTCCCACGGCGACGATTCTAGTGGACTCCCTAACACTCATTCCTCGCATCGATGTAACCCCCATCTTCCAAGGCTCCGTACTGGCCGATCTTCGTAGGAAGGATTATGAAAAATACAACTGCAACTACTCCTTGTACGATATGAACTATAAGTCCGATCCGAAATGTCAGAACCTGGACAACATTCTGAGTGTCTTTGTCCACGACGGAGCCAGCATGTGTAACTGCAATCCCACGGGATCGCTGAGTAAGGTGTGCGAGTCCAACGGAGGATACTGTCAATGTAAGCCCAATGTGGTAGGCAGGCAGTGCGATCAGTGTGCCCCGGGCACCTATGGCTTCGGTCCGGAAGGTTGCATGGCCTGTGATTGTAACAGCATCGGTTCCAAGGACAACAATTGCGACTTGATCACCGGCCAGTGCCAGTGCGTGCCGAATACCTACGGCAGGGAGTGTAATCAGTGCCAGCCAGGATACTGGAACTTCCCTGAGTGCAAAGTTTGCCAGTGCAATGGTCATGCGGCGCAGTGTGATCCCATCCATGGAACCTGTCTGGATTGCCAGGTGAAAGACTAAATTATTTTTATTTTATAAAATACATAATATTTGTTTCCAAACCACTAGGACTCGACCACTGGTTTTAGCTGCGACAGTTGCTTGGATGGTTACTACGGAAACCCTCTTTTCGGAAGTGAGATCGGATGTCGGCCATGCCGCTGTCCGGAGACAGTGGCCAGTGGAATGGCCCATGCGGATGGCTGCTCCCTGGACACACGGAACAACAACATGCTGTGCCACTGCCAGGAAGGATATTCCGGCTCCCGCTGCGAGATCTGTGCGGATAACTTCTTCGGCGTGCCAGATAACGGTGGAACCTGCAACAAGTGCGAGTGTAGTAACAACGTGGATCTCTATGACACTGGAAACTGCGATCGTCAGACAGGAGCTTGTCTGAAGTGTTTGTATCAGACTACCGGAGATCACTGCGAGCTCTGCAAGGATGGATTCTTCGGGGACGCACTGCAGCAGAATTGCCAGCAATGTGACTGCGATTTCCTCGGAACGAACAACACCATAGCTCATTGCGATCGTCACACGGGACAGTGTCCATGCTTGCCGAATGTCCAGGGCTTGCGATGCGATCAGTGCGCCCTGAACCACTGGAAGATTGCCTCTGGCGAGGGATGTGAAGCCTGCAACTGCGATCCCATTGGAGCTCTCCATGAACAGTGTAATTCCTATACTGGACAATGTCAATGCAAGCCAGGATTTGGTGGCAGGGCCTGTAATCAGTGTCAGGCTCATTACTGGGGCAATCCCAACGAGAAGTGCCAGCCCTGCGAGTGCGACGAATATGGAGCTGCTGACTTCCAGTGCGATCGGGAGACGGGCAATTGTGTTTGCCATGAAGGAATTGGTGGCTACAAGTGTAACGAGTGCGCCAGAGGTTACATTGGTCAATTCCCACATTGCTCACCTTGTGGTGAATGCTTCAACAACTGGGATTTGATCTTGAGTGCCCTGGAGGATTCGACGACAGCCACTATCCTGCGAGCCAAGGAAATCAAGCAAGTCGGAGCCACAGGAGCCTACACGTCCGAGTTCAGTGAACTGGATAAGAAACTGCAACACATCAGGAATCTACTGCAGAATACCTCTGTTAGTCTCGTGGACATCGAGAAACTGGATGCGGAAACCAATACCCTCAAGCAACAACTCCAGGCATCCCATGGCAGACTAAGCGAAACCGAAAGGAATCTTGATGGTATATACAACTCTCTGAGTTTGTCGGGCGTTGAGTTAGAACGTCTGCAAAATCACTCCAAGTTGGTGCAACAACTGTCTAAGGAACTGAAGGAGAACGGCATACAACTCCAGGAGTCAAACATCGAGGGAGCTTTGAACCTCACGCGACATGCTTATGAAAGGGTTAGCAACTTATCGACCCTCAAGGACGAAGCCAACGAACTAGCCTCGAATACAGATAGGAATTGCAAGAGAGTAGAAACCCTGTCCAACAAGATTCAAGCTGAGGAGGAGGACTTGGCCAACAATAACCAATTGATTGCCAACTATAGGACAGAATTGACTTCCCTAACCTCTCAAATTCCCGAACTGAATAATCAGGTTTGCGGCAAGCCAGGCGATCCCTGTGATGGTTTGTGTGGTGGAGCTGGTTGCGGCGTTTGTGGCGGATTTTTGTCCTGCGAACATGGTGCCAAAACCCACTCGGAAGAAGCTCTTAAAGTAGCCAAGGATGCCGAGGCGGCCATTACCAACAAAAAGGATCTGGCAGATCAAACTATACGGGCTCTAACCCAGGCCAAGTTGAATGCCTCTGAGGCCTATGAGAAGGCCAAGAGGGGCTTCGAGCAATCCGAGCGTTATCTGAATCAAACCAATGACAGTATCAAGAAGGCTGAAGAATTATTCACAGCTCTCAACAACTTCCAGGAGAACAAAGACAGCTTCCTCCATCGGAGAGCAAAGAATTGGCACAGAAGACATTGGACTTGGATCTAAAACTGGAACCTGCAGAGATTGAGTCCCTGGGAGACCAGATCAATAAGGCTGTCTCTTCCCTGAAGAACGTAGAAGCTATCATCTACAGAACCAAACCCGATTTAGATCGGGTCAATAATCTGCAAAGCATTGCCAATGCCACCAAGGAGAAAGCCGATAAGATCCTGGAGTCTGCTAATTCTGTTGTGGAAAGTCTGGCGGCTGCTGATGAGTCCCAAGGAAAAGCCAAGGATGCTATACAGCAGGCTAACAGCAACATTGAACTGGCCGGCCAGGATCTCGAGAAGATTGACGAAGAAACGTATTCAGCTGAGGCTCCAGCCAACAATACAGCCCAGCAGGTTGAGAAATTGGCCAAGAAAGTGCAGAAACTTCAGAATAATATCGTGAAGAACGATCGGGATGCCAAGGAGATCACCAAGGAGGCGGGTCGCGTTAAACTGGAGGCCATGAGGGCTCGGGGCGAGGCTAACAATTTGCAATCGGCCACTAGTGCCACCAATCAGACCCTTTCTGACCGAGCTAGTCGCTCGGAAAATGCCAGGGAAAGGGCCAAGCAACTGCTACAGAGGGCCTCAAAGCTAACCGTGGACACCAATGCCAAACTGAAGGATCTGAACGATCTGCAGACCGTCTACCTGAACAAGAACCAGCAGCTGCTCAGGCTGCAGGACGAGATTGCACCCTTAAACGCGGAGCTCCACGAGCACCTGATACACATCAAGGAGCGGGGATCGCACTACAGGCAGTGCTATACGTAGACCGGGAGAAGTAAGTATTCGAAGTGCATATAAAAGCGTGCCTTCTTGGTTTAGTGTTTGGATTTTTTTAATATTTCCATTTATTTCTAGATTCGTTTACGCGGCCATTTTAATTGCCATATTCATGAACAAATAAGCAAACTGCGAATTATAAGAAGCAAGTAAACACCTACAGCAATAACAACAGCAAGAACTGGAAAGAAAGCAGTTATTCTGTAATCACTGTTAAGATACCGTTACGTTTTGTACTCTAAGCGAAAACCAACACTGCAATGTTAATTTTAAAAATTGAGCGAAAGAAATCGATGCCTTCACTTTTATTGTGTACACACTGAGCTAAGTTTTTCTTATACTATCCCTATACCATTTTGTAATGCAATTAATGTAATTAAATAAAACTACTTAAATGTGGAAAAATCTTGCATTTGTTTTTGTCTCTATAGAGAGAGAGGATTGAGATGGATGTTTTAATAGAGAGCGACAGGTGAGAGTATTTTGGTAGTACAGTTGATCTTCCTTAAGATAGTTTGTTTACTACACTTTGATAAAAATTCCAACTTATACAGAATTAAATACGAATTGCTGTTTGTATTATTTGAGAATTTTTATTAAAAATAAATTTGTTCAATACATAATGTTTTCATTACCTAATACATTATTTTAAAATAATTATTTTAAATTATGTTTTATTTATATTCTAAGTAATCTACTTTAAGGATGGTTTACTGTCTGTGTATAGCCTTTTCTGCGTATTTGTACTTATGCTGCCACAAACATTGCCATTTTATTTAATTTTCCGTTTTGTTTTAGTTCTTCTGCGCGTCGCGTGCGGTTTGTTTTTGTTATTAATTTTCGGCCAATTAATTTTTCATAACTTTTTGGTGGCCAAGGGCTGCAATTATTATCAAACCGGAAGTTGGTGTCAATGGACCGCCGTTACAGAAGATCGTTAAGAAGTTCAGCAGGTATTTACGATATTCAAAATATTAACAATGTTGTTGGTACAGTTGCAGAGAAGCCCACTTCAAAGCAAAAGGTCAAGGTAATGCGAAAAAGTGTAGAAAATGCTTAGCAACCAAAAAATTTTTATTTTTCCTGCTATTTTTGTTTTTATATTGTTTCTTAAATATTCAAGCTTTTCATATAAAGAGTACCCATACCGACTATCGATAATGGTTCTCGTCATAGCCGCATATCGATATTTAGCAGCCGAAACGTATGTCATCAATTTTAGCTGAAATCTCAACAAGTGCATGTTTCGGGTTCTGTTTTAATTAAAACCAGCTGTGTCGCTAGTTAAATCGGCATTGTTTGAATTCGGTATACAAGTTGCAGTGCGTGAAAATATATACTTAAATAATTTTTATTTATTTATTGCGACATCCGCACGGCCGCTCACACACACACGCACACAATCGCGGTTGACAGATGTGCGACGTGCATACGTATATAGAGCACACAAACTCACACAGGCACGCAGTGCGGATGTTCTGATTTTATGCAAGAAACTGAGTTTATTTTTAAAATAAGAAGAATATCCGAAAGTATAATGCTCAGAAAAGGCGACAGGCAAGCGACGAAAGAGGGTGTGTAAGCGCATGAAAAAAGGGACACGGCTACAAGGAAAGGGAACGCAAAACGAAAACAACGGGAACATTGGCGGCGGTGGAAAATTCGTAAAATAATAAAACAAAAACACAAAACGAAAAATAAAACGACATCTGACGTGCAGTGCAGACGTCAAGTGCTTTTCCCCCAGAGTACGTTTTCCCCCAAATGGACTGGGATTTTTATTTTGCCAGCAATCTGCAATTTGCAATCTTCCATCTTCCATCGAATTTAGGCCGAATCGGAAATGCAAAAAATAAAAAAAATTTGATGCAATAAAAATACCTTTTAATGTTTATGTTCCATTTAAAACTTAGATAAATGTTTAAATATACTTATAAATCAGTACGTTATTAAATTCTAGAGATGACTAAAAGTAATTAACAATTTTAAAGTGATAAAATTAAATTCTATTCAACCATAATAAAAACGGGTATAACCTGATAATGGTAAGCCTTGGGAACAAAAACGTTTCTAAATAAACATCATTGTTCATTTTTATAAATAAACATAAATGACATAACGTAAACATAAATATTAACAAAAAAAAGGCACAAAAGTATTAAATTAAGTCTTCAATTTTAATGGAAATTGCAAACTTGAGATCTTCTTATTTTTTATTTAAAACTAACAAAAATCAAATTCAGAAAATTATCATACTTTCTTTTGTCAATTTCCCTGAATCCTAAAATGGAAGATGTAAATTAACTCATTAAATATAATAATGAACTTCCTTAAATTTCAATAACATCCATATTCTAAAGTATTTAATCCTTTTCGAGTTCAAAAACACTTTTGAAATAAACTTAAAACAGAGGTCTTTGAGACCATAAAATTGAAACAACGAGAAATGCGAATTTATATTATTTCCGATTCCGGCAGAAAATTTGATAGAATTTAAACGGAAAAGTCTTGCATACAGAATGCCCAACCCCTTTGTTGTTTTCTGTATTTTAATTTCATTTTTTATTTGCATATACATATACATCGACATCCACCCACACTTATGTATGGCTGACAGTCTCGCATGCGTTTAACTTGAAAATCCCTGGCAGAGCAGCAGAAATCGAACGCCAACCGAATATAACGACACCCCGGCATTTCCCATGGACGACGAACTGGAAGATAAGGTGTTTTATCAGACATACGTTTCGCACATGAAAATCCTGTCCAAGTTTGCGGTGGGCTTCTCGTCCATCAACTCACCCTTGGCGTACATATGGAAGCTTTGCCGTCTGTATGTCCTGCGCCCGGAGGTCATCTTCTGCGGCTTGATCCTCTTCGTCCTGTTGCTCTATTTGCAAGCGGTAGATGTGTGGAGTCGCAGCATCCTGGGTCGTATTCAGGCAACACTCGGTCGCCAGAAGGCTGTCAAAATGATGGAGATGTCGGCTAGTGCTGGAGATCACCAGAGCTGGGAGGAGATGAAGCAGCAGAGCTCAGCCTTCGCGGTCTTGGGACGGAGGCCACGGATGGAAGATAGGTTGGTATTGAGTCCTGGTTTATTACCATAAGTAAAGATTTATAGTTTAACCTTGGGAAAACATCATCACTGTTTTACTGACCTTACACCAATTCAACTTTATACTTTTTCTTTGATAAAGTAAATCTTGTAAAACAAGGTCAAACTATATTTAAATTTTGAGATCGTCTCATATTAATGCAACAGTTTATAGCCAAATTAATCATTTTCATATGCCAATTTTTGTTAGGGCCAAAACTGCTTGGGCTTAAAATATAAATGACCCATTAAAACGGGCTATTAATATGACTTTGTGACATCTTTTTGTTTAAATTTATAAATAAACTTCTGTTGACAAACGTATAATGTTCAAATACTTTACGTATTGTAAATCTTTAGTTATTTATGCCAGTAAATATTCTTAAATTACCATTAATCTTACTAACTTGTAATTCATTTTACAGATTCATCATAGAGGAGAACATCAACAACAACACTGGCATCTCCTTCTTTGCCGTCTTTGACGGTCATGGCGGCGAGTTTGCCGCCGATTTTGCCAAGGATGTGCTGGTCAAGAATATCTACAACAAGATCATTGAGATGTCTAAGTTGCTAAAGACCGAAGGACTCTCCAGTGATTACGATAAGAGTCCATATTTGTCTCGCAAGCAGAGTCGCAAGGATTCAAACAAGGAAAATACGGAACCCACGTCAGCAGTGACCCGAAAGGATAGTTTACGCAAGGCTCTCAGCACCACGGCGGATTGCAGTGCCATCAAACAGAAGACAACTGAGGCCTCGATTGCCGACATTTACACAGCCCAATTGAACTCGGCAATGAGGGCCAGTGGAAATGTGGGAGCCGCCAAGGACTCCTTCCTTAACAACAATAACAATGCACAGAATGGAGCTGGCAATGCGCCACCTCCCAACTACGAAGCCAAGTGCTACATCGAAAACGGACGTATTAATTTTGGAAAACTGATCACGGACGAGATCATGTCGGCCGACTACAAGCTTGTGGAGCAGGCCAAAAGAGCAGTAAGTGGTTCTGTCCGGTTTCTCAGTCTCTGTCATTAATTTATTACTTTGCCTTTCAGACGAACATTGCGGGCACCACCGCCTTGATAGCCATTGTCCAAGGCTCCAAGCTGATTGTGGCCAATGTGGGGGATTCCCGTGGCGTCATGTACGATTCTCGAGGCATCGCCATACCCCTTTCCTTCGATCACAAGCCGCAGCAAGTGCGGGAACGAAAGAGGATCCACGATGCAGGCGGTTTTATCGCCTTCCGTGGCGTTTGGCGCGTGGCTGGCGTGTTGGCCACGTCACGTGCTCTAGGCGATTATCCGCTAAAAGATAAGGTACGAAATGGGATGATCCCAATCATTTGCTAGCAAGGCTAATCTTGATTTTATTTTCAACCAAACGCTTTCAGAATCTGGTGATTGCTACGCCAGACATTTTGACCTTTGAACTGAACGATCACAAGTAAGTGCAATCATTATCAGACTCATGACTTAGTTTTTACAACCTAACTATTTTAATTGATACCTGAAATTAATATTTGGCTTTCCCTTAGGCCCCACTTTCTGATATTGGCCTCCGATGGCCTCTGGGACACGTTCAGCAACGAGGAGGCCTGCACTTTTGTGCAGGAGCATCTGAAGGAGTCAGACTTTGGAGCCAAATCCTTGGCCATGGAGTCGTATAAACGCGGATCGGTGGACAACATCACCGTATTGGTGATCGTGTTCAAGAACGATGTCTACAGAATTGGCAGCTCAGCGGGAAAAGTGAAAGACGAATCACTGAAAGTCCCAGCCAAATCTCAATCAGTTGCATCGGCAGCCGTGCAACGCTCTAATTCAATCAAAACCAAATAAGATACGAAACATTAGAGTGCCTGCTAAGAAATGCTCTTAAGCTTTCCCTTTGAATTTCCCTTCTCCCAAAAAAGAAAAACAAACAAAAGTGCCCAAAAAATTTCTAGTTAGGCGTTATGCTAAATACTTTTGTCTTTTCGTTACTTATTCATTCATCAATCAGACACTCACACAGATGTACATCGCATGGAATTGCGTTTCTCATTTATCATGATATTAGTTAAGATTGTTTGTTATCCCAAGTTGTTTTGTACAAAAAGAAAGAAAAATATTTTTCCATCCGTCGCCACACATTGCCGTGCACTTTGTTTTTTCAACTCGCACACGAAAGTCATCACAGTCAAAAGAAGACATCATCGAACGAAATTATTTATTTAATTTATTTGTTATACTTGTAAAATGAAAACATTTTCTAATTTGTCGAAATGTTTTTATAAATAAAACAATGCATACGGAATTCGACGATTTCGTTTTGCTACTTAAATCCTTCAATTTGCATTTTGAATTTGAATTAATTTGGGAGGATATTAAGGAAGATTGTAGTTTTGACTTACTTCTTTCAAATAAGTGTATATTTCTGATATCATTAATGTCCTGGAAAAAGAATGATAGCAACTTTGGCTTCATAAGCTAACCAAACTCACTTATTCGACAAAAATAGGTGTCGAGTTGCAGAATCCTAGAAATCTATATTTTTACATCACTTTCCATAACTACATCCTCCAGAAAATCCATTTAAAAAGATCCAATCATAAGACTTAAATGTTTTCTTTATTAGCATTTACAACCTCATCCTATACATAAATGTTCCCTCTTACTAATCCCCAGCTTCTCGAAAGCATCTCAAATACGGCAGATCCAGATACACACTTCAGTTTTCAGTTAAAGACGCTTAAATTTTATTTTTGTTTTAATTAAACAAATCATTTAGCGCCCAGTACAAAAGTCAGTAGCTTAATGAGCCGAAACAGACACCTGCCAGACGCGGATGGTGTTGTCGGAGTAACCGGCGAACAGAGTCTGGCCGTCGGTGGACCAGGCCAGGGACAGGCACTGGGGCTGGTCGGCCTTCGACGTGGGCGAGACGACCTCAGGGCGCAGCTCCTCAACGGTCTTCTTGCAGGCCAGATCCCAGATCTTGATCGAGGGTCCGTAGGCCACGCACAGCCAGTAGCGGTTGGGCGAGAAGCACAGGGCATTGATGATGTCGTTGTGCTCCAGAGTGTACAGGTTCTTGCCGTCATTGAGGTCCCACAGCAGGGCCTTGGAGTCCTTGCCACCGGAGGTGCACAGGGAGCCGTCAGGAGAGACGGTCACGGTGTTCAGGTAGCCGTTGTGGCCGTGATGGTTGTTCTTCAGCTTGCAGTTAGCCAAGTTCCAGACCTTGACGGTACGATCCCAGCCGCAGGACACGATGATGGGGTTGGAGTGGTTGGGCGAGAAACGCACGCAGGACACCCAGTCGGTGTGTCCGTCCTCCTGGATGGTGAACTTGCACTCGGCCAGGGTGTTCCACAGCTTGATGGTCTTGTCCCGAGAACCGGACACGATCTGACGGTTATCGGCCGAGAAGGCAACCGACAAAACGTCCTGAAAAACGAAGAAAAATTTCCGATTATTTCAAGGTAATGGTAAGATTTCATTAAAGGTATTATTTATTTTCACTGACTGGCTGGATTAATTATGTTTGTTCTGCAGCTATTGTCAAAAGCGTAAAACATATGCTAAACAATTTAACGAAAATGCTGAAGAAAAGACTTGTATTCTAAAACAATTTCGAAAGTGTTATTTTTTTGGACCTTAAGATTATAATTTTACCTAATGTATGCTCTTAAAGATTTAAAAACATAAAAAGAGAAGAAAATGGAAGAATTATATGAATACTGTTCAACTTTAAACTATAGCTGCATATTTTCAAATGTTAATTATTATTTTTGAATCAAATTTAAAGTTATATAAACTTGTTTACAAGTGCAAAATAAATGTTATATTCTTTTAACCCAACCAGTAAGGGAACCAATCCATAATATCATATATATATAACTATACGGTATCATTGGGTGTATCAGTGTTTGTTTGCCTACTTACGAGAGAGCTTCAAGCAACTTTAAGCCGAGACTCGGGCGAAGGGAGAAGCGTACGTACAGATGTCAACCAGTAATTCTGCCTCGCATAGGCGCAATATATATATACTTTTTCGATTTGTAAGCGGCAAAGGCGAGTCTAACCTCACTCCTAACCTTACTTTAAGCCGTTTGCCGGTACAGATCGGAATATGTTAAAAAATCTCAAGTCCCTGAGCGAACTAAATTCAATTGGAAACTTATCCCACCTTGGTGTGTCCCTCGAAGCGACGGGTGGTCTTGCCGGCGGCCAAATCCCACAGGCGGAGGGTCTGATCCCAGGATCCGGACAGAGCGTAGTTTCCATCAGAGGACAGAACCACGTCGCTGATGAAGTGGGAGTGTCCGTAGAGACGCTTCTGGGGGTAACCGTAGTTGGTGTCCTCATCGCGGGTCAACTTCCACACGATCAGGGTCTTGTCTACAAACCAAATTGATTTCCATTAATAAATATCCGTGATGCACGTGGTATCCGTATGTTTTCGGAAGTCTTAAATGAATAGAAATACTTACCACGGGAGGCCGAGATGATGGTATCGGGATCCTTGGGGTTGGTGGCGATCTGGGTTACCCATCCATTGTGACCAATGAGGGTACCGCGCAATTGCAGGGTCTCGGACATCTTGAATTAATATTAATTTGCAACGGAGCGCAGATGAAACACGTCCAAAGGCGCTGCAAGCTGGCAGAAAAAGAGGCAGTTCCGGTTCCAGTGCTCCTTAAGATTTCAACTGTCAGAACGCAAGTAGTATTGGGCAGGTCGGAACTATCGATAACTTGTGCGTTTACACTGACACATTTGGTAAAGCAAATTCTTCTAATGACTCCTGTCGTCCTTTAACAGAGGTAAATAGCAGAATATATATGTACATATATGAAAAGATATGTTAAAACAATTAACCATTTATATTAACTGTATATTATATCTTTAAACTTTTTCCATATATTTCATCAACCGAATTTGAAAAATACCTTTGCATATCAGAATGTGAATGTGGGAATGAGAGAAGGAGAAGAAACTTCTTTGGATCATTTGTATCTCACTTTTTTCTGATATGTTTACTAAATGCTATCAATTGCATTGTTATGTGTGTCTATGATATAATAAATATACAGATTATACATACATATACAATCCTGTCTCTCTTAAACCTGTCACAATTCCGTCAACACCAAATAAAGCCCATTTGGAATAACAGCCAAATATTTATTTGGTATTATATTTGATATATATAATATTCTTTTGAAAATTAAAAATTGTTACATTTTGATTGTCGTCTAAAACATTATTCGGTATTTTTCTAGAAGTGTCCAATACGCGTCTCTAATCGATACATACACGGGGCGTCGCGCTTCTATGTTTTCGCGGCAATCGACAAACGGTCACACCGAGGGCAGTCTTTCCCTTCGTATATCGTGTCGTCGTCGCTTTTGTGAACAAAAAATACGAGGAAAATCGCCCGAATCGACACAATTCGAGTGGGCACAAGAGTTTGTGTGAAGATAAACGAGTGAATACGCGGCTGGCGATCAAAAGCAACTATAGTTGTCAATTTTCCTGCACCCCCGAGTTACAATAAAAGCCGTCAAAATTGAATCGACAAAGATTGACGAGACTTTTTCTTCCACCACAACTGCGATGGAGGATAAAGCAACAACAAAAGATCTTGATCAATGGATTGAGCAGTTAAATGAATGCAATCAGTTGACAGAGACACAAGTTCGCACCCTCTGCGACAAGGTAAGGCCCGGTCCTTGCCCATTTTCCCCATGCGAATTAGGAGATGTTATAAAAATAATTTTCGTCATTGCATGCGAGCGAGCAATTTTTTTTGCAAATGGTGCTCCTCCACTGCGTGCCTCTGTCCCTCTCGCTCTTTCCAATGGGGTAAGGCGCGGAGCGGAGAGCGCGAGAGCATGATTCATGATGTACCCTCTTGCTCGCACAGTAGCGGCGGCTTGCGTCGCCATATTGGAATATTGGTAAATTCCAACGGCCAAGCGACGCATTGCTGCGCACAAGTGCGAGCGGGACGACCATTATCAAGTGCGTGAAGTGTGAATGGGACAGCTAGAACAACGCTTTGGTCTAATGGGCTAAACCTGGGCAAAAAGAGATATTTCTTTCTGTATTATTGTACAAATACGATTGTTTAACTATAGTGAATTGTGCGTGTTTGTTGTTGTCGTTGCATCCGCTGGAAATTTGCAGTTACCCTGTCGGCGTCCGTCCCCCGGGTACCATCGTTTTCTGCTGAGTAAATATTACTTAATGTTTTTGTGTGTCGGTGTGCGCTCCCCTAGAATATGTATCTATGTACCGTCGTATCTAGAATAATGCACTTGCATTGGTGTTCGTGGTCCGTTTTTTATTCCCAACCATATTCAATTAAACACTTTTGATATCAATTGTTTTTAATTTGCTGATTTTACCGTTCATCAGGCGCGGCGCGCACACAAACAAACAAACAAACGGAAAGAGTGCGAGAGGGAGAGAATGAGTGAGAAGTGGAGAGGGGCGAACAGATAACGATTCATTGATTTGGGAGTAAGTGGGGTTATGTTTGCGTCACCCAAATATTTGCCAGTGTTCCCATTAGAATCTCGAATCTCCGGCCCAGAAGAACGTTCTCCGCTCTTCTCGGGCGCGTCTTCTGTGTCTCCATCCTGTTGGCTTGGGAAGAAAAGCGGAGAGAGAGAAGAGACAGCAGGGAGAGAGAGAGACAGAGAGGAGCAGCAGCTGCATCAGTGTTTGTACTTGTTTTTGTATGGGTGTGCTGGCCTCGTCATGAGTTTATATTATTTATTTTCTTTTTTTTTTTTTCCTGATTTCTGGCCAAGCGGAAGCAACAGCCTCCAAGGTAATGTGCATATGGCAAAAAATCTAATTGGCTCACGCATAGATCGCTCATTTGCTCCGCCGGATTCACCGGATTTTACCCCCGGAACTTGTTGTCATGTCCCATTTTTCATCAGCTGATAAATATGAGAAACGCCAAAAGAACACGACAGAATGGTTAAATTTAATGTGCAATTTCTGTTTCTTCAACATAGCACATTTGTTGATTTGTAAGAACCGGTTTTTTGCAACATGGATGACTAGTTAGAAATTATTCTGGGATATACATAATTTTTCATTTTATGTTCTTTTGTATTAGTTCAGTGTTTCACTGTTCATAAATTTAATGAAAATAAAATAAGATTTTTGTTTACAAAACTTATGTGTTTTAAGAATATACAATTAAATTGTATGACTCATTTTTAAGAACGATTCCAGATTTGTTAGATTCTTTCACGTTATCTTTCAACATGTTAAGTCACATTTCATCAGCTAATAATAATATGAAGCCTAAGGCAATATAATTATTTTTAAGAGTGGTTAATTTGCTCATTTACAGTGTGAAACTGTAATTTTTACATTATACTATACTAACTAAAAGTTCTGAAAAAACTGAACTCTTCTATATTTCAATTGCAAGCCTAAAATTGGTCTTATCTCGTCTTTTCGAAGAGTTTTAGCTGTCTTTGTTTTGGTTTTCACATGCCATTTATTAGCACCTTAAAATATTGGTTCATATAATAAGTTAGTTCAATAAGAGCGATTAGGTTCTGCGACCTGCGGCTGAGTCTTGCCAACTGGCCTTGCCCTTTGACAAGGCCTTATCTATCTTCCGTACAAGTTGCCATTTATTTTGGGAATCACTTTCGGTTTCTTCAATACTTTCTGTTTCTCAGATATTCTGTCGTGTCATGCACCATTCACCGAATTATGTGAAATGGAAAGATACAAAATTGGCCGTTTGAAGATATCAAACGATTAGTTCTTAAACGATGACGAACTTAAGAAGCAACTTTTTTTTATATTTTATAAAGTTCTTATTATTCTAGTTGGATATCAATTCTAAAAATGTCTGGTCGATAAAGCATTGTTTTCTTTGAAATGTTTATGCGCAGAGTTTTATAGGGTTTTGTGGAAAGCTATTTTTGGAATCGGCTAAGAGTTTGAGATTATTTTGCTTTAACATTATATCGCTGAATGTTTAAAGAGAAAAAGTTTTATTTTTCCGATCTCTCTGTAAAGCATTCGAATAGACTTAGGCACTGCACTTAGCCTATATCTATGTTTTATCTTCTCTGCTAGTTACAAGCTATTTTTAGAATCAACTTGGAGTGTTGGCGTTGAGTCATTTAGTATAGTGAATAATGTACAATGTTCTAATCGTTTGCATTATCTCCTTTGACCCTGGTACAGATTTAATCTAAAACACTTTCGTATAGATTTACTAGAAACTTATCTTTGGGAAAATATATTTTAATCTGGCATAGATAATAATATTCCTAATGGGAGATGTATTTGTTTTCGAACCATCAATGAACGGTTATTGCAGTTTATTGTTATTCCTTATCAGTAAGTTCGGATACAGAAAGTAAACTCTACGGTTTGATCATGGGAAATATCCAGAATTACGAGGCGGATGATTTTAATAAGAGTGATTTATTAACTTCTACAGCTGTATGCAGCAGCCTGTGAATCATTTTAGGAAAACATTTTCCCTTAACAACATCCAATAAATAAATGACTGATTGTTTTCTCTTCTTTTACAGGCCAAGGAGATCCTCTCCAAGGAGTCGAACGTGCAGGAGGTGAAATGCCCGGTGACAGTGTGCGGAGATGTACACGGTCAGTTCCACGACCTGATGGAGCTGTTCCGGATAGGCGGAAAGTCCCCGGACACCAACTACCTGTTCATGGGTGACTACGTGGACCGTGGATATTACTCTGTGGAGACCGTGACCCTACTGGTGGCCCTCAAGGTTCGCTACCGGGAGCGCATCACCATCCTGCGCGGTAATCACGAGTCGCGCCAGATCACACAGGTGTATGGCTTCTACGACGAGTGCCTACGCAAGTACGGCAATGCCAACGTTTGGAAGTACTTCACGGATCTGTTCGACTACTTGCCGCTGACAGCGCTTGTCGACGGGCAGATCTTCTGCCTGCACGGCGGTCTCAGTCCCTCGATCGACAGCCTGGACCACATCCGGGCCCTCGACCGCTTGCAGGAGGTTCCGCACGAAGGTCCCATGTGCGATCTGCTCTGGTCCGATCCCGATGACAGGGGTGGCTGGGGAATCTCGCCTCGTGGTGCCGGTTACACCTTTGGACAGGTGAGTAATGTCTATTGACAGAGATGTTTTCAATTGACTGGCTAAATGTTTTGCAAAAATATAAATTACGTAATGGAGAGAGAAGCTTTTAAGTCAAGATCATAAAAAAGTTTATGGAGTAACAAATAATACAAATTATACAAAGTTAAAAACTTGTTAATTCTACAATGTTAGAAACCCAACCTGTTTTAAGTACTGATAACGACCCTTAAATGTAATCTAAAACCAAAGGGTGTATCAATTATTTTTCTGTGTTTATTAGTTTGTTGCGTAATTGGCAATGCTGTTAGCTCAAGCGGTATAACCATTTAAACTTTTACTGATTTTCCATTTAATATAAATAAATTCAGAAGTTTGGTTTATCATATTTATGTCCTTTTCAAAATTCAACTCTAAACTGAAGATACTTTTTTCTTTGTTTTGATATTTATTTGCCAATTTTATCAAAAGCAATCACTACTCTCAGCTTTCTGCAGATAAAATCAATAATCAGTAATTGTTAATCGGAATTTACTGCTAAATTAAGCCCACTGATAGCACAATCTAAGGAAATAAAGCCCTTGACTTTGATATGGAGTAATCAGTCAACAAGAAAATTTAATTAACAAAGTAAAATTCAACATATATATACTCTATTTATGATAAAACACAAGAAAGAATCATTTTTAACATGTTTAAGCCGTCACAAAGAAAAAATCTTCTGATAAGTTTTATTTTAAACTTTGACTAACTTTTTGTACTGCTTTTAGGACATTTCGGAAACCTTTAACAACACAAACGGCCTGACACTCGTCTCGCGTGCCCATCAACTGGTAATGGAGGGCTACAACTGGTGTCACGATCGCAACGTGGTCACAATATTCTCAGCGCCAAACTATTGCTACCGTTGTGGCAACCAAGCGGCCCTCATGGAACTGGATGATTCACTTAAATTTTCATTGTAAGTGGAGTTTTTGTTTTTTTATGGGCGGTTAGCCTTACCCCAAAATGACGCATCTGTGATTAATAATTTGCTTAAATTTTTAGCCTACAATTTGATCCAGCACCAAGGCGCGGGGAGCCTCATGTTACACGAAGAACACCCGATTATTTCCTTTAAGCTGGATTGCTAGCACCTACGCAGCTTACATTTACACATATTACATCGCATTATAACAACAAGAACCGAAACAATATATAATATATACAAATCCAACCAGCAGCAACAAAATAAACAAAATGGCAAGTGCTGTCGAAAAAAAAAAGAATTACCATAAAAAAGAAAACAACCCGAAACTAAAACCTCGATGCATTTGTTTTGTGGAGATCGTTTTTAAAAGAATGAAGTGGAAAATATTGTATAAACAAAGAAAAAATTAACCATAACAGTCGATAAACACAAAATGCATTGAACAGTTATTGTTGTTGCCCACAGTTTAAAAGAAAGCAGATAAAAGAAACCGGAAACGTCGCCAGCGGGGGCGGCAGACAGAACAGTTATATCAAAGATAAAGGGGAGAAGAAGGATGAGGAGTTACAGGAGCAGGAGCAGGAGCAGTATACAGAAACGATGATACAATCCAATCAAACCTACCAACCAACCGACAGACAACCGCAAGCAACAAGAAGAACTACAACTACTTAGCTAAATTTGTTAATTTATAAAAATAACGAACTAAGCGTCGCAGCAGAAAGCCAGGGAGCAGGAATGATGATGGATGGATGGACTCATGGATTATGACGTGATGTGTGTATGGGTGGAAGGGGCTGACGAAGGACTAAACGGGACGTTAGGACGAACGCCAGGACGAGCAGCATATGAGCAGCAGCAGTAGACGACCCACGACCGACATAGCAGGAAGATTACGATGAAGCAAGCAGGAGTAGCAGCAGAAGCAGCAAGAGCAGCAAGTAGCAACAGTATGTGGCATGAGCAGCAGGAGGAGAGGAGAAGCCAAGGCGATTGGGGAAGCGCGGGGCGGGCCAGCGATTCATACAAAAACAAAAATTATAAAAAGAAAATAAGGAAATACAAAAAGTTTAATATTACTGATTAAAATTAAATAAAAAAAAGCGAATAAAATTATTAAAAAACAAACAAAAAAAAGCTAAGAAAACGATTAAAAAAAATTCATTATCAATTAAGTTCATATGTAACTTTAATAATAATAAAAGAAAAACAAACAAACAAACAATCCCAACTGCAGACGAAGAGAAGGATATAAGAGAGTGGAGAGACGTCTCAAGGGAAAGCTGATACGTTTCAAGGCAAGGGAAAAAGTCCTTTAAGAGAGTCGAAAGGGACTTTTTGAGCTGGCAATGCCGTTGCCTTTTAGCCTGCGGCCTCCGTTGGTAGTATGTATGCGAGCATGGCCAAGATAACACGAAGCCAGAACGACAAGCGGAAGTCGAGCCTCAAACGGGCCACCTAATTGAGACCACAAAGAGGCGTGATGGGGGGCGGAGGTGATATATATGGTTTGAGGGCAGGGGGCAGATTGGCAGGCGGAGGTCGTGTTGCCACCCAATGATGCCCAAGTCAAAATATAAATCAGTGCCGGGCAGCTTTTGATTCCCAGCGAAAGCGAAAGCAGAAATCTTGCCAACTTTGTATAATTTTTTGCATATTTTAGCATCCCACATGAACTGGCAAAAGTCGTCTACAGTGGTCGCTCGAAAATGGGATTACTTTGTGTTTTCATTTTTATAGATTGGTAGTTTGTAATGTTTATGATTTTAGTTAATTAATCATTAACTCTTGTTAAGACTTTCCTAAAAAGGTACTAGTTTTTAATCTCTCGAAAGTGTATTTTACTAAGAAAGATTATATATTCTTTTTTTTTGGTTTATTATTGAATGAAAAACCCCTTTGGTTTTATATTTTTAATATTTGCTGAATAATATTGCAATATATTTAAACATGGGGTAAACAACGATAAATTTGAAGGTTCAGTGAATCAGGATTTAAAAACTCTTAAGGTTTTCGGATTTGTATAATTCTTTAAGAATATTTGTTCATAATAATTCGTTATAAGTAGATAAATCGAATATCAACAGTTTGTACTGTAGCCATGTGAGCTTTAGCTTGGATGCAAATTCAAATTCGAGAACAAGCTGGGGACCTCAAGTGCCCAAGAACTTGCTACACACACACACACAACCATAACCAACGTACACCTACCGAGACTTGTCATCTATCATGCCCCAACAAACCCGAAACCAGAACAGGAGCTCCACAGGATTCAGGAGGGGTAGGAGGTAAGTGTCGCCCTGGCTGCTGTGAAGAGAGTTACAGGGATGGAGGGGGCAGGATTTTCAGTAGAGAGAGATGGGGTAGGGTAGGGGCCTGGAGCAGATTGTATTTGTCGTACAGGCAGCAACGTCGACGGCGACTGCGACTGCGGCGTATGCGACATGGAAAATCCATTATCACGAAGTGAATTTTTACTGAAAAATTTACATACCCTCTCCAGTGCCTCGGCGCATCCCCCCCGCCGTCTCATATAAATGTGGAAATAAATCCTGAGTGCGTGTTCAAGGGTCGAGCAGGGGGCGTGGCGGGTAGGGATGCTCGGCATGAATATAACCCACAGAAATACAACTCTATTTGATGGCCTGTTATTAAGTAAAGGAATGCCACAGAAAAGTTGCCCACCAAGATGAATCCTAGGTAGATTTTGTATTTAATTAAAGGCATAAATTCAAAACGATGAAGGATACCCCATTTGGCCAGCCTTCTTTTTCACACTATGAAAATATTTCAAACTTTTTGGTAAGAAGAAAAATGATTTGTGGACGAAGTTTAGGAAGATAAGAATTGCGTCTCAATAATGGTTATAAAGATTCCTTCTTGAGTATACAAATAGTTAGTTACAGATTTCAAATATATTAAAAACTTGATATATATCCCAGATTTGTTGAGTGTATCCCGATTCTTGCTTACAGATGATGGCCGAAAATGTTTGGATCATAAAACAAAAGTAAGTGAATCGGTATGATGGATACGGTTAAGGTTACGGTCGGGATGTGAGATGGGTTGGAGTGGGAATGGGGGATGCGCTGCCATTGTAGGTAGCCTAAATATTAAAAATTTAAATGAACTGCTCACTTTTTACGATTTTGTCCTTAGTTTACGACTGCTTTTCCTAAAAGCTAGAAAGAGAGGGCGTGCCTAAACAAACGTTTTTGTATTTTTATCGTTTGTGTGTGTGTGTGGGTGGGATGGGTTGGTGCTTTTCTGGGGGGTAATTTCGGGGCTAGTGTGTATGGGGTTGGGGATGTATCTTTTACGATGCAAATTTGTTGCCATAAAATTGAAGAGTGTAGCCAAAAGTGAAGCGCTTTGCCTAAATAAACTTTGCAGACTACAATGATGATGATGAGTTTGCCATTCCCGCTCCGGTTGATGATGATGATGCCGCGCTCTGCTGTGAATTTTTGGGACTGGTTACTCTGATTCTACCGCCACGTGCTGGCTCTGGGAAAAGGTTGAAAGGTCAGGCCTGCAACTCACTCACACGTTCCTTCGGTGGGGTAAAATTTGAGAGGTGGGCTGGTCTCTTTTACCCAACAGATCCAATGGCGAGATTGCCTCTTTTTCTTCTTTCTACTGGCAAGGGGGGGTGGTGGTGGTGGTGAAAAATCAACGAAAATCGATTGCCGCTAAATACCCAAAAAGTTAGGGGAGCTGTGGAGTTAACGTAACGTTGTTAACTCAACTCAACTCAGCCTCAACTTGGCCATATACAAAAAGTTTTCCCTGCTCTCCGGCTTGTTCTTCTTTATTTCCATCGTTTTTATTGTTGTTTCTGGTGCCTTTCCCCTTGGCTGATAAATCCCCAACGATTTGCGTCTCAGTCTCAGCCAGTTTTTCTGTATATATTTAAATTTTTAGTCTTGTTTTTTTCTGTTTTTTTTTCTATCGTTTGCACTCGGCACTTGAAGCGTGTTGAAAGGGTATACCTAGCAATTGTGGAAAATTCCATTTGGTCTGAGGTCGTCGTGAGGCCAAAATGTTTGGTTGTTCGGGGATGCTAAATTTAACAAGTAGCACTTAATAAAAGTAATTTAGTACTTATTTATGTGGGTTAGTGAAGGTTGAGGAAGGATGTGGGTACTTGCAGAAAAATGTATTTATTATTTATGTATTTTTAAGGGACTATTAATACTTGGCCTATATTATTGGGTTTATGGGGTTTTAGACTAAGTTTATGAATCAATGTTAGGAGCTTTTAAGGACTTTAAAATATTAGGTTGGGAAAGGAAATCATTGGTGTCAAACAGTTATTTATAATCATGCTGTGTTAGAAATGGTTTTACTTTTACTGTTCTATAAATATTTATTTTAGTAATTAAGCAAAAACCACTTAAAACTTGTAAGGTGTTAAATAACAAAGTAAACCCTTATTAATGTTAAGGTTTGGACTATATATTTATATACTTATAAACGTAACTCTAAACTCTACGGTATGATAAATTTAAAGAATAAATCCAAAATCCTTAAAAAGTAAGTAAGAAATGTTTAGAATTCTTGCAGAGTTTGCTGCCTTGCAAACTTAAAAGGTTTTATTTTAAGATTTCTTTTAAATATTTCTTAAAAATTCATTAATAAGCTAACCAATTTGACTTAGAAATTCATTATAAAATGTTTCTAAATTCACTTTTAACTTTTTAACTTAATAAAAAGCAAACGTATTTAAAGATATTTCTCGTATTATCATTAAATTGTATTAAAGTTGCCTATTGTTTATATAGCCCTAACTTTTATTGCAATTCTAACTCCCTATAGACTGTTGGCTAGGTATCCAACGTAGCTACTACTTAGCAACTAATCTAACTTAAACTGAAACTTATTGCACTGTCCGATTAGATAAGATAATTAATGTGAGACTTTAGACAACAAGCAGATAACCGAGCTGTTTTTGTGGGAGGGTCAATGGGCATGGAATATTAAATTAGTAATTAGCTCAGTGGCGTCGTCAGCAACAACAACCAGATGTTGTCACAGCCAGCCTCTGCCACTGCCACCCAATGCCACCCATCGACCACCCCACTTTTTCAGGCCGGAAAACTTTTTCTTTCCCTCGCCGAGATGAGACCTTAGTTTGCTCTTTTGCTTTTACTTTTGTTTCGCTTCCGTTTTCACCTGCAGGAATTACTCAAATTTATCTACGTGTGTTGTAGGTTTTAGGGCATTTCGCTAGTCACTCTACGGCC